AGATCACGTAATTCCACCCTCTCCCAACAGCTCGACCACGCTAAGCAGGCAAACGCTCAGTTGCAGGTAGAATCTCAGCAGCTGAGTGAGGAACTCATTCAAGCTCGTCAAACTCATCGAATTGCTTTGGAAAAATTAGAGTCTCTGGAGGAAGTGCAAGCACTGTTTAATAGGCTTGTTTTACTTTTTTTTTTTTTTTTTTTTCATAAGTAAACAAATTGGGACTTCTAAGACTTAAAGGTTGATTCAACTAATTTATTTTGTCTGTTTTACAGTGCAAACTTGAGCAAATTTCATCTTTCTTTGCAGTAATCTGCGCCGTGTTAAGCTGGCAGAGATTGCGACAATAGATGCAGCTGCGGAGCGTGACCAAGCGGAAGCGGAGGCAGCACAATGTCGTAAGCAGGCGGAAAGGATGCTCGAAATCACTGAGCAGTTAGCCGATAAAAACTCTTCATTAACTTCACAACAGGAAATGTTCAGATGCAAGGTTTGATTTCCTTTCTCAAAAAAATCAGGAAAAAGGACGGAAAATTGCTCTCCTCCTCTCTCAGTCAATGTTATTGTCATCAGGAACAAATTGATGGTATTGTGATGTATTGTTAATGCAAGCATGTATATTTGAGATTGGATTTGTGACCCTTTAAATCAAAGTATTTAAATGCTTACCATTAATTTCTTTCTTTCAGAATTTGGAATTAAGTCAACGGGTAAAGACGTTGGAATCTTCTTTGTCATCCTCTGAAAGACGTGTTGTCGAATTGGAACGAGAGCTGGAATTGTTAAAAGTTGATAGTTCTGCAGAAATTGGAACACTACGGCAGCAAATTGACACAAATATTGCCAAAGGTCTTTTTGTTCATTTCAAAATGTATGCTACTAGTTATTATTTTCAAAATCTCATTTTAGCATAAGTAATGGGGTCGTCCAAACCGCAAGAGTGGAAACTGGATTGAGAAAATGTACATAAAGAAAAAAAATTTGAAATTGAGAATTTGCAACTTTTTCATTTGTATGTCTTTGAATTTACAGAGCAGAAGTTGAATGCAGTTATTAATGAACTTCGTAATGAACAGAAAGTACTGAAGAAAAAGAATTCGAGTTCTCTGAAGGTTATTTTTCCTAAAAAATTCTGGTAGTTAAATAATTTTTAGTTAGTATATGTTAAAATAAAACCTTGTGAAAGACTTTAAGTTTGTTACAGGAATTACGCGCTGAAGTGCAGCATTTACGTAAATTGCAATCTCGAAGTCCGAATTCATTCCCACCAAATGCACCACCAGTAGAAAATAATTTGTCACTTAATGTGCTACCTAGCGGTGAATTATTGTTCATTTCTTTAAATCCGAAATTTGGTTTTACGAATGTTCAATAGTCGATTTATGCCATAATACAGTCAGAAAAAACATTGGTTTTCATTTAATTTTCTCATCATTTGCAGGTGCAATGGGTCTATCTACTTCATCTCGAACGTCATCGATCGCATCGTCCACTGATATATTTCCACTGGCTATTGATTGTACCTCTACCTCCATCAGTCGAATTGCTGCTCATCGAGAGGAATCTCAGCAGTTCATAATATCACTTTCATCAGACGAAGCAAGTAAGTAGGATGCAACTGTTTTATTATAGGTTTGTCTTTTCTTTATTTCCTTCATACCTGTGCATGAAAAGCATATTAAAAATTAAATTGGAGTGAATTTCGAAGAATTATCATGCAACAGATCATATGCAACAGCAAATGATTGAGAAGATTGTGAAGCTACAACGGCAGTTGGCTAGACGACAAGATAAGATAGAATTTCTGGAAGAACACGTTCGACAGTGTACACAGGAACTGTTGAAGAAAACAAAGTAAAGAATTTATACGTTTTTGTCTGGTGAAGGAGGAGAAAACAATATGGAATAATGCTTCTTTATTAATTTTTTTTTTTTGGTTTGGAAAGTTATATCTATCACTTTGCTGCTTTATTTTATAACATAGTTAACTTGTTATATAAATTTTTTTTTAAAACAATAATACGAGATTTGAATAAGCTAAATAACACAGCTAAATAACAATAAACTAAATAACACAGGTTTTTAGGATTATTCAAAATTTCGCACTACGGGAAGAGGCGTCTCTGTTGTTACCAGAAGGTGATTTGAATAAAGTAAGACTTCTGTTTGATTATTGTTTTTAATCCAAGAATTGTTATGGAAGTGAATTTCAGTGTGCATTAATTTTAAAGTTTGTTTACAGTTGCTCGAAATTTGCGAAGTCGTCGAAGTAAGTTAATGATGTTTTTTTATTTCCCATTTCTCTCAATCACGAAAGAGTGATAATTATTTAAATAATAAATTATTTAAATAAATAATTTTTAGGAAAGAGTGATAATTATTTAAAAAGGATGAAGATTATTTAGACTAAAAATACATTTGAATTTGGGTCGGATGTGGAATTAGGTTTAAAGTTAAAACCACTTCTGATTCTTTATTATTTGAAAATGCGGATTTTTTTATTTAGAAAACAAAGATTTGCGCGATGCTGCAGTAGAGAAACCTGTTATAATGCATCATATAAATATTTGATAAAAAAATAGCACATGAAGTTTTTCCAGAATATGAGGGTACGAACAGAGAATTATATGAATTTTTGTATTTTGTTGCCATTTATTCCTTCGTCCATTATTTCTCATATCATGTGATGACAGTTAGTATGGAGAACAGTGACGGTCAAGTAATCGAATCTGTTACTTCATTTTTTGTATTGACAGTTCCAGTGTGGTTACTTCCAGAAAAACTTCTTCTGTTTGCATGAATTTTCCAGAGTATGCATAATTGTTTTTTAATTTCGTTTCATTTTTCAAAATGACACGACTTTTACAGATAACACGTGGACCCAATGGTAGTAGTAGTAGTAGTAGTTCGTTCTCTTTAATAGGGAACTTGTTTACAAGCACTGCAAATGGTGTCACTGGAAAGTCTGAATTGAAATTTGCAACGGAAGTAAATTCACGCCTACAAGCTGTGCTCGAAGATGCACTGCATAAAAATATCACACTTAAGGTAAGACAAATCATCAAAATATACGACTGTAAATTAATGAATTTATCTTATAACAAGAAAAATCGATAATTCCGCAAAAAGCCATGCATTATTTTTCAGAATAACATCGACACCTTGGGTGAGGAAATCTCTCGGTTATCACGCGAAAATCGACAGCTATCGCTTTCCAAAATTATATAATAGTTTTTCAAAAGTTGCGTTAACAAGGAACATTTCTAAGAGCCTCCAATCCAAAAGGAATTACAATTTTAACGCATTTATGAAATGCAAGCAAATTCGATAATTCATTCCATGTTGTCTGGTAGTTGAGTTTTTCTAACGATTAATATTATTTTTGGAGCTAAGGAGGCAGAAATTTCATGATAATTTTTGTTGCTTCACTAGCATGCTCAATCCATTCATAATTTCGAAAAATATTTTTGGCTGAGCTTTAATTTTTTAATGGAACAATCTTGCATTCAAAGTTGGTCCACACGTTGAGTTTGTGTACTTAGTGGAAATCTAGGACAAAAAATGAGAAAGTGGAAATCTAGGACAAAAAATGAGAACTACGCGGTTCCGTCATTTCTGTCCTATGTACACATTCCTTGCTTGCTTTTTTAATTTTTTGAAAAATCAGTTTTATTGTTATTTCCTGTAACGTTATGATTGATTTCTCTTTTTTTCCTTTTGCTAAACTATGGTTCGTTTGTATGATCATTTTTTATGATAGTGTTACATATTGACATATTATTCTATGTTTTCATTTGCATATAAATATTTTTACTGTCAGTGGGAAACATTGTACGACTGAGTCAATTCATGTCAGAAATATAGTGCATAAAAATGTGTAAATCTTACGGAATCAGTTTTGGTTCTCTTGATACTGTATACATTTGAGAGCTTCGGTAAATTCTAAATGCTTTGAGCAGTCAGATCATAACCGCGGGCTTTGTTGACAATGATGAGTTTTGGTCCTCAGGAAGCTTCAATTAATTTAGGGAAAAGGGCCATTTGATGACAGTTCGGCACTACGGGAGGACTGTATGAAATTTTATGCAAATTGTATGATTTTTAAAATATGACTGTATGTCCTTGTTTGCGTTGGGGAGTCAAAATTGTTGAAACATTGTTTCGAATTCGTTGTTTGTGGTGTCGAATGCTGATTAGACAAATTTTTCTTATGGTTGAAATTGAGTTGCAGCTAATCACCCACGATAATTGTTGTGGGATTGTTTAAAGTTCTCCGATTTACGAGTTACAATATGAGATGAAAAGAAATTATCCATTACTACTGTAAAAAAAAAAAAAAAAAAGCCTGGAAAACAAAAGTCAATATTAATATGGTGGACTTCGTCAGTATACAAAATATCTAAATATCGAGTTACCATTCAAATCACTCAAATAGAACCGAACTTCATGAGTAGTTCCTGCCAAAAATCTTGTCACTGGGTTGTTTCTACCTCGCAGAACATTTTTTGTTTTTTTTCCTTGACACTCCTATAAAACTGAAGTTGATTGTTCCGGTGTTCCTTTCTTTGAAAACTAATAATAAATTTATCATCTGGTCCCCTCCTTGTTTGATGATATTTGCTTGACCAGATTAACAAATGCAGCAGTTAGCACTCAAAGTTAATGCAAATCAGATATGCTGCCAATTGTTCACCACAACTTGATTAAACAAGAAAAAATCGTCTTTATGGCTCCCTCTTCCTCTAATCTTGAAGTGATTTTAAATTGAATGAATTCAATTTATTCCATTATTACATCCTAACCAACAAATAACGAAATAGTTCGGAAGTGTATTGTGTTGGTGGTTGGTGTTACTTGCTTTACTCATTTTTGTTTTTTTCAGGAATACACTGCAATTATTTTCTGTTTGTCACCCAGTATTTTACTGTTAGTGTTTCGTGACATTTTACTTTATTTTTTTCATTTCCATAAATTCTCGAGAACCACATTATTAGAAATAGAGAAATCGGCAAGAATGCTGCGATTTTACTTTCAACCAGCAAGGTTTCGTGTTACTTTTATAACCGATGTCAATTTCTGTGGTTGTTGTTTCCTTGCTAATCCAAAATAATGAAAAGGGAGAAGCTTTAGATTTTTTTAAAAACGGAGTTTATGATAATACTGGCTTTTTGATTATGCAATATCAGAAAGAGGATCCTGGCTTGACATCAAGATTAAAAAATGTTAATATTTCTTTCAGTTCACCTACAGCATTATATTATTTCGCTTTTCTTTTTGTGGTTTCAGGTGACAGAAAAAAAGTTTATGTTGCTAGCTTGATCTATTCAGAAGACAATCCATTTTATGATTAACTAAGTATAATTTCATCATTCATTTCTAGGAACTAACTGGACGAAAAAAGCTTTCAGTGTCAATGGGAAATACCACCCATTGATTTAAATTTATCGAGAAATTTACCAAAATATAAGGATGGCTTCGAAATGTTTGCATATGATACACCGCTGACAGAAATGGGATATTTGCAGTCGAAACTCACAGGTTTTCCGTTTTTGCTTTTGAATATTGGTCTTCGTGCTTGTTTGTTAACAGTGTGTTTTGATTTCTCCTACTACTTTATATATTCAATAATTGCGGAAACTGTGATTTGAAAAAAAAATACAAGCTTTTGGTAATAATATATTTTATTACTCATTTGAAAGACTTTTGCTAAACTGCATAGATATGGGTTATTGTTTTTGTTCTTCGATGGATATATATAACCTTTAACTGATGTTTACACGGGACGTAATACATAATCTTTTTATCTATTTGTTATAATCCTGTATAATAACGGTATTAGATAGGTTATTTTCGAATGTTCTATCTCTACCAGTTTTATATATAGGTTATTTTCGAATGTTATATTATATATTTTCGAATGTTCTATCTCTACCAGTTTTTCGAATGTTCTATCTCTACCAGTTTTAACGTCAGATTCAAACCTTTTTTTCTTGATTTTTTTTCCATTTGTATTCGTAGTATTGCTTCAGTTTTTGCTTTATCCTAATCTTCCGTGACAGTTAATAGCACCTAGTTTAGCCATTGTAAAACATGCGTCGTATTTAGGAGTTAACTGAGTTAATACTTACTATATTAGGAATTATATCTTTTATCGAGATTAAGTTCTCTAGGTAACAATCTGTCATTCATGCTCTCCTACAACTACTTTCTCAAGCTTTCTAATACTGTTCAATAACTTCGACCAAAAATAATCTTTGTCTCAATCAAATAATGAATGATCAAACGTTGCTTTTTCTGTAAAGCAACAACTATTCAGCTGTACAATCTACTTGAATGAGATCTTCTTTCACGACAAATGTTATAATTGCTTCTTTACCTTTATGACTATTCAGAATAACCCATCATTTCCTTTTGTGATCTCTTCCTCATCCTTTGATTTTGTTGCGGTAGTAGATTTCTGAATATAATCGAGCCATTTGTCATTTATAGATTCCAAGGTATAGATGCAGAGTTAAAGTCTTTGAACTTTATCCTCAGTTTTTTCGTTTTCGTAGTTGATAAAATTTTTTGTTTGCGTACTTGCTCCGCTGTCAAAGTTTGATCCGGTGGTCTTATTTGCATCATTTTACTTCTTTAAGTAGATTAGTAGCCATGGAGTTCCCGCTGATGACATCAAAAAAAAAAATTTCTTTTTTATTGTGAAAAGGTTGATTTTTAACTTATGAATAAGTTTGTTATAATAAGGAAAGGAAAACTTATATGCGTTCGGTTGAATTACATGGAAAATTGGATTGTTTTATTGTTAACACCGCAATACAGTAATTTGGAGATGAAGTAGTGCAGTAGAATGTTCGATTTTGAGGATTTTAATTATTGAATCGAAATGCTTAACTAGGACTTTTATATATTGTAGACAAGTCTGGTGAGGTAGAATAAAATACAAGATCAGAATTTCTGTAATTTTCTTAAACTGTACGTAAGATTATACAAAAGATGAAGGTTTTTCTTTTTTACATTATTAGCATATCGGATTTATGTAGTATTTTACATATACATCGATTGTCGCGAAAGATTGTCGTCAGATACTCGAATATTTATGATACAGCAGTGAGATTAATGTATCCTTATTCTTATGAAAACGTATTATCAATGATCGTATTATCAGTAGAAATAGGTTTAAAAATCGGAGGAAATTGAGTTTGGTTATGAGGGATTAGAGTCGACAATAATGATCTTTTGTTTATTAGAACTGAATTTATATGAGTTAGGATTGGGCGTGTCTAAGATAAAAATCGCATGTGTGAAGAATCGGAAGTGTTTACAAAGAGGAGATTAAAATGAAAGCTAATTTCAATTTTACATAAAATTACATGAGTAATAAATCTTAAGAAGCCAAATTTATGAAGAGATGATTTTTGAAACCGTAAGATTGTTTACAATTTAAAAAGGCGATATGATTTATGATATTATGAAATTGCTTAGAAGTTTCCGCGAAATTATAATTCGCGACAGTTTAGGGTCTCCATTGAAAGTAGGGAGCGATAAATGGGGAAGATTTACATTAATACTTGAAGAAATATTTGAAGAAGGAGTAAATTTTACCTCTTCCTTTGCTTGTTTGCTTGTTAACTCCTTTGAGAGTCGCGGTAAGTTTTGGTCAGCTTCATCTTTGTGCATGGTTAGTGTTATTATCGCTTCCTTTCCTTCATGCAATAATTGAAATATTCCTTGGTCGCCTTCTGTTACTGCTTTGTATTTTTCCTCCTCTTCTCTTCTTTTCATTGTGACGATTTGTTGAGTATATGTAAGCCATTTATCATTGATAGATTCAAGCATAGTTACGCATAATTGGATTCTTTGAAGTTTATCTTCGAATAATCTTTTCCCTATTATATCAAAATCTTCTTTTCTTCTATTGTCATAGTTGATTTCGGAGATTTGGTCTCCATTAAATTTATTTCTTTAAGAAGATTAACTAAGCTTTCTTTTGCCGGTTGGATGCTTGCAATAATGTTGCTAGACATGATTCCTGGCTCATGGTACGAAATAAATTTGTCGTGAAAGGTTTTTGTTATACAGTAATGAGATTAATGAATCTTTATTTTTATAAAAACGTATTATTAGTAATCTGAACAGTAGAAATAGGCTTTATAAAATCGGAGGAAATTGAGATTGGTTATGCTTATAGTGGACAATAATCTTTTGTTTATCAGGATTGAATTTATATGAGTGAGAATTGGGTGCGTCTAAGATGAAGTCACATATGTGAGGAATTGGAGTTGTTTACAATAAGATCATATATGTGAAGGGTTAAACATGTATATGGTAAAATCATATATGCGAGGAATTGGAAGTGTTTAAATTAAGATCATATAAAGACGAGATTATAATGAGAGCTAATTTCACATAAAATTACATGGGTAGTAAATCTTAAGAAGCCAAATTTATGGAGAGATGGTTTATAATACAATAAGATTGTTTACAATTTAAAAATGATTAATTAGTTTTATTAGTTTTTCTCTACCTTATTATTTTGGTTGGAGTTTTCGCGAAATTATATTTTGCGACACCAATTTATATTCATCACTGGGTAAGGGAAAACGTTCTAGTTAATTTTTTTATGATGTGATGAATCCTTTAACTAAGGAATGGTTTATACAAAAGCTTTGATTGCTTTAAAGTACGGTTCTCGGTTTTTCGACAAGTCGTTTGGGAAACGTCTTACCTGAACTTCAGTATAGTCGTAGTTCGTAGTTTAAATGATCTCGTTTTCCATCGTTTAGATTCAATACACTTATTGAAGACTGTTTTAACTTCTGCTTTTCCTTTGAGTATCCAGAACCTTTTCTTCAAACTTGAAATCATATGAACGATTCAAACATAAAATCATATGAATGGCACGAAGAGAAATATTTCTTCGTGTTGTCGTTATATAAAGTTTTCAGTTATGCGATTGTGTCTAGGAAGATACATAGAATACATGCCTGTCTTCTAGTTTTGAGTTTTCCAGGCGAGTTTTAGGATTTCCGTAGTCTCTGTTCATGACTAGACTCCACTTAGTTATTTCTTCTTCGGTTATTTATTCTGATTGAGTTATATTAATGTGTTCATGGTCAGTTCATAATCAGATGATTCTTTTTCTTTTTGGCTTCATACCGTTGAAGGATCTCGGGTACCAAAAATTTATCCCGAAATTGGAATTTTGTTACAGAAAGTTTGTTTCTTGGTTGTGATTTGAAGTTTGTGCAGCTACTCTGTAATAAATATTAATCTTTATCAGCAGTATACAGATAATTTCGTAGAGATGTTATCTAAGAGTATGGGATGAAGCGGAAAAAATGAAGGAATGCAAAAAATAACTGGAGGATTAAATGGAGAGTTGAATTAGTGGATAATTTGATTGCAAAATGGAATGGCCTGCCGAGCAAATAACAACTCTTTTTATAATAAACTTGTCTACAACATTGGATATAAATCTATCGGATACAAAAATGTGAACACTGAAGCTATTTTACATTTGATATAATCTTGAATTTTAAGATGGAAGAATTTACATGTGAATTAATTTAGCAGTTGTTTAGTATATACAATATCTAAACTGGAGAATTTACATATGAATTATTTACGACATTTTAATCATCGAATATAAATTTAGCCATCAAATTGGGGGATGAGAGTTGATAAATCATTCATCACTTTAGGTACTGGAACATTTTATTCTTTTATGTAATGAATCATTTGTCTGAGGAATATTGTAAATAAAACAACCTTTATACAAAAAATTTTTATACTTTGAGTCTACTTAAATTATTGTGAGATATTTCTGTAATACAAAGATGACCTGTTCTTACATGCTTATGTTGATTAATCAGGTAGATAAAGTTTGATGCAAATATAATTAATTAGGTAGAATTAGATTTATTCCTAGATGTTTTCAGTAGTTTTATTGATTTATAAAAAGATGAATTATCTAAGTAAGCTAACTGAATGTTAGAATAGAAAAAGATAGTAAATCCATGGTTTTTCAATGATTTTCTGAATGAAATGCTTGTAGATTTGTTGTGCTAAGATATTTTTGATAATATTTATTCTTGTTGGAATACTATACGTTTTTGTAACCTAACTTTTGATCTTAATTTGTATTTGTTTCTTGTTTGCCTTTAGAATACTGTTCTGCAGATAAACTTTTTCTATTTTATAATCGGTTTCAGTTACTTGTAATGTGTTTTATGATTTGGAAGCCAAACATCAACTGATCAACCAACGTCGTAATGCATTCTTGCAATAAGCAGCAAGTATATTAGCAAGTATCCTTCTCGGAACTGTGGAAGTGCAACCATTAGCTGTGATCTTGGTAGAGTAGGGTTTTAGCATGAGCTTTCCGAAAAAAATTGAAGAGTTTTCAATGCCGATTAATATATATATATATATATATATAGCTATTGGTTATTATATCAACTATCTAATACTCGTCGTGTTTCCTAGTGTTGTTTGATATTTCATTCCAATAAATTGACTTTCAGGAAGGAGACGTTAATTTCATACAATCAGTTTCACTCAATGTAAATGTTTCATGTATTGAGGTTTTCTCGAAGATACCATCCCAGCCTGGAATGCCGTTTTTCACAATGACTCAACGTAAATAGCATGCGACATTGTCACATTGTTGTGGGTGACTATCACTGCACATGTTGATTTTCTTTATTTTGGGCATATTGTTTCTGTTTTCTTTGCTTTCAATATAAATTTACCGCTTTCTGAAATGCAGTAGGATTTTTACTACGGGATACCACTATGAGTGGACATACTCGTAATGATGGAGTCACAAGAGACCACCTTGTTTTGATACACAGAGCAAAATTCTTGCATATTGCTCGTACGTCTCATTTTTGCAATTCATCAAATTCGTTTTTAGTAGAAAATTATGAATCCTTATTATAAAATTATTTCAGTTATAATCTGCAAACAAGGATGCCGTATGTTGACTCCAGTAAGTCTTATATCCCATGTTTATTTTCGGTCCCATCAGTTCGAACCTTCAAAATTCATCTTGAAAATTCACGCTGACAGCCAATTGAACTAAGTTAAATTCGAAAACTGTTGCGAAGGAGAAAACAATCCAGTTGCTTCACAACTGTCGGAATTTTCCAGATGAATCTCTGTCATCTTTACATCTCTCTCCCTTTCCCTTCCTACAGTATTTCTTTCGAAATGATATCGTTATAGTGAAGTGAAAATTGCGAGGGGAACCATAGAGTTGACAAAATATATCTTGTTTTCACCTGACATTACAGCCTCCTTTTTCTGGAATTTTAGATGGAAATATTGTGGAATCGAAGAAGTCGACGTTCAGTTTACTTTGGCAGTTTCTCGCATTTTTTTTATATTTGTAAGTTTCTATGTTTTCTTTTTCTTTTTTTTGCTTGAAATGTATTTCATATAATAGTTGGGACAGTTGGTTTTTTTTTTTTTTTTTTTTTTTTTTTTTACTTACAGCTTCCGTACACTTTTTGGACCACTAATTGGTGAAACGAGTGATAGGCCATCATGGCGCAGACGTGGTTGGAATGGTAATGACCGATGGAATGGAAGTGGTGGTCCAGGCAGGCCTCCGAGAGGTAAAAGTTGTGAGCACACCAAATATATAGAGCATATAAACTGCATTATGTTGTAGTTTGTTAAAGACCTTAAACTTTGGTTTGTCTCTAAAGATCATCTCATTCAAGAACAGATTAAGTTGTTGTATTTTAGGTGGTTATGGATATGGGACAGGACGGCGTCCAATAGGACGACCAGCATTTTCCTCCGGAATGTCATGTCCTCCAGTGGGCGGCGGCAGTTGAGGTTAAAGCAAGTCCAGCTGTAGGCTAGGCTGGACAAATAATTGTGACCAACAAGAGGACTGTTTGACGTGGATTAGCCAAACCTTGCCAGAGGAGCTTCTCCACTGATTTCCACTTTTGGTCATCTTGTTTCTAGATTATCTATTGAATACTTGCGATATTTCATCGACACGCATCCTCATAAAGAAGAACTGATCAACATTAGAATTCCCAGTCCTCAGTGTCACTTTACTGCAATAGTGGGAAAATGAATTATTAGTTCATTAGTCTCCAACTTTTCCAGATGATATTTTGAAACTGGGCTTATTTTTTATTTCGAAAGAACCGTGCATAATTTTGCTCATTCCTACTACGTCATATTAGCTCTGAACATTGTTCATGAACTCAAATCTTGTTCGATTTCTTTGAAATCATCCTACAGGAGGTTTTTTCGCAGGAAATGCGAAGCAAATCATGTGTAGAAATCGGGGTTTATCAGGTAGTGACTAATCCAATATTCGAGAAAAAGTGTGCATTTTTAAACTTCTCGTTTTACTGCTGTCTATTTTTCCTATTCGCTTGCTTCAGTGAGTCGTGCTCCTGAATCTGTATTGATTAACAGTTTGATAAATTCTGATTGTTTACTTTTTGAGCTGAGATTAGCACTACTCTCGGGAATATAACCCGATAAGTTGTAATTCAACCCTTCTGGTCTTTTTTTTTTTTTTTTTTTTAGCATTTCCAACATCAAAATAACAGTTTAGGCAGAGACAACTTTTGGTGGGATGACTTATTTAAATTTTGGAAATTTCTTAACAATGGATCGGACGGAGAGAAAAGAAATCCTATTATTTGGAAAAAATAAAACAGCTGGTAACAATTTTAAGAAAAAAAAAAAAGATTTCCAATGCCTTTAACTTATTTTAAACACAAACAGTATATGTGAAACAATTACCACAAACCATAAACCTAGTACAACAAATTATGTTGATCTGTAAAATTAAACACCATAAGTTCTGTCAACGTGCTGTTGTATCAGCTGCTGAAATTAGTCCAGCATGTATTAATAAAGTGATTAAAGTGAAAAAAAGATGCTGTCCTACCTAACACACTAATTGCTCCAATAGAACTATGTCTAAGACTCACAAAAGGACTTCCCATCCTCTCATAAAATTAACTTCAATATAAAACGGTTTTTCACAGTCTGAAATTATTGACCTCATCATCGATTTGATGCTGTTGCATAGGTTGAATAGGCTCCACATGTTGTACCATTTGGTGGTGTTGTTTTATGTCCGTATTATCAAGTGAGTCGACTGGTATTTGGTAAGGTTGTTCCATTCGACTAGGATTAGGCGTGGGTGCAGGTGTCGAGTAGGCGTACTCACCCCATCCTTGTTGTTTTGCATATTCTTTTTTAAATATTTCTAATTCTTCTTTGGTATATTGTTCTTTGTCGCCAATATCTTCCCAACCCTGATCCGGTTTTTCTTCTTGCGCCTCGCTATCCTGAAATTACATTCATATTTGACGTAGTGGTAACATAACAGAAAAAAGTGCTTTTGTTTTCTACACAAGACTTAAAATACAAACCGCAAGAAATTCAGCTAGCGAAATACGATGGTCTCCATCTGCATCCATCTGTTTCATAACATGATCACGCATCCGATATAACTCTTCAAGCCTGAAAAATAATTCAAATGACTTATTTTTTCTGATTTTCGACACATTATAAAAATTCTGGAATGGTTTTTTCGAATGGATGCATTGACTTCCAAGAAGCACAGCTAATTTCCAAATAAAGCAAGGAAATCAGCGAAAGATACCAAAATTGAACTGGAACTTGACAAAGTCGTGTCCCTAATAACAATAACATTAACTGATATCAAATCCTCGCTCTTCAAGATACTTTCAGGTCAGATTTACCTTTCAAGGTCAGAGAAATTATTAAGTTTCTCGATTTCTGGTAAAAAGATGGTATTCAACTCATCATAACTCCAGTAACCATCACCATTTCTATCATGCAAACCAAAAAGTGTTGTTGGATCGTATGTATCTTTATCAAGCTGCAAATAGTCCCAAGTTTGCAGAATCGAAGAGGTCAAAAGGTTGTTCTTAGGTGAAGTCCTACTTGGACGTTGCTGCATCACAAACCTTTAAAATTACGCCTTCTGATTATTCTTTCAAAACAGTGTAGAAATGTGCAATTTTTAAAGGATATAATAAAGTGAATTCCAGCATTTTCTTATTTAATTGGTACAAACCTTGTCAGTATCTTCCCAAACCTTTTTTAATTGATTACGACTTCCCGGATGCTTCAATGGCTTATGCTTATTATGCAGACGCCGCTGTTCTTCCATCTGCTGTATGTAATGTTCTCGTTCCGTTTGAATCATTTGTGCCTGCCTCATGTATCAAACCCAAACGTTTTGTCGCAAATAACATTCGAAATATAAAGAAAAAGTATAAGAAGCCCTTTGTCTATTAGAAATGTTTCACATCTAAATGAAGACACTTACCAACTGGGTTCCTAAAGTCCAAAAATCTAACAATATACGTTATCAGTATATCAAAAGACCGGATACTATCTTTTGAATCACTGAGAGAAGGAACGGTATAAGTTTAGGCAACAGAAAACGAATCTAAAAAATTTTGCTTCCTCCATTTATTTTAAATCATCATAAAAACAGTAAACTGACGCATACCATTTTATGATCTTCTTCAGCTTTTTTTTTCATTTCATATTGTTTGAAGTCTTGTTTTCGCCAATGTTCCAATTCATCCATATCAGCTACTACCTGCAAATTATTGTATAATAAATGATCCATAAAATATCAGTAAAAGATAATAGAAGCCAACTTTGACGACAAGTTTGCGCAGGTCCTCTTGGCTGAATGTTTCCCAGTTATTGAAATCCAAATGCTCCGGTATCTAAAATAATAAGAACATAATAAGATAATATAGAATACCCCAAAACTGTCAAATCAAGTGCTACCAAATACCTCTCATAACAAGCTTTTCTGATAATCTTCTACAAGTCACTTCTCACAACTTTTGCAGTCATTACCGTCATTTATAATTTCGCTATCGAATAGTTTGGGCCTTAACATTCCTATATAACTTTTAATATCTTAATGTATTTTGATGACATTGTTAACATCTGCAGTCCTGACTAATCACGATATTCACACAATCTGATTGTATCAGTTTTCTTCCGTTACATTAAAGAAAGAGGCAACGTCATCCAAGACCAGATGATTTCTACAGATTCAACAATACAATTAATGCTGACCTTGTTATTAAAATACTTTTACGTATAAGAAAATACTACAGAAAAAGCGACAGTATCAATATCAATAAAATATAGTAAGTTTTTTGTGCTACTGTAAATTATGAGCTCCTGACATTGCTCGGTTTTTTTGAAACCTTCAGAAAAAGTCGGAATTTCACAAACTTTGATATTATCAGTAGCACCACCATCTGCATCCAGCTGATCCTTTATTTCTTGCTCCAGACGTTGTAATTCCAATATCTTCGCTTTTGCTAGTTGTTCAATAATATGTGGTTCTAACTTGTTGACCATTTCTGCTATTTTGCCACCCTGTAAACGAAATGGTAACATACCACTAATGGCACAGTGATTGTAATGAATAGTAATAAAACATAGACCTGAAAAGAAATCTTATTGCAAAATTATGCTGCCAAAAGACATAAATTAATATCCTGACTTACTGTGTTGTCGGACCTTTACATGCCTAAATCTAAGAGATGATGTCCTACACTATGGAATGATATCTATGAGAAAAAAAACCTTCGTTGGTATAAATTCCAAAAAGCTACACATTATGCAAGCAACAAATCCTGAATGAGAACAGTGTGTTAATTGAAGTAGGATTTAACTAGTAACGAACTCATAGAAGAATATCGCCATAATGTAATATACCACATAACTTACCTTGTTCTTAAAGTTGTGGAGGATCAAAAACTCTAGTTACAGGTGTCCAGAACAGAAACAAGTTACGTGCATCTAGATATTTCAATAATTAAAACTCCAAATTTTAAACATATTCGGAATGTTTAAACGACAGTCCTATCTAAAACTTCTGCCACAATCAGTTTTATAGAGAAGTCAAGCAGCCATTAAAAAAGGTAGAATGATAATGAAATGGCAAGAAACCCGCATTTCCTCTTGCGTCATATTCTGCATAGCTTCTTTCCACTGCGGTGTCGCTTGCAAGATACTGAGCACGGTTTCCAGATACTTCATATATTTCACATATTTCGCTATCTCTTCTTTCTAAATTATTATAGTTCCAATCACAGCTTGAAAAAGAAATTGACTTCATACCTTTCCTTAACATTGTGAAGTACCAATTTTTTAAATAATATTTCACTTCTCCCAAATGTTTTGATTCATTAAGTTAGAATAATTTTTCACTAAAAGTCTCTTCTTTCTTATTCCTCTCCATGGATTTCAGATTAAAACTTCACAATTTAATCATTTCATTTAATAGTTTCACTTGTTGCGATAATTTAATAAAAGTACTGAAAGGTAATGGGAGATAAAGGTACAGGGGTTAAATGTACCTGCATCTCTTCCCTCCGTTGTTGTTCCTGGTCCCACTGTCGTTGTTTGTCAACACTCTGTAGTTCATCTACCGTGTCGCGGTTTGGTGGAGCAGCATCTATGTATAACGATATTAATACACAGAACGATAGCAACAACTGCGAAAACATCAGTAGGTTGTCGGTCCTTCAAGATGTTAAAAAAAAAAAAAGAAAAGTGTTGTGATTTAGCTCATCGGAACGGAAAATCACAACTTCAACAGCAGTTTTTGTTTGACAGACTAGTTCAAAATAAGTAGAACAAGTCCAACAAATGGACAACTGTTGCAACCATCACCACCGTTGTCGCAAAACTATATCCACACGTGTAAATAATCATCCTCAGTAACAACATTTAAATTATAATCGGAATGCTGAGCTGAAGTTCATTATCCGCATATGTGAGATGCAGGTTAACGGGAAAGCCTCGACCTCCATTAAGCAAGCATTAAATTAAATACACAGAACAAGAAGAACTGAGGACAAATAGAAAGATCAAAAATGCTTAACTTTGTCATTCAAATAGTGATGCAATTCACGAAACCATTTGGGTATAGAAGACCATTTATGGATTGAGTAAAACATGATGTGAGGAGTATAGAGCTACTGAACATAGAGGGAAATGAAATGGACCGGAATATTATTGGAGTAGTAGATGTACTGCTGGATGGATTGTGAGGAAGTATTAACTGGTGCCATTGATGGTTACTCTTCTATAACTCCTACAGGAAAAGAAAAGGTCCCATGCCCATACTCAAGATGACCTAAGTATTAAAACAAGGAATAATTCAATTAACATGTATTTTCAAGACTTTTTTCTCACTGTAGACAAAATACAGATATTTCAAAGAATTCAATTTAATAATTTGAATGCCTTGAAGTTAGAACACTTCTTGATATAAATGAGTTGATTCCTTGAACAACTTATGACTGCTTTGAACTGCTATGCAACTTCTAATCACAGAAATTTGACGGATAAAACAACCTTCGACGGGGTAAAAAAGTGACCAAAGAAGAGAATAATACACTGGAATGCAGTCATCACTGATCTCGGATGACGCGCTGGATGAAAAGACTTTGGTGTGATATGTTTGATATCAAGAATGAGCAGAAGAGAAGTCCTGAGATTTCAGTGAAAGTGTCTATGAGGAAATGAAAGGTTGTTGATATACAGTTAAAGACTTTTGACTATTTAGGAAAAAGATGAAGAAAGATGATGTATGGGGTAACGAAAGGTCTAACTTCAATAGTGAATATGAATGCATTATTTGGAACTGGGTTTGGGAGTAGGTTTGATGATAGCTCGAACAGAATTCTCGATATCTGCGTTAGCTATTTCGATGAATACCCTAGTGAAGATGATGAAGATAGGAGTCTGAAACAATGCATTTCAAATCAAAGAACCATCAACAGATTGCAATTTAACTGCTTAACGACGGTCTTTTGCTATTTTGAAAGGAACGAACTGATCAAGATGTTGGGAGCATCAAAATCTTGTGACGAATTCTAATTGAAAAAATACTATAAAGTGTGAGAGAATATGTTGAACATTAGCGTTACGATGACAACTTCTTCGTTAAGTGATTTACCTGATCATGAATGTTTCTAAATAACAGGTTGAGAAACGACTTAATTTTTCAATCCATTCTGTGCCAAAAAGACTCTGCGGTTGGAATTGCAATACATAGCATGAGTCAGACAGTGAAGTTGAATTAAATTATAAATGCATTTACAATTTACCATGTAGTTAAATAGGATCAAAGGCAATACTGCCGAAAATTTCGCAGTTTGGATAGATCTAAAGAATTGGTTTTGGTGTTTATGACATTGTGAACAAATGAAATCATCCGAAATTCTGGCTGCAAAGTTATGGATTCATGAATGTGGAGCACTGGTTTTCCCTGAGATTTACGTTACACAACTTCTGCGGCACTTATGAGAAAGGGCACAGGTGAGAACAAAGCCCTCCTTTGTGAACAAATCCCACTTTCTTACATATGGAACGGTCAGTTGCATGTACAGTGAAGCATAACACCACAAAATCAACATGCAGTTTCGGTTTTCTTGCTTTAGGTTTAAACTTGAAGACAACACCAATACTTTTAAGACCAATAATGGGAGGTTAAACCATTCCTGTGTTAAAACCTACTTATAAGAGTGAAAATAATGACACCCTCTCTTGACTTCGTTGTGAAGTTATGAAGGGGAAATATTTCAAGAGCTAGGCCCTTGCTTTGCTTTAGGCCAATGCTGTCAACGGTTGAAGAGCAAAGCTGAAAAGCCAAACAGTGATTTGATTGTTGTGTGCTATGAGGGCTTCTTTCGATACTGAGATCCAAGTAACAAGTGTCATGCTGTGATGGCCTGGATGCATTCTTTTGAAAGGGACGGACAATAATCATATCACCGAGTTGTATTATTTGGAATTTGAAGGTGCAAAATGTGTAGTATGTACTTATGCATGTGTGTAAGCCAAGAAAACTAGGTCTAAGTACTATGGTTTAAGAGAGGTCATATTAAATTGCTGCTTGCGGGCATTAATGAGTTTAAACTTTGCCTTATGAGTTCTTCCTAGATATTCCACGATATAAACAGAGCAAGCAGATCAGTGTAAATTGCGGAATAATCAAAGTTTAACAAATATACAGCACAGATACGTCACTTTCAGCCATGTCAAAGGGAATGGGTTATCCGTATTCCGGATCGTTATGTATCTAACGGAGCAGTAGCTCGGAAGACAATGGAGCTCGGAGAAATGAATCTTGAAGTGGAACTTGAAGATGAAGATCAAGAATGTATACATCATTGATGTCCATGTGCTCCTTGAAATTCAATATTCAAAAGATTAAAAAGCAGTACATCCAATATTGAAAGGAAATTAATAACCATTACAAACAAATGACTAATGTGAGCAGCAACACCCGTAGTAAACAGTAAACACCTTCGAGATCAAAGCAGCACGCCAAGTCCATAGAAACCCAACCCACCAATCCATATAAAGTCAGGACAACTGAACCAGACCATGTCATCATATAATTTGGAGACTTGTTACGCAACTGTGTGTCCCATTCAATATGGCGAATGAAAATATAGCCCTTACAAACTAAGGATGTCGCACATGCCTTTCTCAGCTTCGTATTGTGTTGTGTGGGAGGCAGTACTACGAGTGGTGTACTATCCACTCGAGAGAATCGAGACGATTTATGACTTTGAGCAAGTACGTCGCTCCGTGTCTTATTAATTTAAGGAAAAATCATATTAATTTAAGGTTACATTTTGATCAAATCAAAAACTAAAAGTGAATTTGGAAGATAATAACGTATAGCACAAAATAAATCATCTACTACATTGAGTGTCTCGCAAGTTCCTGTAAGTCTCACAACTCTGAAAATCAACTGTCGTTATTTTAAACTACGCTTGTAATAATCTCAGGACCATTTCATTATTATGAAATGGCGTGTGATTCTGAAATTTCTAGACTCATTCTGGTCCTTAGGTTGATTAAGTGATGAACTGGAACTTCCTGAGGTTAAGCGTTGTTTATTAGATTAGCTAAATAATATAATGAAGATACGAATCATTCCCTCCATTCAATAATTATGAGAAGGCAAATAAGGCAGTTTATATGAATTTATGAAGGGACAAGCTGAATATATATATATATATATTCATATATGCATTACATACAGATCCAGTACTGCTCAACAAATATCTTTGATAAATTTGCTATAAAATTTACACGCTAAAGCATTGTTTGCAAGTTGGGATGATTGAATCCAAAAAAAAAAAAAGATTACTACTTTGAGACAAATAAGACGAATCTAAACAAATACAGACAGATGTTGTTCAAGAACAATCAAGTTCCAACTCCTGTGGAATATAAAAAAACTTCAAGTAAAAAAAAAACATCTTTAGTACAATAGGATAAGACACAAACATGTCAAAAATGGTGTATGAAAAAACACCCGTCTCCAACAATTTTCCTAAATTGAAGTTTTTAAATGGAAGTTTTGTGTTAGCAAAAAAAAAAATTGAGACATCATCCCGCAACCAAATTTTTGACAAATAAAGAAACATGATTAAAATTCACTTTTCATGCTTCTGAAAATTTCATTCGGAAATATTAAAATCAAATGAATGGCATTATAACTCAACTACAGTTGAATAAAGTACCACTTCCTAAAGCTAGAATAAGAGAAATTGTAGTCTTCCTTTCAAAACATTTGCTCTAATTTACCACATTTCATAAAATTCTCAAAAATCACAAATTCCGATGTCATAATAATTTTGAAACAGAGCAGCAAAACTGATAAACTTTTTGATAACAACACCAGTATTGATATATTTTAGCTCTCAATACTGTACAGAGAGAGAGAAAGCAAATATTAGCTAACAGGTTTGTAGCCTATATGACCAGATTGCTCCAAAACCCTTACTGCGCTTGATTTTTACCTGCCGTTTTAGGCGGTGAAGCTGTAACAACTGAACGTCTTTGTTGTTTCTGTTTATTTTGAGCAGTTGCTGTTGCTGTTCCTGGAAAACGTAATATAAGGTCATAAGTTTCATATCTTTAAATAGTGAAGTTATTCAATGATTCACTTTCTTACCTACAAGTCAACCGATATTGTCTTAACGCATAACTTTGCTTATTCCAAATCTTGTGCAGTAACTGAAGTTACTATTCTATAGCATGAATAGGCTAAGTAGGTTGCACATTATAAAGAAGCTAGAGAATTGAATATTAGAAAGAAACGAAGATCGGAAAGTTAGAGAAATCAAGCGATTTATGTAATAGATGATTCAAAACTTATTTCTTCTTGTTCGCTTTTCTTTTTATCATGATCACTCCTTTACCGTATTATCTAAGAAGTCTTTAATAATACATGGCACGAATTTAATGTATTATGATTATTCGCTTTATTACGATTATATTTCGAAAAAATTAAGGGTGATCAATTTGTTGGACATGTGTAGAAAATGAAAAAAGTAAGTGTTGATTCATAAAATTTCGCCAGAAGTCTCTCCTTCCATCTCGATTGACAGGGAGAGACATTCGATAGAATTTCATTCCTGCTACTAAACGGGATATTCATAACAGGGACAATGTAAATCTTGTGAAAAAACATTTACCATTCAGTATCCTTTGGTGCTGACTGACTGCCAACGACGTTTGCACGATGTGTTTCGATGGTGGATTATTTGTTGGCTGACAGTGTTTTCGATGCCATCTTACTTCATCATGAGGTGGTACGAGTGGTGGCGACTGCGAAAATTTTGATTTTTCGGATTGAATAGCTACAGAAGGTCGTAATGGCTCTGTCAGTTTAACAGATTCCCGTCCGAGCTAAAATTCTTGTGAAATAATAAATTAGTTTGAAAGTTCAAATTTGGAGCTCCACTGCTTTGAAGACTTAACGCTCCAACTTTCTAAAAAACCTGCACATTCACTATTTCAAATCTCTGGCGAGAAAATAGTTAAACTGTACCGAATTAAAACAGGAAGTATGTTCTAAAATTTTAAGAAATCTAAAATATCCTGCCATGATAAATTAATATCAAAACAGCTAACAATTTGTCAACCATGGAATTAAAAAGTGGTTTTTGATTATTGACACTGTACATCTTTTTGAGGGCTTCATACTGAGATCGTATTGTTTTGACAGCCTAAGATTTGGACATTCATTAGAGTCTTGATTTTTCTCTTAATATCAATCAGTTGAATTGTAGGTGCAGAATTTTGCGATGAAATCTCAAGAAACTGATTCTCAGTAATGTTAGAAAACCTTAAAATTCTAATTAGATTTCTTAAGCAGTTACAGCAATTAAAATTTAAAGGAAAAATAAATAAAGATGAAACAACCATTTTGATGTATTTTAATCAAAAATCCGATAAAAAAAACAAACGAACGTCGATAACAGTTGCACTATCGTCCAAAATTTGACCCGTACTATGTCGTAGAGCAGCGGTAGAGCGTTTGGGTTCATTAGCATTACTTTCTATAGCAGTTATATATGGATCACGAAAACGAATTCGTTCATTACGTCTGCGGCGCCGCTCACAGCGACGAGCTTCACGTTCAAGCAAATATCGTTGATGATCGATTTGTTTGGCCAAAATATTTGACAAACATACTGATATACACTGGAAATTATAGAAAAAAGCATATGTAGATGACGGAAAGAAAAAAATAAAGCACCCACTACTTCTCAAGCATAAACCCTTTCAAATTAACATTTTTATAAATGCTAGCTGAAAGAATTGTTTGCCATAATTTCTTGTCATCATTATCATTGAGGAAAACATACGACAGGAATAATGATAATGGCGATGACAGCACCAACATGTATGGCATGACTTTCAAAAAGTATCCGTAACGGTTGCAAGCATCCTCGTGTGTGCAGATCAGCTTCCAATTCTTGAGGCCGTTTTGTTTGCGCATTTTGCCAACATTGCAGTGAACGCATCGCTGGCAATAAAGGATTGGAAGAGCCAGCAGCTGCCTCTGATACCTATTTTTTTCACTACGAAATTATTCGTAAACTATCTTTTCAATTAAATATTACTGCATAAAACGCTTAAATGCTTAAAAACACAAAAAATTTCTTCTCTCTCGCTCTATCTAATGGCTTAAAAACCAATATAAATTCAGCAAAAGTCCAGATTTTTTCTATTGTACGGTTGAGAAATAAAGTAACAAAATGGAAACAACTTCTAATTCGCACAAAAAATAGTCCTGCACGAATATATATAAAAACGTTTGAAAAACACTCCATTAGAATTCGAAACTTACCACAGAGCGTTTGCAGCAGCTGAATGGTACTCCACACTTTTCTGGATAAGGATTCGCTGGATTACAATTAAACTGAGCCGAGAGCTGCCAATCCCTATAACCCTGTGAAGTTGACGCTACACCACAGCATTCAAGCTGCAACATCATGCTTGTTCACTGTGTTGTGGTAAAAAGACTGATACATGGACTTAATTCCTTTTTTTTTCGCATATAGATTAATGTCACAGACTTCAACAGTTAAAAATTCGGATTTCAGAATTAAATTTAAGAACTCTCCAACAATTTTTATGATGATACAAATATGAATTTATGCATAAATACTGAAATTGGAAGTATAAATGAGAAAAACAAAAAAGTTACCTGTTCTTGAATATAATCCACAAAATCCGCTAAATTTCTGTTGGTATGATAGTTTTTAACTGAATAAATGAGTATACTGTGCGCCGAAAGGCCTTCCGTTGTATCGGAATAGAATAATATAAATAATAAAAAGGTGAATATTACAATAATAATATAACAGAAAAAAACACTGAGTGCGAACTGAAACTTAAGAAATAAATTTAGAAAAATTATTATTAATATTATACATTTAACAAGAGTTTCCCCACTGTACCATATTAAAAATTGTTTAGAAAATTTTATAAAGTATTTAAATATTATAAATCACGCTGATCTTAAGATAATCTGCAAGCTGTTATTCTTCACAGCTTACAGATTATCAAATGAGGTGAAAAAAATTCGCCTCATGAAATTATTAAACGAAGGTGAGTAACCGTTTTGAGCAAAGCAATATTATCTCTTAGTGCACCAAGGGACCCCATTAATGAAACAATGCATATGGCAAGCCCAATAATGGTGAGCATAACGGCTGGATTTAGGAAGACATCCGCCCATTCAGTTATTGGTCGTGGATCTTTGATGCACAAATATACACCGAGTGCCAAACATGTCACACCGATAAGCTGCAATACACTATTTGCCAAATTATAATTATTTATGACATATTGAGAAATACAACCTAAGTCTAGGCTGGTGCGATGCTCCCTCAGAATTGAATCAGTTGTTGAATTATATGAACTACATCAAAAAAAAGAAAGCTGGCCTGATTTTTACTTTTATTTGCTTTACTACATAGACGGCTTTTAGCATCTATTATCTTAGATGCTGATTTGAAATGAACCCCACATTTAACAACTAGAATAGTTTTGCTTCATTTTCTTTCCAGCCCAGGATTTAATCTTTTTTCCTTTGTTTTATTTACCAAGTTGTTTAAACCATCAGCAAACAGTTTGTAGACAAAACTACTCAAGTGTGCAAACGTACAAAGACTAAGAAATTGGCAATGAAACAGAGCCATTTGAGGGGCGCACAGATTTCTTGACGTGGTTTACGCTTCTTCGGTTCGTCTAACAAATGTTTGTTACGGTTCTGATTGATGGCCGTCGGCTGTAGGCCAAAACGGCCGTACTCCACCGACGGCATCAGACGGTGTTTCTCCTCTGCTCCAATCAAAAATATGAACCTGAAAAAAGTCCGGATTTGATCATCTAAGTTTTAGGAAAAGGAAAAAAAAACTGGATAATCATTTTATTAATCTACTGAACAGATACGATTTTATGGATGTCACTTGGTTGCTGATTTTCGCTATGGTACTTAACATAATGCTGGCTTGCTCTTGTTTCCAAACAATAAACAAATTCAGTTTATTGCTGCATTTGATTTGTATATGCACAATTGTCGCCATAGACATATGTACTTATGTGAGGAACAGAACTATTGAAGTTTACTTTTAAATAAACAAAACATCAACCAGTTAGAAATACGATATAAAAAGCATAGGAATTGGTCTCCAATTCAATCTTTCTTATTTCATCACAGTATAAAATGAAACTCTTCGTTTGTTTGTGTCATTAAATCCATCAAATTTAAGCTATAAAAATATTCCGAACAGTCTCATTGCTATAGCACAGGAAATTTAGATTGGACGCTTGCGTCAACATTAAATTATATTGAGCTCCTAGTGATGAGTGCTGGTAATTAATGAGCTACTCTTGCATATATCTGAAGATAACGAAAGCATATTGATTATTCCATGTCAAAATTTGATATCGACCAACAAAGGAATCATTATAAATACATTATATAAATATAAACATAAACGTATGTATAACTCTGTCTCGTGATAGCAATCTATAGAATGGTATTGGAAACACGGCGGAATACAGTTGGAAGTCTTAAAATTCTCTTCATTTTTAAAATAAGATTTACCAAATATTTATTAAGTTTAATTTCCAGGAAAGTATGAAATACTGTTTCCAAAAAAAAAAAAGCTATTATTTTGTTAGATTAGTGCAACAACTCTGAAAAGATTACAAATCCTTTTCATTTATTTTACTGTAAAAGATGAAAAATTTATTGGTAGAAAAATATAAAATTTGGGTATAAAAGAGCAAATTTCTTCTGAGGAAAAATAAAATTCATCAGGGAATTTACATGCCTGTTCATCGTGTTTAGCATGTGTCATTTCTTTTGAGAGCCTTTATGCCGAACAATTACTCTCAGTTGTCGTGTTAATGAGGAATGTACCATTTGAATAATTAGAAAAAATTTGATTATAGCTATTGTATAAAAGTTCAAAGGTACATATTATCAGATGGATAGCTTCAGATAATCAGTCATTTGCTTGGAGTCAATCCATGTTAAATGAGATTGTGAAATGACTAAAATGTCAACGATTAAGACTGTTTAGGCAACAGCGGTTCACAGATGCAGCATTCCCTAGACAACGAAGCTTTCGAGGTATTCCAGCACTGCTGCCTCACTAACAATGTTTAAATTGTCAAATCGATGATCCATTTTCCAACATTTCGAGGAAAATATGTACACATTGTTGGCTTTGAAATTGAAATTAAAGTGAAGGTTTCTTCTTGAAACTTGAAAACTTTCAAACATGGACAAGAAGATTTTTTTTTAAAGGTTTTTTTAAACAAAAAAATTTTATTAAAGCTTCCTTCAAGTTTTTATTCCGAAGTTTCCATTGCAAGGACTGAAATGAGAAGGGAGAGGAAGAAAATGTGGGTAACCATTCGATATACACGCCATTCTTTGTGCATCAGCAAATCGGTTAATGATTTGAGCTCAGAATGTACATTAATAATGAACCTATTTTTAGAATATTTATGCTAAATCCTGCGAATATGCTATAGAAAGCACTCAAAAGGAAATAGCAGCAAGAAATGAGCGGTTGAATTTTGCTCCAATCAAGGCTCTGTTATATCAACTGTGATATAATTTGTCTTCAGAAGTATTAGTATGATGACCAAAGATCACTGTCAATTTTAAAATAATTTAATTGAAACATTTTTCCATAATGCAGAAGCGTCAAGGAGAAGTAGAGATATATCCCAACTAATTCCTCCTTCAAAGAATTATATTCTGTACCAAAATGATAATACAATACAAAATAATTTTGATCTTGAAGGAAATTTCAATAAATTAAAACAGGAAGACAAGTTAGCAAATTAAAATAAGAAAAAAACTCGTTCTACGAAACAAATTTCTGAATGATAATGACTAATAATTAGCGCTTCGAGGATGAAATTTTGTTAAATTAACAATTTTGAATTAAGAAATTTACAAGCAGTATCTAAGATTATTTAATGATATAAGACTACAAGAGATGATATAAGACTAGCTCGTTTCAAACTTCGACATTTTTGGAATTATAACAAAAAATAACATACTCAGCATGGAAGTCACAAGGAATCCGTATGTCAGAAGGACTGATCCCAATCACTCAGATGCTTGAAAGCTTCGGGAATCCAAAAAAAGAACATTTCCAACCAGTGTCTTCTATGAGAATGAATTATGAGAAGGTAAGGGCATTAAAGCAAAAGTATGGATATGTAGCACATGACCTCTCATACTTTGTAATGAAATGAAACTAAATAAAATTTGCATATTAAAGATGGTGAGAAATTATCTGGAAAGAGAAATGGTGAATCAATTTTGCTGGAAAATTACTGACAGTTCACAAAATTTAAACAAAATATTGCAGGAATGAACAAAATAATCTGTGATATTAATGGGTAGATAAGACCTTTTTCTTTGTGCTACAAAATACAAAAATAAAAAGCCAGTTCTACGAAAAACTGCCGTCCGTTCGAATATTGTTCGAAAATTTGTTTTCCTTTTCAAATGAAATTGTCATTTTACATCATACAAAGACGTGTCTTTTCTGATCAATTACTTTAACAAAGGTAAGTCTTTCCCCAACATTCTCTTTCTGTCTCTCTCTCTTTGTTTGTTCACAGTGATAAGGAAGGTCGAATTCCTCACAGCTAAAGGTTGACCTCTTGGAAATTGGTTCTTTTAAATCAAATTGATGATACAAACAATAATACATAAGTGGTGCCTGTCCGGTACCAGTCGATGGAAACAATGTCAGGATAATTTTGAAGAATTAAGGAACAAACACAAGATGAAAAGACATGAATGAAAGAAATAGCATAAAGTAGAATAGCAAACCAATTTTTTTTTTCCAAAATCAATTTGATAAAGGTTAAGGAATTTACGGAATGTCCACAGTAGTTTATTTTTTAATTTTTAAGGGAGTAAATTTAATTTCAACTAGGACCTTTCAATACTTTGTATGAAATATATAAATTTACAAAACGTACACACAACATTATTAAAATTCCAAGAAAATCGATAAAAGAGATTTAGAAATTTAATGAAAATTAAATTCACAACTCTTTGAGATTTGGCAAAACGCGAACAGGTTTCCAGAGAAAATGATTTTACTTTACATCATTTCATAACTAACTTTTCATCAGTATAGAAGTATTTTTGTAAGCTCCTGAAGTAAGAAACAGTTTTATTCCACTGGATGCTATTTTTTTTTTTTTTTTTTTAAACTACCCAGTAGTAAATAAAATAAATACTCAAAAAGATCTCAAACAATCTTATTAATTTATTGCACGAAACTGTAAACTGGTGAGAACATTAAAACAATTGTCTTTAAATTTTTGGGAGAAAATTTTGCCCTTCAGAATGCTCGGAAATGGACCGAATAATTTTTTAGCAGAATGTGATTGAATCTAATAGAATTACGAAAATGAATTTAAAATTTCAGTTACTCTGGCACTAACTGCTACTGTTACCAAAAATGATAGGATTACCCCGAATTGGTGCAGTACATCTAGACGTACTGTTATCTTACAATGCCATTATATTAGATAGCGCGTACATGGCAATGTGGTTTCAAGAGCCAATTAATCAACCACAACTCAACATCGGACTCTCTCTCTCTCTCTCTCTCTCTCTTCCCAACCACCATCGATTCTTGATGGATGGATGGATGAATATGCAAACAAGGTGACCATTGATCGGCGAGAAAATTATGGTACATCATTCCGTACGACTCAAAATGTAAGCAGCAATCACTCCAGTGATTCGAGCTGAACATTAAGAAGCACATTTTTATATGGGAACATGTAATCTAAATGGCAAATGGTACTAAAAGCTTCTTTCTATAGAATAGAATAGAAAATGAAAATCCTTTATCAACATTTAAATTGGTAGTAAAAGAACATCTGCGCTTTAGTCGTTCATGTACTTCACTTTTAGACTAGTCGGAGATTTTGCTTAAGTGATTCCAGAATCACAACAGGTTAAATTTGAATTCCAGATTAGTATTACAACGAATAATTCAGCTTCTCTATGGAATACAAATTTTCAAATGTGACAAGAAAGTTGAAGCTGTCTATAAAAGAAGTTGAAAGTTTCGTAAATTTAAACAAATCCAAATGAGTAGTTAATAGTAGCTATTAGGATAAGCGATCATAAGGAAATGTAACAAAAGACTGAAAATGTTTATTGTAGCGAAGTTACAGAAAGGGAAGACGGATGTGCGGATTTGTGGGAACCAAATTGGCGAAGGCATAAAAGTGGAGCACAGGTATGGTTTAACTGGATTTTTGGTTGTACAGAAGATGAGAGAGAAGAGGACTGAACTGACCTCATTCCACATTTCCAGATGTTTTAGTTCTCAAAAATTCATACTTCCCGGTACAAGACATGCTATCTGCATAACTTGGAAGACAACTGACATTAAACAAAACTCTTGTAAAAGATAAGAACAATGAACAATAGATGGATTCATATAGTGTGACGTGAACTACACGGATTTAAGCGAAATTTAGCATTTTGTTACTGATTGATGATCAATATTGGCTTATTAGCCGAATAATGCCATCACAATCCTTATCAAATTATGATCATTATATTGAAAGTCATTCTGTCGGAAGTCAAAGTTCTAGTTAAGCAATCAAAAGGAAACTTAAATTTTCCATTCTTCCTACCGAAACTGTCAAATATTTTTGCAGCATTGTCTCCTGTCAGCGGACAAGGGATGCGTTAGCTTGTCAGATTGTATAAAGGAAACGAAGATGAAAGAGATGAAATTTTTAGAATATACCAGGGGAAAAGCGCTCTTAAATATTTCGCACCTGATGATGACAATATCGATGACGATACTAAGAGCGACACCGATAACGGTGTGTACAAGAGGCAGGGAAGCAGAGCAGGAGGAGTACTGCAAACAGTCACCGATAGCTGTTAATGATTTCTGCAGGTTTTTTTGTTGTTTAGAGACAATTTTCCATATTTTTAGCTCCATAAATTGACCAGTATTGAGAACTGTCTGCAAATCAGCAAAGTGGAAAGAAATTTGTTAACAAAAAAAAAACAAAATCAATAACAATAAAAGTGAAAGGATAGTATTCCTGATTTCGGCAGAGCATTTGTTCAAGATGAGCAAAATACAGCAACACAGCAGGAATCTTGTACTTGAATAGATCGGTGATATCATCACACTTGCCATACATACTGGCAAATAATCTTATTTCCCTCCTTCTTATTAGAAAAAAAAGAAATAAATGCAAAGACTTCATAAATTTGAACTCATTCTAACCTTTTAAAAGAAAAGAACTTTCTTGGCTGCCATTAAACAGAGAGCAAAGACTATAAGAAAGACAGTTATCTGGAAATGTTTTCCCCAGTAATAATTCCAGTGTAAACATTTCGAAAATTTGTTGAAAAAATATAAAAGATGGTGAATCGATATGGTGTTTATTAATAATTCAACTATTTATGACCTTGGCGTCAGACGAAACAAATGACAGATTATGGTTGGTAGTTAAAGATTTTACATAGGTCTTTCACACCTATTTTAGCCGCAATATTGCCAATAGATGATATCACAGATTTCTAAAAGAAATCATTTGGACTCCCAAAATTATTACGCAAAGTTCATTTTCAGTTTACTAAACTTGCAACATATGTCTTTAAATATTTCAGAGGAAAAGAGGTCGGTTACAAAAGGATAGATGGTCTCTTTACGTAAGCGACCTTTCTGTGCACCCTAAAATTAATTTAAAGTAAACCATTCCTATGTCAACATATGAACTTGATTAAGCGTAATATCTATGATTCGGAAATATATGAATGAATTCAGCATACAAAAACGGAATAGAATGAAATTATGAGAATGCGAAAAATTTTATACGGTCGCTGTAGGAATACAACAAACCGATATGATGAATAAGTTAAAGAAATTTGAACAAAAAAGAAAGATGAAGAGGCTTCACAGAATACAGTACCCACATTACACTGGTAATAATACATCTCCGAGTTTGATTTAAGCTCTTTGAAACATTGACTGCTACTTATTTCCTGTCTTATTTTCTTATTCCCGCTTTCATTATATATCCTTCGTTTATCCTTATTTCTATTGCAAGTTTGGGTTACTCAAACTTATCTACCTATCATTTTCTTCTATTCCCTTAATTGTTCGCAATTATTTTTTCTATATTATGAGAGACGGTACGATACATACAATCATTTTACCAGTTCTTCTATACCAGATAATTCAAAAGTCTCGGATATATAAAATTGTATATGCAATTTCTGCGTTCGTTTTAATAAAATCAGAAAAAAATAAATAAATAAATAATACGGAAGCCATCCAGGCCATATAGCAAACCTCAAATAAAAAGTCCAATTAAATAAACTAACCAGGCAAAGATAGTACTGATAGGGAACAACATAAACATTTTAATGACTATAAACTCGTTTATATATATATATACATATTCACAATGAAAACTTCATTAAGAAATTCCAAACTTCAAACCAATTCTTTGTTTGTCTTATTATCAGTATCAGTGCCAAGACCCAATCAATCCGATTCCTAACACATTGTTTTCTGGAAAAAGTCACAGGAAGATTTTTTTTTTTTGCGACAAGAAGTGATAAATCAAGCAATATTGTTAGATTTTTGAAAGACGTCAGGTGAAAATATGGTTTTGACCGCTATAGAGCAATTTTAGAATAGAAATGATTTGGAAAAAAAAAGGAAATATCACAGCCCAGTTGGTAAAGATCAAGAAAATGCTTTATATTAAATTTAGACTGAAATATGTTGTTGAAAAACAGAACATTTTATTGCAATTTTAATTTAAAATATGTTATTGAAGTAGAGAATGCTATCTTGGTATTGCTTACACAACGAATGTAAATATTATTTTTTAATGAAATCGGAGGATCAAGTTTTAGTAATCTTTTTTCGATAATTGTCTATACATGTGGCCACTGAAAATCTAGCCATACAATGAAATAAACGAAATGATTCGATAGTGGGTTTTTTTAGGCCCATCATATGAGGTTGACTATGACATCTGTCCCACATAACGGGTACGTTGTTACAGAAAGACACCGAAAGACACGTTGTTCTGAATACCGAAATAGTCCTGAAAACATAAACTGATTGATCACTTAGAAAATGGAATTATCTCGAAATTTGATATAAATTTTGAAGTAAGAAAATAAGTAAGTAAAGGTAAAATCATGAAGTTTTTTCAAAATGGATTATCAAAACCCAATAATTTAAGGAATATGAAGCAGAAAAAGAACAGACCTGAAATTCTCTCCACCTTTTTTCGCAGGATTTCATTCGTGAATTTCTTTTTTTCTTAAACGTTAAAAGTTGAAAAGATTTTTTTTTTTTTTTTTTGAGGGAGATAGATGGAGGACTTTCAAATATACTGGTTAAAAAGTTTCTATCAAAATATGAAGGAAGAAAACGGAGAGAGAGAGAGAGAGAAAAAAAAAAGAGGTTATATTCAACGTATAATGTGTTCGAACAAATACAAATACAGCAACTGGCAAGTAAACTGAATTCGTTGGATGATTAGTTTTTCAGGTGGAAATGGTCACCAAAATTTGAAGAATAGTAATTTCAGATAATCAACAAAAAGACTGAAAGGCAACAAGCAGCAGGTCAGAGAAATTGACTGAATAAAAAACTATAGTCTAGAGATTTAAGGCTATAGTCAAAGAGATGAGAAATTTCGATCATCAATCCTATATCAAGTATATTCGTCTCTTGCTCTTACCGGTATCTTAGAAGGATACGGAGAAGAAGGAAACGTGAAGTGGCTTGTGGATTTGAACTATTGAAATTATGCGATCTCTCTTTTGTCCTCCCTCCTTTACGATGATTTTTTCCGGTTTGGATAGTAAGGAAATGAATGGAGCATCTGTTTTACAACTGAACTAAGGTGGTGGGGGACATCAGTTTCGGAGTAAACAGTAGTGGCATTCCTTCCTTATTACTACCATAGGTAGAGGTATCTTTTCTCTAAATTTCATTTTTTTCCCCAAAAAAAATTTATCTACTTCACCCTTTAGCATTTATTGTAATTAGCGACATTTCGGCCAGCATGGAATGATTAAGCATACCTCAGTAGAAAATTCAAGGAGAGCATAGAGTCAGAAAGTACCTCCCTTCTGTTTCAAATCTAAATCTCTGCGCGAAACGTTTTTTTTATCCATTTCCACGTTTTTGATCACTATAGGATCATATATATCACGTATATCACTATATGGGTCATATGCATGAAAATGTCTGATGCCGAAACCGTGAAGCTAACATTTAAAAGGATCCAACAGTTGTTCTAAATTATTTATTTCAGTTGTAATGGATATTGTGTAACAAAAGCGCATTTGAAGATTCCCGGAACACAATTATCGTTTGTTACTAAGATGACAAGGAAGTAACGAAGCTTTTTGCACTGTATATTTTTTCGAAAAAGTTCTTGAGATTCAAATAATACTATTATTTGGATCTCGAGAACAGATGCGCAAAACACTTTAATTACTGAAATCAGTGAATAAAAAGATCAAGATATTGAATGTCGCACTTCCATTTAATGACCCAAACAAAATCGCATAAGTTATACCATAAAGGTAAGCCTTCCAAAACTGTCGTGATGTTCCAGGAAAATTCGTAATAATTGCAACTGATCTTGAAGCGTATATTGTACTATAGCTTTAATGAAACATTCAAGAGTAATGGTAGTAATTCATTTCCTTGGAATTTGAAATGGATTACGAAGATTTTGAGGCAGTTAACCAAAACTTTATGAGAAAGACATGCGTCGTCTACTCAACATTTTAAAGCCAAAGCTCATTAATAGCTTTTGCTGCATTAATCAAAAAACTGAAGCAAAAGACAGGAATCATAAATGAGCATAAATTAAAGCGAAAGTGAAATTGTTGTTAAGCTAGTGATCAGCTATGAGAGCATGAAATCTATTCATCAGAAATGAAGCTACAGTACCAAATGGAGCTATGGTACCAATTTAGTTTATAACTAGAGGAGAACAAGATAATGAATATTGTATTGATTAATAACACTAAAAATGGAAAGAGTAATGGTAGTATCTCAATATTTATTGCTCACAATTCAAAGACAAGAAAAATGATACTGTAACAAGAAAAAAAAACAACACGGACAGTTGTGAGGAACGAAAGAACTTCAATGACTCGTTAGGTTAATCAACAATGCAAACCCGAATGAGATGAATGAACGAGATGTAACGATATTAATTTCAGGCGAATTTGAGATAACTAATAAAATTAATGACGGGGAAGCATATCATCGAACATTATTTAAAATAACACGGGTAGCTGAGGGAAAACAGGAAAAGAGGCGAAGAAAGGAGAAGTAAGGTTGAATGGCGAGTAAAGGGCATTTATTTGCTTACTGCGCACTCAATGCTTCACCGGACTTCCACCTCACTGAAATTCTTGACTTCTTCAAATAAAAATTGGCCTTGGTGACATTGAAAATATGAAGAGAATGGCAGTAGGATGACACTGGTCAGCATTACTTGTTGCACACATTTCATGCAGTATCAACACTCAGCATTCCGCCACAGTAAGACTCCAAAAATGGATAGAAAACGATTTTCAGCGCATGCAACTCGTACATGTCCTATCATCGAACGCAAAATTTAAAACTAATACCTGTTATTATTTCACTAGTAAACTCTCAAAAAAGGAAAATTACAGTCAAGTCGTGACAAAATTTTTACTGCATAATAGTTTCAATTATTATTATATGATAGCACTCAGCGCAAAAAAAGCTTCCAGAAGGCCTTTATTCCTCTTCATGTCCATCACTGTTTGCTCCGGAAATTATGAGGTTCTGGTACCATCATGATAAGTAGAATACAAATTTAATCGTCAAATAACATCAAATAAAATTGCAAAAGCCATCTTCACTTTTCTATACTCTTATCATTTAATGGTAATAAAGTTATGTATGTTTTCCAGCTAAAATTTATAGGCATCTATTCTTGAAAATACCACGTTAGAATTAAAAAAACTGTTTCTGAACTTCATTTGAACTTCAATTTCTCATTTCCAGTAGATTTTCCTCTGTATAGAAGTTACTGATTGTAATCAGAGCTGAATACTAGGGATAATTCCATCAGATCAAAAATGCGATCAAAAAATTTAAAATGCAGAAAGAAATATGAGCAGCAAGTTCGAATTAAAATTATTTTTGCATAAATTAGGTAGAGAGACAAGTGGCCGAGACGGGTGAACGATACAACTCAAATGTTCCAGACATTACCGATATTTATTAGCAAAATGTGAAAATTTTTGATGTTTCTAATAAGTGCTCCATGATAAAATGTTAACTTCAATCTAAAAAAAGAAATTTGTTTCGTTTGATAACGCATCAGCCAGCATCCTGCAATGAAATAGTGAGTAAAGAAAGATCAGAAGATAACAGAAAATGTGTTTCAAACGAGGTAATGGTTTACAGCTCAACGGAAAGAGAGGTCATCATATGACCATTTCGAAGGAAAGGGATGAGTAAGGCAGGAAAGAGGAAGAAAAGTTTATAGGAACTTAAAAACTCGTTTTCGGATCGTTTATTTTCTTTCACCCCTTCAAATTTCTAGTCTGCTGTAATGAAACTTGATGATTACATAAATATGAATATGATGAATGAAGAAGCGACTAATTTCCTCAGTTTAAAACTTATGATAAGTCATCACGTGAAGAAGCATGCAGACGCGCCGCAAATAATTTTTGTTTGTTGATATTGCTCGCCAAATGAGTTTACACTTTGTGATTGGTAAGAAAAATGAAGCACAAAAACAAAGGAAAAAAAGATGAGAGGAAATTAAAAGAAGGAGAAGATTTAAAAAATGTTTTTTTCAAATTCATGTGTACCTAAAAAAATACTTCCAACTGAATATCAATACAATATAACGAAAGTTACCTTCTCAAAATTCGAAAATTAAGAAACGACAAAATGGTTGTTAATAGTTAATCTTCTAAGTGTTCAACGAAATTTTGAAAATTTGCTTAGCGGAATGGAAAATTTTATATAATTAAATTATCTGAACAGCACCACCTCGATTGCTTTCTGTGAACAAGATTAAAATAACATCTTTCATACAACATGCAGTGAGTGACAGCAGCGTTCGAATAATTTATAGGAAACCTGCTCAGCTCCTGCATAAACACATGCTTCCTCTTCCTACATACAAAAAATGAAACGACGATGATTATAATGTAGCAAAAGCAGATAAAAGAACAGAAATGACAGAAGCAAATAATTTAGAAGTTCTTATGCACAGTTCCAGTAGAGAGAGAGGGAAGCAAATACTCGAGAAATAACATCTTCAGGACAATTTAAGGGGCGCATAATGAAATGATCTAAAAAATAGTGAAAAACTGATATTATAGCGGGAAAGATGCGATAAGACGTGTACTTAACCACATAACTGCTACCTACGATGGTATTTGTGGAAGAGAACGAATGTAATTGTGACCTTGTAAATGTGCATGTGTATATGCGTACTTATTTCTCACTATTTTTCTTTTCCTCTGTCTCCCTGTCACAGAAATGGAATTAAAATTAGTGAATTCCTAAGTCACATTCTTGACTAATTGAAGTCAAATTTACTACAACCAGAGAAGAGTTTACTCTAAGTGTAAATGGTAATGGTGAACACTTCACAGAAGCGATTTATCCGTGTAGAATAGCTTCTTCAGTTCCCTGAATGTAATCTAAATCAGTGATATATGTAAGAAATTTTCCTAAAAGAATACACCACTAAAAATTTGTATTTTTTGATAAAAAGGACAGTTTCCTGGAATTAACTCTTAGTCATTTCCTGATGAAATCAATAAGAGTTCTTCCAGTAAGGAGAAAAGAACCCATTTCACCTAGCTATCAACACTGATGATAGGCACTACAAGAATGCCAAAAAAGAGCTGTTACATTATCTCAGTAATCATTGAATCGGTCTCCATCAAGTAACGGCGCATTAGTGCTACCAGAATTTTATTAGCGACAAAATTTGTCAAACTATCAGATTCTATTCTTAAAGTTTTCCCTTTCATTTGATGTAAAAAAAATTCATTTTTCTGCGCGCTGCATTCTGTGGTCAGGCAAAAATTTTAAATTGACAAAGACGCTGAACTTTTCCCATACTCAACCAGTAAAATCGAAAAAAAAAAGACAGCCGAAAATTAATGATATTATGGGGAACAAAAGTAAAACGACGAAATCATCGGTCCATATTCTCGACATCAAATACCCGTTTCTCTTCGCCATTTGCTTCATCCCTACTCCTATAATCAAACCCATTGCGGACCATCATCTTGAATCGTTTCCCTTTGTCGATCGACTTTTAGCCCAGAGGGTTATTTTGCAAGAATTATCAGTAATAAGGTTTCAATTATAACCATATAAAACAACAGAGTTAATCCAGCATGTTACAGAAGTGTTTCCGAATGAACAGGGGCCACAGCGTAGAAAAGGAATAATTTTACCAAGTTAATTTGGGTACCAAGTCAGCTAACATAGCGGATCCTTCGCTAAAGTAAGGAACCAGATAATAGGTCTATTTGAGGATATTGCATTCATCTTTATTTAACTTGGTAAAATCTGCAACAATCAGAGGAAAAAAAGTAGAACAATCAGTAGGTGAGCCTGCAGCGCAAAACAAACTTAGTTTTGCTGGATTTCAGAAAAACTCAGCACATTTGCTTCGAACGAATCACAATTAAAACATTAGACTAAATAAAAGAAAGACACATTAAACATATTAAAACAGGATGAAAATGATCTGAATGAGCATTAAAAACGAACACTACAGCAGAAAGTATTGGGTTTGTTCATACTGCCGACGGGGCATGATTAAATATGAAATCAAATTGACAAAGAAAAAAAAACAATGCCAAGCTACAACTTGGCCCTACAGTGTTAAAACCTGAGCAATTCTAATTACTCTAATCGAATCTTCGAGATATTCTTCCGAAAAACACATAAGATTTAAAAACCGATTTTAAATAATAAACTGGTAGGAAACTAGATCATACGAACAAAAACATCAACAAATCGTTATCAGCTTTTGATGAAAACGTAAAAAAATGTGGGGAAGTTCTACCGGAATGGTGATTCTGGATAACACATCAATGACCATAAACTGGCTCAAAATGCCGAAATAACATAAACAAAACAAAGTAAGAACACTTCCTGAAAATTTTGTCCGATCCAAACTTCAAGAGAGAAACTTTATACAGATGTCTTCTCTTCTTTATAGATCCTGCGTTACTGCAGTAAATCCTACAAAACAGAAAAGAAGTTAAAATTCATTCCAACGATTTTAGGTTAACTATACATATTCTCATTCTTAAATTTCAAGATGACAATTAGTAATTCATTAAGAAACTAAAAGTAGCAATCAACTATCACTATCCTATATGAATCCTTTAAAATGTATACAGTATCATCGTCAACACAAGAATTCTAAGCTAGAATGAAATTATGCAAGTCCTTACATGAAAAAAAAAAATAGCAAGATGATTAAGGACGCGAAGACTTTGATTTTAGAAGAGAAACTGGTTGCTTAATGAGGTCCTTTGGCTAAATAGGCCAAATGCTTTTGGCCTAATGGTTTTGAACCGCCCAAGTGACATATTCTGAAGAGTAGTTCAACGATAAATAAATTTAAATGCAGCGTTACAAAATAAAAAACTTCATCAGTCGGTTTCATTTCTACTGCAGCTGATGGAAGTTAGCGTTACTGTGAGAATAAAGGAAAGAAGGAGAGGGAATCAACTGTAAAATATCCCAAAAAAAGCTAAAATCAGTTACTAGGGACAGCAAGTCTACTACACATTCTTCAAAAAAATTATTTTCTGAGTAAGTCACTTATTATCGATTATGATTTTCTGATGGACCAACGAGTTTTGGAACTGGCGTCTCAGTATTAAAATTCTGAAGAACGGATTCGCGTTCGCGTTCTGCTACACCCAAAATGTTTTGGACGAAGGCTCCCATTGAAAATTTATGATCATTACGAGCGTCATCCAGGAATCTATGAACCAACAGATCTGGATATTTCGGCCTGTTGTTGTAATCTTTTGTCAGGCTGAAAATATATATATATATATATATATATATATATATATAGAGAGAGAGAGAGAGAGAGAGAGAGAAGAAACTACAACTTTGTGTCGTATCAACTTCAAAAAACGAACTTTTATTAGTTTCACATCTAGAAACTGAAAATTAAAATTCATCAAAATCTGAAATACTACATACCACTGAGCAACAAAATCCTGAAAATTATCGCCGAATCCCAAACTGTGAGACAATCTTGGTGCTGGTTCATGAACAACCTGTTTCAATTGTTCAAATGGCGTTTTCCATTTGGAATACGGATGGGATCCTGAGGCTATTTCCACCTAGAAGCAATCAATTAAAATTTTGAATATGAATAACAATGAGAAAATTAATAAGTGGACCTAAATAAAATGAGGAATGATAGAAAAACCTAGCCAAAAACTGATAATTATAATTTTGATATGCTAAAACAGACGTACATACCAGCGTAATACCCAAACTCCACACATCAGCTCGAACATCATAAGCAACCTTCTTTTCACCTTCAATTCTTTCCGGTGGCATGTAAGGTTTGCACCCTGCATTCACTGTTTTTGCAACCTAAAGATAGCTCTAAACAAACAAATTTTAAAATATTTTGAGTAAAAAATGTAAGTTTGTTTTGGCTTCATCCATGGGAACATGCTAGACCAAAAAATTCTTGGTAGAAATGCTGCAAAATAAGATATATTACTTACTGAATTTGTCAAATGACCTGAAATGCCAAAATCACAAATTTTCACTGCTCCTTGCTTATTGAGCAGTATATTTGATGGCTTAACGTCCCGATGTATTAGATTCATTTGCTCCTTCATAAAATTCAGTCCCTCAACAACCTAAATTTTATTCTATATTTCTCTTCCTTTAGAACAAGAAATTAAATAGTTTATTACTAGACGTTACAGTTTACCACTCATATCACCTTACTCCTTGCCTAACAAACCAGCTTCATATAAGTGATACCCATTAAATAAGTTAATATTTAATTTCAACACTCCACTCACCGAAAGAGCACATTTAGCTATGAACATTTCTGGCAGAGGACCACCTGAATCGAAACACATTCGATAAAATTTATCCAATGATGTATCCATTACTTCCATGCAAATCCATACATCGCCTTCACGAAACATTGCTCCGTAAAAACGCACCATCTAAAAATTATTTGAAAAGCATGTATGTCCAATATGGGTAATATAAAAAGTTTATAGAATATTTGAAAAGTCGAAAACAGGACTGTCAGAGCCGCTTAAAACATTAACCACTAATATAACAACTCAATATTTCAAAGTATAAGGACTACCTGTGGACAGCAATCGCTTTTCATGCAAGCTTGTAATTCCACAAGCATTCGTTTCTGACTTTCATCATTTATTTGAGAATGAATACGCTGAAAAAATGAAATTTTCAAAGTTCTTTTAAAAGTTATAGTTCACCTCTCTCTGCAAACCTCAGAGCGTGTTACGCCCTTCTAAAATAAGAATTATTGAAAGAAGTTTGTTATCTTAAACCAACCTTAACAGCTATAACAGTATTCGTTTGACAGTGACGCATTTTTTCAACAACCCCATATGCTCCCCTTCCAAGTTCTTCAATCTTCTCTAAGTCTTGAGCTCGTACTTGAACCTCGTCACCATCTTCCGAAAACCTACAAATACCCGATGCTAAGAAATATCACAACAGAATTTGAGGCTCCTTCCTATTTGTAAATAAGAAGCAATCAATTTTGGTGTATTTTATTTTTTTTTCTTTATTTTTCATTTTTTTTTTTCATTTTTTTCTTACATCATATACTTTTAGGATAGTCGGTACAGAATGATAGTCTTTTATCAAAAAAACTCATTTTGTTAAAAGCTTTCTCGCTTAAAAGTGACGTTAAAATCCGTCTAAATATATATGAAATAAATACAGATATAGTTCAGGATAGTAAAAAACGCAAAAACGTTTGCTGAATTTATTTCCAGTAACTCCCAACCAACTTGAAATATATTTAAATGCCATCCAAACAGTTCTTTTAAAGAAATTTAACGGAAGGAAAAAAATTTTTATAAATGTATAATCAGCACAATGCTGATGATTTAAACTGGAATGTACATCTTACTTCATCATGCATTTATCGTCAAGATCGAGATTTGGTGGACTTTCAGGTTCAGGCATTGTGAGACGTCCCAGTTTACTTTTACCTGCAAGAAAAGCGAACTGCCAAATATTGTCTTTTTCAATTTATTTAAATGAAGTTAGAGGACATGGTCAAACAATAACTAACAAAAATCAGAGAGTTCAAATTTGGAATCCATAGTCAACTGATAGTTGAATTAAACGGAATGGTTCTGTAAGAGAAAAGAGGAATTCCGGTAATACTGACGTCTAACCACGCCAGACTGGAAGTTACATTAGCACTGGACAAAGCAGTGGTGCTATGAACTGCAAATATATTGCTCTGGGATAAGATTTTTTCTGTAATCAAATAGATCAATAAATCAAAATTGAAACGTCAAAGACTGCGTACTAGAAAAACGGTTCGGCATTGTCCGTGACTTGGTAGTTGGCAAAAGCGGCAACTGCTATAGCTAAAATTGAAGTTGGAGTAATCTCATTTCAGCAACAATTAATTAAGCAGAAAACTTGTCCGAAACTAAACTGTTTTCATTGATAATATGCAATCGCATAACCTGGAATTTTTTTTAATTTAGGAATTAGCGCTGAAATCTAGAAATGAATAGCTTATACCAATATCGCAAAATTACTCATGAAGCAGATGAATGTTCTGTTGTTTTTCATTTCTTTTTCAATTTCATAAGTCACTCAATGTTAGCTGAAGAAGTGAAGAAGGAAAGTATTATATTATATATTACTGTTCGATTTAGGTTTACATCAAAAAAGGGAATTCGATAATTGCTGAAAGATGTTGAAAATTCAAGGGCTCAGGTTAGCAGCATTCAGTATTAAGTGACGGGAATTTCAAAAGAGGTTTTTTGAGTTATTATACAAAAAATATGAATAAGGAAAGAAGTACTGGAAAATAAGCCTTACTCGCCTTGATTTCCTTCCCAAAAGAATACCATTTTCTACGATACATTCACTCAGATTAGCTACAAACATCGTATGGTATTTGAAGTATGGATAGTTATAGCATGAATGGAATGTGCTATTCACCAATAATAAATCAGAACTCTGTTTTTGTAGCACTACAAGCAAATATTTTGCATAATGCATGGTACCAGAATTTTAACACTACCGATTGACTTCTCGATAAATGAAATCGTCCCGTGTATGGAAATATTGAGATCTCGTGCGGTACCAGTGGCAAAAGGGAGAGGGGAAGAAAGGACAAGGACTGGAGAGGTACCACACCCAACGAGTGCAAACAAGCACATACAGGACATAAAAGAAAACCCTTCAAATGGTTCTAAATGATGTCGGGAAATGTCGTTCCCAAGCTGATTAAATCAAAAACGTCCTTACTCCGTCTCTAGAAACAGTAAAAACACCTAAAGACCATGGCATCCGTCAATATTTTCATGCAAATATTGCGCTGTTACAGCTCACATAAGCGCTTATCATCCGGGAGGATGATGTGCTGTTATCTCGGGAGAACTTTTCCGATATAACGTTGGACCACGTAGAATAGATATGTTATTATGATTGTCGTGCTTGTTAACATTGTTTGATGTATTATTTATGAGATGATGAAGTAGAGAAATATAATAGACAAGAAAGATGCTGCTGTAGGGTTTGATAAGAAAGACTGATACGGGACATAACGAAGTGAGGGCATTTAAACTGTCAAGAAGAGAAGAGCTGCAGCCACTAATCTTCTCGTTAAGTGAAATACATCATATAGGACACATGGGTGTTCTTTTAAAGTTCTTTACGCAGCAGCAAATAAGTTGTTAAATGGTTTTAAAAAAATGTGGCAATGTTATGGTTTGTATGGTCTTATTAGAATGTGTTGCTATAGAGGTATGATGGACAAAGTTTTTTGCGGAGATCCTTCAACAAACTGTCGCATTAGCCGGCGCATTGGGCATGTGTCCTTTATATCTTCATACAAATGCAGAGAAAACTGTTACTACAATTTCTGCACGTTCGCTTTTTCAGTTTACTGTTAAATCATCAGAATTTTCATCGAAGTTTATTTATGGTTGATACAGTATCAAAGCGAGTGGTAAGTATATTATGCATTAATGCTACTCTATTTGGATGATTAACTTTTTGCTGAATAAACTTTTGGTTTCTTTCGAATTGCGACCGTATTGAATTCGTTTAGATGCATCAAATGTTAGTTGTTCTTCATAGCTGTCGCAACTTCATTTTTTGTAGAATATTCAGCTTACCTCTGGCATAGATTCACGTAATAGTGAACCTTCATGTAGTGAAGCATTCGTCATATCGTCACCTACAGTTTCGGTTGACTTGCAGAACGAACCATTGTCGCCAGTGTCTGAACGCTATCGCCTTAAAAAATTCCACCTGCAACAGAAATATGAATATATTTATATGGTATTACGTGCTTCATTCAGTAGCTTTTTCGTTTTTTAATCTCTTTTTCATTAAACAGATATGCCTGCTATGTACCTTATTGTGGATATGAAGTTTTTCGACTTTGTTCGTTTTGCTGTATTATTCGAAATTCTGTAGTTCAATTTCTAGCAGTAATTTCAAAGATTGTAGGTGTACTTCTTGTCTAATATGTTTAAGTCGTTTAAAATCACTGAACAACTTTCAGTCCAACAATCGGTTGCGGAATCGTTTATATCATATCAAAAAAGAAATCAATCATTTAAAGCGCCTGAAAAGGTTTACTTTGTGCTTATTTGTCGTCTTCATCGATGCCAACAAAGTATTTGTGTTTTCTATTGTTTGCGAACCATAAGCTGTCTTGTCACCTCAAAAGCTGATCAATAACTGTTAATGATGATAAGTATTGGTTGTTTAGAGTACTTTGTCAGCGATTGTTCACATTTCGTGATCCGTTTATGGATTCATGCCTCGAAATTCCGGATAATGATCCGACATCTCCAACAACAGAGAAGATTTCAAACGATGCAATGGGGAAACCATCTAGTAGTTCCAAAAAAAAGAAGGCTGCAGAAGTTAAAAGAGTTAATCAGGTTAATCACTTCTTTGCGGTCTTCAGCTTTAAATGATGTAAATGTTATCATCGCACATCAGGTATCTTCCGGAACGCACGCTCCAATAATGTTTACTGATGGAACAGATGAATGTGGTTACCAAATATGACAAATATGACAAAATTCAATATCAGTTGTCTCAAACAATTGGTTAAACAATTACACTACTAACGCTTACATGATTTCGTTTGATAACTTTCGCGGCGGTCTGCAGTTAAGCTACGAAGTTTGTTATAGAGGCGACTGCAATTATCAAACAGAAAACTACTGCATCGTTCAAATCAACCCTAGGTTGCAGAGAGGATCAAATGGGCAAAATTCTAGGTGCCATGTTGTCGAAGGATTCCAACATAAACATTTCATTACCACATGCAGTTCGCTAATAAGGGGTGGATGTAGACTGCATATTGCAGGAGAAAGGTAAATGTTATGCGACGTTCTAAGTTAATGCAAAAATTGTCTGATACCAGAGATCTATACGAAAAACGGAAGTGCAATGTTTTCGAAAACCGAAGGAAGATGGAGAAGTGGGCTTTGTCACTACAGAAGTTGATACTGCCATATTTCCATTTGCTCAGAAATCAAAATTGGTAGTTTTGTAACATTTACGGTCGTCCAAGTAAGCTTAGATGGGAGGAAAAGCTTTTTGGATATTCGAATATTTAACCTATTAACAGAGAATTATTGGATTATGAAAAATCAGTATTAAGGATGTAGAAGAAAAATGGACGTTGAAAAATGGACATTTTTTTGTTTAATTTAGTGGATTAAAATTGAAGATTGAAGAAAAAAATTGTTTAATTTAATGGACCAAAAGAACAAGGGCTTACGATACCAACACTTTCAAAACGTTATAGAAGTAACTGCTTGAAAAAGTAGTGTCTTTAAGGAATAAAGTGGTAGAAACCATATAGAAGGTGCTGAGGTCATGCATTAAATATTAGCACGAAACTTTTCGAATAGTATGATTCAAATTCATTTGTGAAAAAATAAGTAAAAACTTTGTAAAGATTTTCTAACCCAAACAGTGTTCTTAACTGAAAGTGCTCCAAGATGATGAAAGTGAAGCTTCTGATGTAGAACATATTCAAGGTTTATGTTGGGCAATACAAAATACGAGGCAGTTTTACTATCGGCTTTGACTTCAGTTGTTTCGAGCTTGAAAAATTGTTGTCTCGCAGGAAATTTATCTCAGTTATTGTTTAAATTCCAAATTATGTTTTTTAGCAAGTAAATGAAGTGTCATCAATGGTAGAGATAGCGAAAAATAGTGTCATATCAATAATAGACTCGGTGATTACTGAATCTCATGAAGAACGTGTGCGTGCCAACCAGAACTCTACTGGTCAAAAAACTCCTCGGCAATCTCCCACTCTTCCAGTTCTAGGCGAAACAGTGCGAAATGAAGCAGAGATCGGAGAGGTAAACATGCTTAGATTTCTTTGATTTCATCTTAACATTTGTGGAACTTTTTTCATGAGTGCAATTTTTTTTTTTAATATGTCGTGACTTTTTTTTATCATTACAGGTCTCTGAAGATGGTGAACCAGTTACTGAAAGGATGTTGCGCGCTTCATCTATAGATCATTTGTTACCTATTGATCCAGATTCCGATCCTAATAATGTTCTTACTGGATTTGGTGAAAATCTGGAAGAAAATTTTATGGCCGAAGACTAGAGTTGTTAATAACCTGTAATTGTGCTGTTTGTTTGAATGTGAAATTTCTGTCCGTTTTATTGGAGTGGTGGTGATCCATTTACTTTCGAGAATAATCTTCTGCAACAGATTTATTCTGAAATGAAACAAAAATTAGGTTCAGAGTCTTTGAGTACTGATTTCTCTCATGATTGTACGAAGAAACATGTAAAAGAAACTAGATCACTGTAGGTTTAATAAATAGATTTAATTAACAAATCTACTGCAGAGGTCTTTTAAATTTAGTCATAGTGTTGTTACCTCAGCAAAGTTCGTTAGTTTCATGTAATATCTAAACATTAGTTTCATGTAATATCTAAACATCGTTTTATTAGTTAAACAGTGATAGTCACTATTTAATTGCAGTATCACAAATTATAGCTTATTTAGTTTGTAGTTCAAATTATAGCTTATTTAGTTTAGTTTATTTAGTTCTTTTATTTATTTATTTATTATTATTATTTTTTTCTTTTTGATATGTATTTTATGTATTTTTTTTTTTTTTTGATTTAAAGTATGTTTTTGATAATTGAGAATGGTACGAAATTGATATTCATATGGCACTTTTTGATATGTATCAGTTCGAATTTCGATTTGATAAGCCTTTTATGAGAAAGAATAGACGGTTATAAGCTAATTGTGGGTTTTAATTTGAAGTTGTCAGCTTTGTTCTTTCCCGAGAAGCGCATATGTATAAACTATAGTTCAGATGTATTAACTGTGTTTTTTTTTTTTGTTATATCGTCTTTGCAGAATTGTTTGTCTCCTCTACATAAACGATTAGCATTAAATTAAATATATTGCCATATCTTGTAATTACGCTCTCATTTGGGTTTTTTCAATCACATTCACATTTGTATGATTAGATTTGGCAGCTGTTACGAATCAGTTTTGTAATATTTCTGAATGGAATTAATTACTTTTGTGACCGTTCGAACGACGTATATGTTTTTCGTCATGTTATTCTTTCTGTGTTTAAAAATTTCCAGGTTTGGTAATGCTTGAAACTGGTTATTGTGTTGACGTTTTCAAACTTTTAATTTGCCGTTTATTTTCTACCAAACAACTAGCACATTTTTTAGGCTGCATTCTGTGGTGCATAGGGGCACTGTATGTACCTCGCATTACTACGGGTTGTAAGTCGAAAATTTTCGAGAAGTGTTGTAGACCGAAAAATGAAAGTCATACCTGTCCCAGCATTGAGTGATAATTATATGTATCTTTTGGTTGATGAAAAGAGCAGTGATGCTGCTATTATCGACCCGGTTGACTTGAAAGGCGTGAGTTTGCATTACTTGAGAGTTAATCTGATCTTATCAGTCTTTACTGATGCGCTTGGTTGAAGTAGGAAACTGTAAGTTTAGGGACAGAAAATACTTTTGTTGTATGGAATATTTAATATTTTGTAGAATGAATATTGAAATGGCGAATACTTGCAGATAAATAAAACTGTCAAGGAGAATGGTGTGAAGCTTACATCTTCCCTGGTTACTCATCATCACTGGTATAATTTCGATCTATTTAATCAACTTTATTTATCATAAGCAGCATACGGTACTCTCCTTACCTTCAGGGATCATGCTGGTGCGACGAATGAGCTTTCTGACGAATATCGTGGGTTATCTATTTATGGAGGTGATGATCGTATTGCAAGTATTACCAACAAGGTGAGGGATGGTGATATTTTCAAGGTATGTTACATTTTTAGTAGCGCATTCGATTGAGAAGTGGGATTTGTCAGTTCCACTTTTTCTGTGCTACTTATTTATAGTTAAATTAAGTACTGGTAGCAGGGTTTACCGTTTTGTCTGGAAAAAGTTGAAACCGTTGTAATTAAGTTCAAACTACGACGAGTTTTTGGATCAAATAAATTATCATAGTATAAAGCTACCTCCGCCACAGATCGGTGAACTTGATGTGAAGTGCTTGTATACGCCTTGTCATACAACGGGTTCCGTTTGCTATTATGTTACCGATGGTAGTGGTGACAAAGTAGTTTTTACTGGCGACACACTGTTTATAGGAGGTAACAAGAGATTTTCTTCATTTCTTTACAACAAACTGCAAACTTTTTAGCCAAGAGTGATCATTACCATAGGAAATTAGTGCAGTCATTTTCACAAATCAAGCCGGAAGAGTAGATTTTATAATTACTTTACATTTGTTTTGTAATAGTATGTAAAGTTGTAAAAGATGAGGTAGACTTTTTGTTATACTTTGTTTCTCTTTTTTATAAAGGTTATTTGATCTCACAAGCTTCATCGTCCAAGCTGATTTTCCAAAATCAGTCAGAACACTGTTACTTTAAGCTGACAGTAGTTCTGCTGATTTCATTTCATAACATATTTTTTAATATCGCTTTTTACCTATCTTTACGTTTTCTTTACCGAATCTTTACCAATAAGAAATATTTACCTTTTCTTTCTCTTTTATTGTTACAGGATGCGGACGTTTTTTTGAAGGTGATGCTGCAGATATGGATTCTGCTCTGAATAAAAAACTGGGCAGTCTGCCGAATGATACGGTACTTCATTTTTACGATTAGATATTCAGTGTTATTGTATCCCAATCGGTTTATTTTAGAAGATATATTGTGGACATGAATACACTGTTGAGAATCTGAAATTTGCTCATTCAATTGAACCAAAAAATGATGAAATTACGAAAAAATTAGCTTGGGCAGAAGAACGACGAAAGGCTGGCGACTATACGGTACCTTCTACAATTGAGGAAGAGAAACGTTTCAATCCTTTTATGCGTGTTCGGTTAGTGTTTGCAAAAAACGCTTATTGTCGAGAAGGCACAAAGATTGGAATTGCTATACATTGCTTTATCAAAGGGCCATTTCTTTTTTTTTTGCGATATGGTCTGACTAATTTAATTTCAGCATAAGTGATGAACTGAGAAACGTGACAAAATCTTCAGATCCTATCACTATTATGGCAAAGATCAGATCTATGAAAAATAATTTCCATTCATAGTGTAATCTTTTTGCTTCCAATTTCTGAATTCGACACTTCATGCGTATCTGCATAAGTATTTATCAGGATTTTGCGAATTGGTTTTTATGTGGACCGTTGGATTTCATGTTTTCGTCGAAATATAATGCAGAATGTTGTGCCGAGCAATTTGCATAAACTATAAGAAAGCCTTCTTTGTTTTTAACACTCCCAGAAGACCAAACATCTAACGTGGCCTGCCCAACTTCTGAGAATGTCATTTCATGTTTCAAAAAGCAATGCACGGAAACTGTAGCACATATCAAGAAATTCTAAACAATTTACTTTATGTATATGAAGCTCTGATATAGCAGTTAAGTGAAATCGATAATTTATTGGATTTGATAATTTGTTGCATTAGCTTTATTTTCTGTTTTGAAATTGGAATATTTTCACATGATTTTGGGAATGTGCTATTTGTGAAACTTGAACTGGATGGGAATTTGATTCAATCTACTGGGAAGTACTGCTTGGTAAGCTGTGCTGATGTCAGGATTTTGTCGTCTGTGAATTGAGCAAACTGGGGTTATGCTTCGTGTTGTATTGTACCTTCAGCACAATTGATGTTTTAAATGGCTATTGGGAGACTAGAAAACGATCGGAAGGGGAATGGGGAGAGGGAGGGGCATGGCGGGGTATTGTGATGCGGTTGGATTTCTTTGTATTAGAGATTTTAGAACAACCGCTCGTAAAGGTTTGCTGTTGGCGTCCATCGCTACAATCAATAACAGCGTCCTATTCGTTGTTTCTACTTTGAATTTGAACTTTCACATTAGTTAGTAAAATAAAAAAAAAAAAACCTCCGAGTTAGCAGAGTCAACCTTTCGGAATATGTTGTAACGAAACTGGAAATTCCAGCACTTGAAACCCAGTTTCGTAGGGGAATAACATTAGAGAATTAACTTCAAGTTTTGAAGTTTCAAAAAGTCAATTGCATCAGTGCATGTTCGGGGCGGGTTTTATTAGGATACTTTTTACATTCTTTAAAACTAATTTTCTATAAGAAATTTATTGTTTCTGTAGAGGCAATATTTTACTGTGGACTTCCAGAATCAAATGGTTTGTTAATCAAAACAACTTTATAAGTCTAGCAAATCCCTTCCATTATCGGAAATATGATATGTTTCCGGCGATTTTTTAAGATTTGTCGCTTCTTAAAGGATATTCACTTCTTGTCTTATAACTTTTTGAAAAAGTAACCCTAGGATGGCTTTTTCTTCAAATCGTTACTTTAACTCATGTGGGACTTATATTGTCTTCGAGAAAAATATTTTTTGTGATAGGGGCGTTGCTATCAAATAATTGGAAAGGTATTCACCTCAAGCATTTTCTGACTGGCAAAATGAACTGAAAAACACGAACAAGCATCAAATTGCTTGCTATTGGTGCTTAATACCAGTCGCATCTCCGGTATGTGTCTCTAATTTTCTCATTTTTTTAGATCTTTTTATTTAAATGCTTTAAATGAAATGTATAGAGTTGATTGCAATGTTTACGCGAGTTATCAATTAATGATTTGTAGTAATAAAAATAAATGGTTTGTAGGTATAATTTCATTTTGCTTTTTGTACATAAATTTAAACTTATGTTAACAAAATAATTTGTCAATTTCAATAGAAGCTGATTTATTTTCAGATAAAGTGGATACTCATTAATTTTCATAAATTTCAGGCCATCAAAAGATCAATCACTGGTTTAGCTATTTTCATTTATAAGCTTTAAATTTTCTAAAGAATTTCTTATTTCTGGATTTTCTGGAAATACTGCACAATGTTTTTGGCCGATGGAGTTTTTGGCCGATGGACAGCTTACGGTATATTTGGAAGGACAACACGTCTAGTGTTCTTCAGCACACAGCTTCTTTCAATTGTAACAATTTTTGCTTCATGGGAAAAAATGTTAAATGGATTTTGATAAAACTGAATATTTTGATCAAATTCTGGTTAAATTTTTCGTTTATAAGTTTATGTTTCGCACTTTGAAATCTACAGGAAATATATTAAATGTATTCGTAACAAATGTGTTAGAAGTTTGAAATCAAATTTTTCTTTCTTCTGCAGATAGCTTTATTAGCAGTGCTAATATACGGTTGTTGGTTAATACAGAACCGATCACAGTACGCAGAACTGCTTGAGCCAAGTTTGTACGTGGATGTTGCTCGTATTATGGTTGTCAGCTCAATATTTGCACTTATTAATACTAGCATGTCGGTTTATGCTTTAACAAAAGAAATGCGATGTTTCGTGTATTCGGTTTGTTCATCTTTGAGAAAGTTGTATAATTAGTAAAAATGAGTATGATGACGAAAATTATTCGGTCACTACAGCATTGCAGCATGCTGGTTATAGATATTTATAAAATGCTAAACTACTTGAGCTAAAATTATTTCGTATGCTTCACATTGCATATCGTGTAAGGACAAAAGAATGAATGTTAAACATATCATTAACTTATTTTTATTGTTTGAAATAAACATATAATAAAATTTCAAATGGGAAGAGTTTGTGAAATTATTTCAGTATGTGATAGCTAGCGGAGTAATATTTGTAATGATGTTTATTGGTGGTATTATGGGTTTCGTATTCAGACATCAGGTCTGTTACTTTATTGAAGGTTGAAACAAGCGTTCTGACCACTTATTTATTTCGAGAGGTGGACTTGATTTGATTTTGTGTCCATATTCCATTGAAATCTCAGACTTTATCAATGATTTTTGCAGTTACAATATAGGATACCGCTTCATCTAAAAATGCTTACATCACTACGTGAACTTTATGGGTTACCGGAAATGGAGAGAATTACTTATGCCTGGGACGAACTTCAAAGCAATGTGAAAATTCCAAGCTTTTTTGCACGAAGTCTTTTTTTTTTTACTTTTTCACGCTTCTTTCTACAAACAGTTTTTTAACCGGTGGGATTTCGACTTCATGTGTCAATATAATTTATACAAGGTACGTTCAGAATGAGTATTGAATGAATCTGTTTTTTTTTTTTTTTTTTTTTAGTTCAATTGCTGTGGAGTAAATGGTACCGATGACTTGAGGATCTGGAAAACATCGAAATGGTTTATGCATCAAAAAGGATTCAAGCAAAAACTTCCACTGTCATGGTTTACTTTCGATTGATTAAATTTGTTAATCAAACTCTGCAATAACAAGTTTAAAAACTTGCCCTCCACTCAGTCCATCATTTGAACTCCATGCACTCATAAAAAGATTAGTTCAAACATTTCAGGTCTTATATCTTATATCGTTAAATCGTTTCGAATACAAGATTTTTAGCTGTGTAAATGAAATGGTCCAACGTTGTCTAAAAACGGACCTGTATCATCCGGATGAAAGTGTCGTTCATAAGGAAACATGCTACATGTTACTACGGTCCGATTTATTAGATGTAATGCATGTGGCTGCTTGGCTCCTTATTATTGCAAGCGTAATCACGGTACTATTCTCATTCATCTTTTCATTAAGACTTTTCTTAGTCTACCTGATATTGCGGTTTATAATTAGTAACTGGAAGCATATCTACACTCAATATGTAATGTATTATTTTGAAATCCAGACTAACTGCTTATAATATTTCATTTCCAATTACCTACATTCAATTATCCAAGAAACCCAATTTGAATCCTTTTATAGGTAATACCTGCTGTGTTCGCAGGTATTTATGCTCTTCTGATCAAGAAGTAGTCAAATTTGTGCTGTTTGCTTCCTGTACTTATGATCTAATGACTAAAGCTGATAACGATGAATATAAGCAATTTTTATATTTTTTCCTGACTAAGGAATACAAGATGGATGCCGCTGCTCTGATGTGCGTTTGTATTCTGGTGTTGAAGTTTTTAAAAACCATTGTTTACCTATGGAATAAAGTGAAATAGCTGTTCAGGAAGCTAATTTATACAGATGAATCGCAAAATGTAAATGCCTTAAATTTCTAGTCCATTGGCTATTTTAGTTACTGAAAATTGTGCATTTCTGGTTAACTGAGAACTGAGGATAAAGAAGGCGAGGCAGAAATATACTATGTGGTACTTTAATTCTCAAATCTTTCCTTAGATCTACGGCTCCAAAAACTTGTCTGCTAATCTTTTGAGGTTCCAACCAACACTTCGCATTCGAATTTAGTAAAACTTCATACCAAAATTCCATATTAAAAAGAAAAGCAGTTAGTTAAAAACTCACATTTCCCAACCAAGTCATTGTTATTTATCAAAACGCTATTCTCCCGAGACATTTAATTCAATTTTATATAAGTGAATAAACAGGGGAAGTTTTACATTTTACCATGCGCGTTTTCCATTAATCTTATCAGTAATTCAATACCGTGCAACGGCACTTGAAGAGTTCTGTCTTCAGTCTTCTTGAAATTTGTTCTGTGGAACAAATAAATTTTATGAAATTACAGATTGCTTTACGACATAATAATGGACAACAGAAATAAGTTTGGAGAAGTCTCCTCCTAATGACTACTTGAGATATACTATACTATTATGAAAATTAATCTATTAAAATAGTTCTTTGGCAGGAAAAATATACATAACTAATTCTATCAAGTTCTTGTATTCTTCCTGCAACACGGCCAATAGCTTTTCACAATTAAAGAAACACTACTAGTAATTCCAAACTAACAAAAATGTAGAGTTCCCTACGTATTAATTTTAATAACTGCAATATCTACACGACTTCAGTTATGAAAGGTTCGCATCATCCTCACGATTCTGCCAGAAAATGCATCATATTCTAGAAGATTATAATCACACGAACTGCATTTCAAGCTAAAATGGGCGAAATTCATATAGTCGTCATCAATTAAAAATCTTTCGCAGCAAAACTAGAAAGTTATCAGCTGAATTGAAGCGTACTTCAAAGAACAGAAAAAATATACTGAATTAATAAGTAAAGTGATAAATAGTTCAATGCAACGAAACGTCGCTGCATGCGCTTTCACGAATCTTATATAATTTATAATTTATATATGTAAAATTGTAAATGCACGAGGATACTGGATATTTCAAAAACTTCTGCAAATCTAGAAGAAGCGAAGTATTATTGCAAACTACGCCCCTTTAATATTAGAAGGATTCGACTCATCAAATTATAAACATGCATGAAGAGGCTATACTAATTAAGGCTACCTAATCGAATAACTAACAAAAATGGATCAATTTTCTAATTTGTGACATATATTTGCACATGGATGTGTTACTGTTTCATGTTGTCATAGCTCCTGTTTCCTCAGTGTTTTCAACACTGCTACATCAGTTTACAGTAGATCTCAGGAGATAGCATATTTTCTGTTAATGCAAAATTCTTCATAAGTAGAAACACTTCATAGTTAGAAATTCATAGTTTGCACAAACTTATTCAAGAATCATGTGTAAAGCATGAAAATGATGCACCACCAGGAAAAAAAATTAGATGATAGGTTGAGGGTAACGACTGTTATCGATACGCTTTCTAGCTACAATTTCCTGTTCTTCGGAGAGCCAAGGTGCATCAGTATTGAAATGTATTGGATCGCAACCAGGTATTTTCTAAAAACGGAAAATATGTAAGGTCAGAACATTATTTTTATTTTTTATTTTTATTTATGTATCTATGGGATGGGGTTACTTGCATCTAAAATTTCATACCCCAAAATAATACAGCTAAAAATATGAAAAGTCAACTACCATCTAAAGAACTTTATGCATTATTATACACCACTCAAGTGATCGATGTTTAATATACAAAACAAAAAAAAAAAAAAAAATAGCTGAAACTTTAAACAGCTGAAGAATTTAAATAAAAATTGTATTTAAATAAAAATTACTTTCCATTTTGGAGAAGTCAGAACACCTATTGTCGCCAAGCATACGAACAGCTAAAATTTCAGAGATTAAATTTTCAGCAAAATAATGGAAATGCTTCAGTTCCAATGCGCAAAATCAAATGAAATGGTTATACAGAAAATTAAAAAGCTAATCATCATGAAAGTGCAGCCATTCAATTTACTGAGCAACACATGTTTTCCTAAAATAAACTACAATACTCTCACCACACTATTACTTAATTCAACTTCCCTCAACTGTTTGTCAATATAAAGCCTTTTTCACTTGTTTAATGCTTTCAGAATATGTTTCGGCATATATGAACTAGACATTTTGTCATTCCTATCTCAAAAGATGTGTATATCGAATTTAGTGAAGGAAAAACTAATATTGTGGATAAACATCGGATTATGAAAACTTGGTTGAAAGCAGTCGTAAATATACCAAATAGCAGACGAATATAAGATATGCGAGGGATGGGATCAAGAGTACTATCCAGATGTACCATGTGTTTCCCAGCTCTCCAGTTATGTAATCCGCGAAGAAGTATAAATTAATAAAAATTACAATACAAGACACAAGTAACGCCGAAATTTGGAAAAATCTAAAAATGAATTGCAAAATAAGGAAGCCGAAAATAAATTACTCTGTAGAAGAAATCAAAGACAAAAATTAGACAGATCCACTAACATGAAATTTTTTGTATTTTCGTATAAGCCTTAAGCCCTTTTTTGGATAAAAATGCATTCAATTTTACTGCATAATATTTAAGAGTTAAAGAAAACATAGAAAGAACGAAGAAACCTGGAATTTCGAAAATCTAGCATGACTTTGGCACTAGATGTAAATGTTACCACTGGAATAAGCGCAAAAGGCAGTTGCACCATTTGAACACAATTTAACAAATCATTCATCCCCGTTAAGTCATGCATACTATTTATGCGCAATGCAAGCAATAATGCCGGTACAATTGTTATGCTACGAGTAACCAAAACTCGTTTCCAACGAGACCAACGGATTTGCAAGAAACCCTGCAGTACATTACATGAAAGAAATTTAATAATTCAAAATTATCGTTTGCAGCACCCGACTTCGTTAAATCCGAAAATAACAGCAAAAAAAATAATATCATTTCTAGTAAACAGACACACCTCCATCACAAATTGCCCAGTATAAGTACCAGTCATCGTAGAACTTTGTCCTGCTGCCCAGATGCCAATACCCCAAACATAGAGAGAAACCAAACCAAATTCACAGCCAAGAAATATGCCACCTTTGTATAAATCCGATTTAGCCGTCTCATTATCATAAGGAAATGCTGTAGCATCCATGCTATCTTTACGTGCGTCACAATTTACCCTCTACGAAATAAATTTAAACGAAATTAAATCAAATTAAATAGACAAAATTATACAATACTACAGCACCAAATGGTTTTATGTAGCGTACTGATAAATTCTCGACAAATTTTACTTATTTTGAATTATGTCAAAGTTGAATTCAAATCTTCGTGGCACAAAATGAAAACATACTACTTGGTAATTAGTCTTGCTATACAATCCATGCGCAAAAACAGCAACAACAAGTACATTAATTATAAAACTACATAATAATGCAACACCGGATTCGATAAAGAAGTAGAAACTTGCTTCCTGGATGCTGGCTTTCCTTTTCCTATCTACTTCGCGACTCTAAAAAATATTTTCTAAATCCAGAAAACATAAATGCAACCTTTAGATTTAGCTGAGCATGAAACCTATACAAACTTTACCAAATGACTTCATTTATTTCTAAGTTAAAGAGCAAATAAAGTGAAGCAAGATGAACCTTAACAAGCGCGGAATGAAGGTATAAATTATGAGGCATTATGACAGCACCAACAATACTAACAGCAAGCATGAACTGATCACGACCACAGCCTTCGCACCACGGTAAAAACATACCTTTCAAGACCGAGAGCTGATCCGGTTTTACTATTACATACTGAAAACATTCTTACATTTCAAGTTTGTTAAGAACATACCAGTAAACTACTTTATTTCAATGTCAAAAAAAAAAAACATACCAGAAATTTCTAAGCGATAACTTACTTCATAACCGAAGGTAGCCCCCATAATCGCAATCAAAATTACGAAGAAAACTTCTAGCTTTCGAAAGCCATAAGTATCCAAAAATAAGAACAAAAATGTTTCTAGAACGGTAATGAGAACGCCAATGTATAAAGGAATCCTGCAAACACTCAAAATTCTCGAATTTTTTGAACAAGTAGAATATCATGAATAGCTAATATGGATGTAAATTTACATGTGAGTAACTCACCAGCCTCCAGTTACAAGATAGATTGCAATCGATGTACCGATAACTTCCTGCATATCGCTTCCAATAATTGCTATTTCAATCATTACCCATAAAAGGAGCCGCGGCGTTCGTGGGTAATATTCATACGCCACCTAGTAAATGAGGAATTTTCATTTCATTCTCGACGGATTATAAATATTGTAAAACTGACAGAATCGTAGCTTTCAGTATACTTTTTTGTTGTTTAAAAAAAAAAAAAATTCACTTCTGCCATATGCCTGCCACTTACAACACCCAAACGAGCGGATAATCGCTGAAGAAACAAACCAATAATATGTGCAGATAGCAAAACCCACAGGAGCTAAAAACAGAGCAATTTATAGTTCCCTATGATGACTGATTTGAAATATCTGCTTCCGTTTTTTTGTGGACTTAAATCTAACCAAAAAAAAGTGATTAAATAAAAGATACTGCTTAATAAAGAGTTAGAAAATTTACTCGATACTCAGCTTGTGACCCTGATTGCAAATCGCTTTCAATATTTCCTGGATCCAAATAGGCTATGCTCATCAAAAATCCGGGACCCATAAAGGCCCACAACTTTCGAAAACTGAATCCCTACAAAATTATCTAATGACAGCTGACATAATTTAATTAAGAATAAAATATTAGATTACATCTTTAGCGGCTGAAACATCGATTATTATGAATGTAAGATGTAAGAGCGCTGTGAACTTCCATTAAAAGAAAAAAATTTAGAAATAAGCTTTCTTCATATTTCTAGATAAGAGCTACGTAAGAAGTTCTCAGCATAACATAAAAAATTTAATCATTAACCTACCGAATGTGGAACCTCTGGTATTTTAACTCGGTTTTTAAGCATGTGAGAGTCCGGATGGATAATATCTTTTGCATTTTTTTCCGACATCGGATCAGGATCTACAATTATTACAAAAACAGCTGATTTCATGGATCATAGGTATGCAAATAAAAAAAAAAAAAAAAAAAACAATCACAACACAAAACACAGTCAACGGGATGCATTTCAGCAAGAAATAAATTATTCATTAAATTCCAAAGGATCGAGCTATCTTAGTAATGATATAATAGGACCCCATATTTTCTTATATTAAAAGCTCTTTACGATGCCCTCATTATTCTCGCAGTTTCCGACATTTTGTAAATTAATTAATCATAAATTTATGAAAACTTCGGCGTTTATGATGAGCAGATAACTTAAAACGGCTACAACTGGCAAAAATAAAGTACTGCTTAAACAGAAATCAAATGCACCTGAACGTGCATAAGCATTTGCATTTTTTCCAACGTTCTCTGCAAAGATAAAGGATTCGACGACTGCATCTTAAATACTATAAGACTTCATAAAATGTGGCAAAGACATAATTGAAGACCCTACTGCCAATATATTATATCTGAAGCGTTTCGTTATTTAGAATATTCTGTTAACTTCACTAAGTATTCTATAAATACTTGCTTATGAGAATGTTCTAAGATGTAATGAGAATACTAAACTTATCTTAATAAGAAACGACTGACATTTAAATAACTTTCAAAACGAAACGATCAATATACATAGCAATACTATACACAAAACTTAACGATTTTCTTATAAACTTCAACAATTAAAAACAAAAAATTTTATCCAAATCATTTTAATTATGTTATTCATTTCGTTTTACTGTTTACGAGCAGTGCTGTTGAGAAGTGACTTTTCATCTTAAATGTGAATTTACAATCAATTCTTAAAGACAAACTGAAATAATAAAATGAATTTCAAAAAAATACTTAAATCAAACCTGCTTTATGCCATTATTTCTGTGGCCCAAACTGATGGTCTTCCCTCTTTCAAAACAAAGAAGAGAAAAAGTTTTATTAAAAATAGTCGATCCATAATTTGGGAAAAGATAAAGTTGGTTTCACATAAACTAAAAGAACCAGAAAAAAAAATGAATGAAATGAATAACATGACTAAAATGACTTAAAGCATTTGCATCACGTCATCCACTCAATTGCCGAAACATAACCTCCAATTATCTGGGAAATAATTTACGAATTCTTAGACAGAAGTTCACCCTCGTCAGCAGACGTAAATCCGTTGAATGAAACAAAATGTCATTCACATTCGACAATGAGTTCCCCAGAAAGGCTATATCCATTAAACATTTCGCGAAGTCAGTAAAGCAAACGATCAACAAGTCAAATTTCACAACTGCGTTAAGTGTTTCAGCCACCACACTCAAGAGAGAATACATAAAAATGATATGCAAAAATGTAATGAAATAAAAAGAATTACGAAGAATGTATTGGCGAATAAACAGTCATACTTCAATAAGGTTAGGCTAACAAAATAAACAGAAGTGGGAAGTGAAGCATGCCTATATGTTAAGGCAATGACAAAGGCTAAAGTTTACTGGAATGTTTGTAACAGTCCGTAAGTCAATAACAATGAAACATCACGGATGCAAAGATCAAATTTACACACAAAGGCAATGTCGGTTTTTTAATTGATCATGATATAATGCTAAAACGAGATATCTCATGAATGATTTGGACATGTAAATTGGAACGAAGCTCAATTACTAACTGGGAGTTCGAAAAAAGACGATGTTAGGAACAAGTTAGTTAGTGTGTACTCTTCATTAAAAGAGATAATCGTCAAATCAAAGAAATTTTCATTTTGAAGTCGAGACCAAATATTAGAAAAGTATCACTAAAGTCTGTAACACCAACAGATGGTAACAGTGACACATGTACTTACATATGATAAAAAACGATAGACGAAGCAATAGTTAAGAGGATAGCACAAGAAAACTGAAAGCGATAAATAGAATAATCAAAAAAAAGCTGATAACGATACACAATGAAGCATTTCTACATGATAAATATGTGCCACTCACAGAGTAAACATTTTCAATACTTGAATCATCATATATAATACTGATATTATGTATATCAACTCATCCAGATCATCAGATATTTATTTTTCGAACTATTTCGAGATCAGTGTTTCGCTGTTAGAGTTTTCTAATTTTCTACCATACACTGCTTTCCAAACATTCTATTCAGAAATTGAAGAAAAGTAATTTATTAGTAATTGTTCATGTTATATACGAAAGAATTTATGCAAATCAAATAAAGAGCTGAATTCCTATAAAATAATCAAAACGAACCATCATCACCTTCAGTTTGAGTGGAATCTGAACTAAGCAGGCATAAATTCTCGTCAACTTCAAGTATATCAGTACTTCCATACATTTCACACTTCACGTCTTCTCATTCAAGTACCACGTTAGATTCTGGAATAACAAAATATTTTCATGAATCGTGCACAGATGCACTAAATCACAGACGGCAAGACCATTGCTTTACCCAGCACGTTCTCTTCTGGGAGAGTAGCGACTTCATTTCATATGAACCACACGAATTTCTTGCGAAACTGTTTAGAAAATCCAAATACCATGTTCCGCAAAAGCATAAATAATTACTGCTGACTTTTGCAGGTTTGACTCGATTAATTATGTTTCTTAAAGGAATATAAAACTCGGCTTTTGCAATTGTTAAAATATGAGACTACTGTACCACACTTAGAGGGTACTGAAGAGAGCTTTTACGATAACATAGCACTTCTGATATAGCAGCTTTATAATAACTGTATGAAATCTCCACATAATATTCTCTTGTTTAGGCCGAAATAAAGACATAACTATAAAGTAACTATTAAAAGTACTGTCCTCAAATACCAACCTATCCAACTTAAGATATCAATTAATTTCGATGCTTAACCAATCAAATATTTGTACGGGTCTCGATTTACTGCATAATTGATCAAAATCATTCACATACAGTACATACGCATTTCTTTAAAAGTCACCCTATCTCAGACTGCATTCTGAAACGGTTGGATGAATGACTATCTTTCATACATGACAACAACTAACACTGAAATTACCTTCAATGCATTTCGACAATAACACCGACGACAGCAGAAAATCGATTCGACTGGAGAACATGGAAAATGAATTAATGGGCAATTCCAACAAAGTGCGGTATCATATCGAACGGAGTTAAATTTAACCCCAAAGGTCAATTAGGAAATATAGCAAAAAGAAAAGAAAAATTCCACTCTTCCGCAGAAATAAATGTCTTTATCACTTTTGAACACAGCACATCTTTGCGAGGCTTAACTGAATTAGGCAAAAATAACATAAATAGGTGGTGTGGATGTTGCAAAGTCCTAGGCTGATATTGAAGAATGCAGAAAAACGCACTGTTGAACAACTGATCTTTAAACTGAAGCCGTCATTCAAGAATAACTGAAGCTTAAATGGAAACTTACTGATGTTAAACAGTTACAACAATAAAATGTTCAACTAGGAAACAAAGTACATTTGTCATTGCCAGGTCAGAAATTATCCAAACCCTTCCACCTATAAAGTAGAAGGCTACAGTGTAATTTCAATAAAAATTAGTTATTTTCATCTCATGCAATTATTTTATATTATTTTCTGCCTTCAGAAAACTTCACATTAAAGGCCTTTCGAAAAAGGGGTACTGTTGGGACGACATGTAGAAATAATGAATACTTTCATTGGAGATTGTTATTTTTATATTTGTCACATGGTATATCCATTTTCTTCATAACTGATATTTTGAAAGAAGACATCTCATTTAATGAATATAAAAGTGCATCAGTATAGGTTTATTAAAACGATTACGCTACCCATAGCACTAGATTTCGACAACTTCCATAACAGAAAACTTGACTTAAAAAAGCAATTTCCACAGATACAATATTCCAGTTACTAATGACTTTACCACATCATCGAAGGTGTTACCTGTCCCTTGCGCAGAGTCACTCGTTTACTTCTAAGAATGCGCCATCTAACTTCACTAGGAAAGTAGTTCAGGTTGTTTTTGGCCACTTTGGCCATTGCAAATCAATGAGAATTCGTCACTTCCACATACAAGCTCATCATTGCTAGTGTGTTCCGCAGTAATAATAACCAGTAAATAAATTTCAATTTTGTTTTAATTTCCGCTGGCTGGAGCTATACTGGGTTTAACCGGGTTTAACAAGCAATAAACGTATATCAAATAAAGTGGTCCAAAAAACAACAAAGCTTAGGCAAAATCGAAACTATTGGTCATTACATATTTATGCATCTACAAATAAGTAGCAGTAAATTTTATAGTTTACAGTAAGAAGAATGCAAATACAGCCTCAAAATTAATACCGGAAGATAATTACCAGTGCAGGGAACAATGAGGTCATTTGATTCTTTCCAAAACTTTACTGCTACTTATTGCAGGCTTGTGAAACTGATAGATAGACATACTCATGAATTTCTTCGGACTTCATCACAACAGCAAATGTTTAACTTCTTCACTTAAATAACGAAAAGTGATTTCAAAGAGCTAGTCTTATATCAGGGTATATGATATTTATAAATCCAGAAATACATGAGGAAAGGAAAAAGAGCTTTCCGCAAATACTTTTAGACGTTACAGCGAGCGAACCGCATGTGCGAAGAGGGGGCCCTGGCATTGAATGTAATAGTCGATCAATGCCATATTATTCGAAAGTATTAATAGATTGAAAACCACTGTGACCAAAAATAAACGTTTCACATAACTTCTCTCTTTACACCAAGGTGCTTACTGCTTAGAGTTTTTTTTTTTCTTTTTTTCAAAAAAATCTGCAAACTTTCTCAAAAGAATACCAGTTCTTCCTTAATGCAATTATTTAATCCTTTAGATTCAGTATTGACAGTCCATCTTGTTGTGGTGTATCAATCGCAAAAATTCAAACCGTATTTTGATATTCGGCTGTTGTTTCGTTTTCCTACCATGACATCCATATGTCATATTGTAATGCGGAAACAATGTCTGTAAGATATGTATGTCACAGTTTTGTTCCGTCCGTTCAAACAAGCTGTGCATGTGTAAAGTTCTCATGCCAAAATAAATAGTCTACCTCTAACAATGCAACTGGTAATCGAATGTTAAATCAGCAAAGCATTCATAAAATGTAATGGGAAAGTTCCAAAAGCTTAATTAACTATGACCCACTAAGTGCGAATGTACAATATCCCAGAATTTTGCACAAAAAAGGAAGCGAATGCATCGCTAAACAGATTGAGAAGTTGGTATTGACGTGCATTTACAATAACTAAAAAATTCTTCAAAATACATCCTAAGTATTGACTATTGGCAATACTTTCTACAGTGCTCAAATAGTCAACAAATGTGTTCATTATGCGTTCCCTACATTCCTAAAAAGACATGTCTGGAAAACGAAGTATACTGCACTGCATGTAAGCCAATTTGTACAGTGCATAGATAAGCTGCAAGATTATGGCGAAGAACAATGTCTGTTATTTAATCGTCGCGGAAAATACATGCGTTCTGCAGAAAAACGTTTTTCAAATTAATAATGATAACTTTATTGATAACAAACGTATTATGCTCATTCTCAGTAAATAAATTAACCCCCGTTTCATTTAATAACATAAATTCTATTCAAACAAATTTGGAGAATCATTGACATTAAGTGCAGAATAGGAAATCCTATATATTTAACTAATAATTTTAATCATTCGTCAATAACGCTGAGAACTGACCGTTGCACTTTTGTTGGTGAGGCCATCTTTCCGTCTATCGGACGTGCACTGCAAAATAAATGCGTATTTTTCCTCTATGAATTCTTAGTCATATTTAAAAACGCAACATCAAGAACGCAGAATGTCGCTCGACACGTTGGACATTGAGCTTTGCCAGGCATCCACAGTTCGGGATGATGTGGATCTTGTTTAGATGCAAAGATAAGTCCCATACATGTGTCACACCTGCAGAGATACATGGATATACAGGATTTTCTTAAAAATTGAAAATATAAAAAAAATCTTTTGAAGCACAGAGAAAAGTAACTTATTCACCAATCCGACGGTTAAAAGGTTTTCAAATGAGTTCACAAAGAAGTACCACAGAACATACCACATAGGTCTGCAATAGCACTGCGTGCAATGGAGTTTAGGTCCTTCTGCACCCATATCATCCTGAATATTATTCAGACACTGTTTCCATAATTTGATGTTCGACATCTCAGTAGAGCAACCCAAACATGGCTCAAGGCGCTAAAAAAAAGCAATGCACCGTAACAGTAAGCAAATTGAATGTTTAAATATTTAAATATTGACAAAAACTAATTGCACTCGTATTTTAAGGTGTTGAAGACTTAACGTTTCAGAGAGAGAACTAATGATGAATTAAATATGGATATCGTTGAAGCCCCGTAACTGTTATATAATGAATAATAAGACTGATAAACAAAGAGCCTAAGATGAGGCAAAATGAACTATTTTACTGCAACTAGTAATTTATAAGATGTCTTCTGCTGAATCCAATAAGTAAACACCATTATTTGTAATCATAGATATATTATTAATTCTGGTGCGGATTCTGGTGCTAAAACAGCAAACATCAAAATCTCCGTCTGAATATCTGCTAGGCTATACTTATTTCAGAAAGTATAACTTAGTAAGTCATACGGGCTACACTTTCCCCACTAGTTGCCCCATTCATTGCCGTGGTCGTTTACGTTCACGGAAATCGTGATCATTTACGTTTAAAATGAGTCTAACACAATTTGACAGATGAAGTGTTCTGGGTTACTGAAATCGGTAAAACAATGATCTAACATTTCTGCAAAAACTGATTCCTTCAAACTTCAACTGCAGTTGAATACAACAATAGCTAATAAATTTTGTTAATCCGTAATTGCTTCGATCAGTCACCATTTTATAATAATTAAAGATAACTTTACCCCAAAATTTTCTTTACTATTTGACCATCTTCAATGAAATACTTGAAATGTCACTTTTTTTTTTTTTTTTTTATAACGACCAAAACTGACTTCCGGCTCGTCATATTCATATTTAGGATTCAAAGCAATTTGTTGTGTGAATGCTTCAACGAAACGCTCATTAAGTGATTGCTTCAATACTACTTCTCGAGCTACAGCAATAGGTTTATCTAGCTTGTTACGCAAATCACGGAATGATTCTGCACGTATTCTGAAAATAACAATATCACTGAAACTAAATTACATGAAATAACGATAAACACAAAATCACTTGCTTTCATCATTAATGAGAGATGAATAAGCAGAAAAAAAGAAAAGAGAACAAGTTACAACTTCTCAATTAATTTGCACGTCAACAAATAATTTAACATATCTGATGATAAATGGTTCGAAACGTTGTGTTGTACTGCTTACGCATATGTTGATGAACTGCGCCGAACCACCATTTTGTGTATGATGAGAAATCTAATAAAAGACCGCTTTCGCTTTTAAGGAAACAACGTGAATGAACATAAAAGCCACCTTATACTCAAGTTATGTAAAAGAAATTCATTATATTTATCTACAGTACGTAAACCGAACTCTATAAATTGTTTTGGTACGATAGGAGTAAATCGTACAGGAAGAGACAATAAATGAAGGAATAGCAAAGGAAGTAAAAACAGCAAAGCAAAGAAGAGAGAAAACGAAAAATAAATAACAAGTAATACTGGATGTTCGTCAGCTCTTATAGCCTCCAGTGATACATCACTCACTTGAGCGCAAATTAATGTATAATTAGTAATATACAAAATCCACGAAGATGTCATCACAACACGATCTATACCTATAAAACAAACTACGCCTTTATTAAAATTGTTGATTGAAGCTACAAAAAATAACAAAACTAAGCTTAAAAACTTAAAAACCGCAATAATTTTGCGCATTCAACCAAAAACCATGAAGAGCACTGAAGATATGTTAAATAACATTAATAAACAAATAAATTCAAAAGAAACAAACCTGATAGAGTTATGCTTAACGTATCCAACACATTGCGATACTCTGCATTGATTGATTCAGCTACTACACGCCAACTGCTTCCATTACTGCCAAGATAGCTTTTCAAACAGTGCACAGTCGAGTGTTTATCAAATCCATTCCACCAATGATACAACATTATGAAGGCAGCGACTGCAAACCATTCCAAAAGATGAGAAACTGAATGTGAATATACAGTCTCTACGGCACAAAGTTCATTTTTCAGAAAAGTAAAACGTTTTATTATGTAATCAAGTCACCCAGTACTGCACAGATACATGGAAGGTAGTGATAAAAGGATACATTACCTCCAGCGATTGCGATAGATACGTATGCACCAAACTGCAAAACAGTTTGTGGTGTAGGGGTAAATATTGTTTCTCGTAAAACCATCGATAAATAGACGAAGTAAACTACAAGTGAAAGAAATAAATGTAATTGAATGTAATTAAATATGTGGATATAAGTGAGTTCAAATATGGATCAAGTTCCGCAGAACATGATCGCAGCCTTAACAAAAAATAAGAATAACACCTTCGAAATAACAAAGAAGTAGGTCAATCAAGCACCGGTCATTAGGTAGCAAAATGTTTCCATTGTACGGATAAATATGAATGGTGATCTTAATGAAGGAATGATGTGAAATAACAAAACTTACATAAGGGTAGGCAGAAATGTATGAAACGTGTCAATAAGGACCTCCTCAAATGATATCCAACAAAATCATCTCGTTCTACACCCAATATTCCAGAAAATAATGTTTGGATAGTGAAGCCTGCACGTTGAAACTCAACTGGTGGATACACAATGCATAATGTAAATAACAAATGCAATATAGTGTGCAGGATCCATTCCTGTGACTCCGATATCATAACCCAGAACTTAAAGTGAATCTAAATCTGAATTTATACTCCTTAATTTTAAACAACTTGCGTTATTTTTACCTTATAGCTATTTCAGATACATTTCTAGTCTAAAGGCAAATGAAAAACCTATAAACCGACGAGCAAGGAAGTGCAAAGCAAACAATTTGTAAAAGAGGCGTGGTTGAGATCGCAATTTTCATGACACCTAATTATGCAGTGATGATCTATGATAGATATTTTGAGTGGCAGTCTTTGCCTGGTATAGTCAAGTAGGGGAAAGTTAGTGTAGTCATTGAGTTGGTCGGGTAATTAACTGGGTAGTGATAAGGAGTGATATACGTTTGTGGAGATAAAGGCGGTAGCCAAGGTATCTATGTATCAGACAATTTTAGAGGAAGTCTATGCCCTTCAGTGTCTCGTAGAACGGTCATTGCGGGTTCATTTCTGTAAAGGATATTAACAAACTACAGATTCCGAAGTTTTGAAGCATTGTCATTATGAGTGAGTTCAATACACACTCTACAGACATACATGCAAACATATACAAACACTGTGGAATGGGATATTATATTGCTGGTTTGCAATATTGCTATTGGTTGCTTTCCTTTTTCAGCAAGAGAATAGTGAAATAGTTGGTCATGGGATGACATATGTGGCAGCTGTAACGGAAGGGAGCAGTGGCATTTTCAAGATTGGTAATGGAAGACGAGTGTGAAACTGAGCTCATCCGTTTTTCAATAGAATCCTTCTTCGATATTTCCTTCGTTTCCTTTCCTGGCTATTTTTGTCGTTTAGTAATACCAAAAAGAAAATGCTAAAGGTAGCTGAGGGAAGTCGCAGTCTGTGATTTTCGATCTGCAGAAAGACACCATTACATACAGGAAAACAATTGCCTGCTTATCCGAAATGATATTGTTCATGCCATTCAAGATAGCTTCAAAATTATTAAAGCGATTTTCAGTTTGGTATTATTGCAATCGTTCAGTCACTTAAAGACTCATATATCCATGAGAATGTCACCACTGCGGTTAAACCTCTTAAACATGTAGATAATGTGTAAGGTTGCGGGTTTTTGATTATGGAGCGGTAACTATAAGCTATAAATTGATCAGTGTTCATTTTCCGGTCACATATTTTATCACTAAGTTGTACTCTACTTTCAATAACCAGTTATAAAAGCACGTTTCGAGAGATATATTTATTTAGCGTTTTCGCCGATCCGGAACTAATGATTTCCAGCAATAAGCGGAGTCATACATTTGGACTATAAAATGTTTTTTTATTGGTATTTCATATTCTTCACTTCACTGCAATGAGATGTGCAAAGTGGGCTTTGTGGTTATTGAAAATAGTGACAGGTGGAAGTATGTTTCATACTTGCACAGGAGTTTTTCCAGAACAAGTTTTTTAGTTGAGGGAGTGTTATTTTTTAGAACAACTGTTTTATTAATATGACTGCAAAAGTTCCCGTTAGTTATCAGTCATATATCTGTATCTGTATGTCCGTATGTATCCAGTCATAAGTCTCCATTTTTCCTACTCAAATTTATTAACTTTTTGATTCAAAGAGAACTTTTCTTGTTCGTAATAATGGATTAAATTGTACTACAAAACGGATAAGTTATCGTCATAAAAATATGCAAAGCAGTTATAAGTTTACTTTTCAGTCCGCTTCACGGAGATATATTATCAATATTCCTGCATACGCTTTTATTCGTTGGTTTTTTCCTCGGTTTCATTAGCATATCCATGCTTTTTATAAAGGTGATTTGCGAGATGTTTCCTTTAAGCTCATATGAGCTTATTTCTTGTGTCCTCCTTTGAAATCTGACCTTTCCCGGGATAGGTTAACCATGTAGGCAGTGCTCTTAAAATTTTTTCGATTTTGTTGCAGATATTTTTGATAGCTCTGTCGAAATTTTATTAGGGTGTCACTGCAAATATATTTGCCTTTGGTGTAGTTAACGTACTTGCACGTCAAGTTCCAATTGCTATTTATGATCATGTGCTTTCTCGATTTGTAGCAAACGTGTTTTTCCAACAAAAATAAATGAGCTGTCCAATGTTTAAATAAGCTTTTTACAAATTGAAATCATAAAAAAATTTGACTTCGGCTGTGTTCTTCATTGAAATTTGGACCCCGGTCGCAGATATTCGACAAGAGTTTTTTGTTTTTTTAATCATTCTCCAGTGATGTTCCAGTGATTTTGTTTACGCTGAAATGACAAATCAGTTGAATAAACTTTATATATGCAAATTGTGGGTTATTGTAGACTTCTCTATTACCATTTCTTTTCTTTTTTTTATCATTGTTTTTTTTTTTATCAAAAGTTTATTCAACTGATTTGTCATTTGAGCATAAACAAAATCACTGGAACATCACTGGAGAATAAAACTGCAAACATAGGGAAGGAAGGAGATGGGAATTATTTTATGAAGTTTTGTCCGGAAATAACTGTAGGAGCATAATTCAATTCCTCAGTGATTGAACAAGGAGTAGGACGTAATCTTACGTCTAACTCATTACCATTGTTTATAAGAATCATTTGTGCTGGTGCTCATTTATACTAATTTCCAGCCTCTTTTATCACATCAAATGACAAAGAAAGATGATTATCTGCGCCTGTGTCAATATTAGCCCAAGAATCCACTCGTATAACATTGATGTGAAGAGACGAGGAAAGGAGGTATATGTACGTTCTTCATGTCTTCTTAAGTTCACGATACTGTAGATCAGAGGGCATATGGAATAGTAGCTTATATCATGAAGTTGACTGAAGGGATGGTTGCATAGTAACGCCCTCTCCGCACATGCAAATTTCAACCTCACAGATATCAGTAGATGTTTAGAGATAGGCACTGTTTCGTGCACACGCATAATTTACATGTTCAGCGAAGAGAACACTGTGGTGTAGGCGTGGCAGACGAGTATGCTGTACTGGCTATATTTCTGGAAGCTAGGCATAAAGATGTGTTTCTGTGGACGAGGTATGGGGATTCAGGGTCTTCGTACTACACGTTGGCATCACACCACGATAGCGAACGGAAAGATAAAGACGGCGGAAACCGTCTGCTGATGTTGTGCATGTATAAACACGTACGCACGCACGCATACTTATGTGCATTAGGCAGAATGTTGTGGTGTGTCGCGTCCATATTGCATGCATGACTTACGCTCTCGTTATTGTTCGCCTGCAAGTTGTTACCGAGTGCTTGGTTTTGTTCGTATTGACATTTTGGCGTGACGTAAGATGAAAGAGGGGAGGAAAGGAACGTTGTAACTGTTGTTTTTTAAGCTCCTGAGATATTCAAGCGCTGAATAAATTGTTTACACTGCGGTTTTGTCATTTATAAAAGAGGAGTGTAGCCGCACCGTTCTGTTTTAACTTTTTACCTCCGGAAGAACAAATAAAACGTCTTGAGATAGAGTGGGTTCAATGTTCTTTGTGTTGTACTGACTGTTCCACACGGATTAATTCAATCGACTAGTGTTTTCTCCGAGTATCTGATGTTTCTGTATTTTTTTACATCACTTCCACAATAAGATTTATTCCTGCGATTAACCTTTTGGCACTTTGCCAATTATTGGTTTTTAATAAAGGTGATATGGGGTACGAATGTCTGCAGTTGCACAATCTGTTTTGCTGTGTCTGTTTCAAGACATATCTCATCCCCGTGATGTGGTTCCTGATCTGTAGTGACAGTTGCAATGAGTAATTGTAAATAAGGTATACAATAAGGTTATACCCCGATCGTTTCATCTAATTATACCGAATATGTATCGTGTTATTCGTCTTCATTTACTGTCTTTTCTCTTTCATAAAATAGCATACTGGTATTGTCATCTTACTTCGGAGACTTTTTAATTAGGATAGGTTGAGACAGTTCTAGATTTAAGGAAGTTGATACAAATTATACAAGAATATTTCGATTTTATGAAGAACTGATAAACGGACTGACTAGTCTAATTCCTGCAGCATTAGTCAGCATAGGAATCATTTCGGTCTATTACGCTGCACTAGCACAGCTGAAAATCTGTTAGTTTTTACAACATTCCTGAATTTTAGAAGCTGATCTTGCAGAAATTTGTACTGTAAAATTCTTTTCAATTTGCAAAATTATCGACTGATTGCAAAGAAGGCTTAAGACGATGGCACGTACAAAGCAGACAGCTCGCAAATCAACTGGTGGTAAAGCTCCTCGGAAACAGCTTGCCACTAAGGTTTCTTTATTATTATTGAACAAAACAAAAAAAAAAACGTGAATATACAGATTGCTTCATGCTTTTCTGTCAGCAATACTCTATTTTATATAAAACTCCACTAAAAACTGAATTTTAACATTAGGGCAACAGCCTTTATTGTCTCGCTGTTGATGTACGTCCTTTGGGCATTCCTGTAATACTTGGACGTTGCTGTTGCTTACGGTAAAAAAATTTTTTACCGTAAGCATTCGTCGAAAGAAAAATTGAATTATTGAAGTTTTATTAACCAGCATGTTTTAAGAAAAGGATTTTTGTTACGTTACAACTGGACTGTTTGAAAGTGTCTAAAATGTCTTATGAAGTATTTAAGATTGAAAGTCATGTTTGATTAGTGTGTATGTCCTAGAACAGTGTTAACTATACTCAAATAGAAAAGATCACCTTTGTTTAGGCAGCTCGTAAATCAGCACCGTCAACTGGTGGTGTGAAAAAGCCACATCGTTACCGCCCAGGTACAGTTGCACTTCGTGAAATACGTCGTTATCAAAAGTCCACTGAACTGCTTATTCGCAAATTGCCGTTCCAGCGTCTAGTTCGCGAAATCGCGCAGGACTTTAAAACCGATTTGCGGTTTCAGTCTGCTGCTATTGGTGCACTTCAGGTAATGTTTTTGTGCTTTTCTTGATTTTGTAGTTAAACATATATAAGCCTACTGCGCCTCACTGTTTTCTGGATGCTAAATTTCATTCCTATTATGAGGTTTATTCCGTTAACCTAGGTTAAGCCAATTTATAGGAGGCAAGTGAAGCTTATTTGGTGGGGCTTTTTGAAGACACAAACCTTTGCGCAATCCATGCTAAGCGTGTTACCATCATGCCGAAGGATATCCAGCTTGCACGTCGAATCCGTGGAGAGCGAGCGTAAACGCTGACGGCAAAGAATAATTGTACACTCCATTTATAACCTACATTTGTCTACTCAATCAAATTTTTTAATTGTAACTATCTTTTGCTTCAATGTAAACATTTCTGTCGGTGAGGAACTACTGCTTAAGACAGCTATCATGAAATAAGTTCCTCGAAAGTTTTTGTAGCACCTATTTGTAGTTATCAATTCAGTTCAGAATTTCATCGTTAGGGATTAGTCATCTCCAGTAACACTTGAACCAGGAGATCGAATGCAAAGCATCATATAAGGCATAAATTATTTGTTTGTACTCGACTCTTTAGTGCTCCTGCAATTTCACTGACGTGTCCAAACCTTATTTAGGTTCCCCATGCCGCATATTTTAACTCACTTTTTTGTGTGCATTGAATCTTAGAACACAAAATATATGGGCGTGTCTCTGTTCCTCTAGGGAAGATTGTGTTACTGTCACTAAAAGTTGGGGAAGTGTTGATCCATGATTACTTCAAGATTAAACTATGCCTGTTACGGTTGACTTACTCGGACACGTCAACTCAGCGCACCATTTATTGGGTGTGACTTATTTCTTACATTTTAGTTTGCACCTTAGCATTTGTATTTTGTAATTGACCTCAGTTACCAAAACCGTTGTCATACTGCCAATTTTTTCTGTTGATGCGTTTTAAACAGCGATGGAGAAACATTTTTGTATTCACACTGAATAGTTGTAGCGATTTATATATGGATTTTTAAAATAAGGTTTCGGCACAATCACGTAGGTTGCAATGCTAATATTAAAATGTTCGGTTATATCCCGTAAATCAGGATCAGAATGCTTGACTCAAGAAAATATATCCAATTCAGTCACTGGAAATCGCAATGTTTGTCTCTGGGAAACGACATAAGCACGTGAGAATGAGAAATCTCTAACTATACAAATGGCTGAGGTGACATGCCTGGTGTGCAGTGTAGGCAAAATTTAAAGCTGAGGACGTTATCTACAGTAACGTTATGTTCAATATGCAGCTCTAGAGGTCATATATTTGTAGCTGTAGAAAGGAACCTGGTACAGTTTAGATTGGTGAATACCTCCAAGCTCGTTACATCTTGACTGTAACGTACCATCAATTATATGCTTGCGTACTTCGACTGAAACTCGTCTTCATCTCACTGCATAACGTCATAAAGTCCTTCCAGATCGAACCAAAGTAGTTTATAGCCTGCAAAAAACTCGTCTCTGAATGCAGATTCAGTGCACAGGCTTGCACGAAACTTTGTACGCGAACTGCCTTCGAACATCTTGTGCGCTAAAACACATAAACAGCAGCAACAACTGAATACTGTTTGCAAGCAGTTCGCCTCGAGGAATTGCAATCAAGTTTATTGGGTTTCTAACAACTCAAGTCACCGGATATGAATACGCCGAAGTGCAATTTTTTTTTTTTTTTTTTCCTTGCAACATTTAAGAGTTAGTATCAAGTAAATCTGCGCAACTACTTAAACGGTTCAAAAGAATCGATCGACATAATTTATTTTTGACATAAACGACAAAATCCAAATATGGGAAGACATAACAATACAGGTACTCCTGGAATTAAATCTGTATACAGAACCTGAGCTAGTAAAGAGCCAAGCCTAGCTTCTTGAAGATTTCAAAATTTATAGATAGCACTTTCAAATGATAAACACGATGCAGTCTGTCACCCTGGTTTTCTTCAAACTGAACAACCATTGCAGAAGCAAAGTGAACACTTACAAAAGCTGTTTTTTTTAGAAAAAACGCGAAAGAACTGGATCTCTAAAATCCCCACATTAGCTCTTTTTCACTGTCATTCTGTTGCTAGGATGGCGTAAAGTATCACAATTGCTGAAATCCGGGCACAATACAAGCTATATGCTACGTGTATTAAACACAGTAAGACATGTAATAGTTTTAACAAGTGCTCCACATACTACCCTGTCAGTCAAAATTGCTAAAGTGATTAAACAAAATTCGAAACGCTGTTTATGCTATACCACCAAGAACGAACACCAACTACATATCCCGAAATTTCTAAGCCTGAGATTAAATTCTTATATTTTGAAGAAAAAAAACATGATTATTTTACCTTTCGGGTGCGAACTAGAATATCAGCGATTTAACTAATATGAAAACAATTCCCTCGCAAATACTAGACTGGACAAGATATGAGCGGGTATTTTGACCTCAATAATAGAGACTCCTTCAAACTAATGCATGGTTTTCTCGTGCATATCCTGCGCACAGAAAAAAAGCAAACAATCAACTTCCGCTATGACTTTCCAATAAATTTAAAAATAAGTTTCAGTGGTCTCTTTTTATTCGCCCAATATTCTGCTTTCAACTGCTCAATTGTTATCGATTCATCCAATGCTGGAAAAAACAACCAAATCATCTGGAAACCTAATCTAAAATAGCACCAGCTTTTAAAATACACAAAATCTTTCACAGCTGCACAATTAATATTTAAAGTTGACTGGTTCTCACTCAGTGCTAAAAAACAATGCACCAGTGATAAATAGTGAAAAAGCTCAAATTTATTGTGCACATTTTACTTTACCAGTATGTTGTCTTAAAAAATTCCATTCCTTAATAACAATGTTACCAACTCTTTAAAACGATTATGGAAACCAGGACAGATATTAAGCAGGATGATTCTGCCCCTATAAATATTAATCACGATTCAAGAAGAAAAATAATAACGAAAAGGCAATCAGTTGCAGCAGATAACTTATTCATAACTTATTCAGAAACAAGCCTGATATCCACAACCCTGTCATGCTTTATATTTTAAAATAACTATCATTATAATATAACTAATTAGGTGAGGGTATTAAGATAACATCTTTCGACCGAAAGGTAACTACTGAAATTACAAGAACGAGTCGCAGTAAACTTACCAGTAAATGGTGAATTAATGGTAAAAACTGAAGCTGACTTCGGATCGCTGTTCCGTTCACCAACATTTAAAGTTGTAAACTGACCCTCTCCCGTTTCATTTACCACGAGCACATCATCTAGAGCTAGATCAGACTTTACCGGACACAGGAGAACGCGCTGTAAAATGAAATCAGAATAGTGAGTGATCAAAAAATAATTCATATATCTGAGCTGTTAACAGTAAATATGTAGCCGTAATTACGCCCTCTAGAGTGATATCATTTTCAGGATTTTGGGTTTGTTATTGTATTCAAATAAGAAAAAAAAAAAAAAAATGGAATACCTCCGGTAGACACTTATCACTGTACTTTCTGCCCCATTCAGCACGTGACTCCACCCTGATTCGCTGCAGTATGTATTCACATAAATGACCAACTGCAACTCGTAACTGTTCCAATAATTGCCAGCGCGTTTAAAGCAAAACTAACGAAGTTTTTCATGACTCACTGTTACTTATATTTCAGTTCAACTACAAGTACAAATATGAATTAATATATCGTACATTACGACACTAGTCTAAAACTGCAAAATACTACTGACTTGATAGTGGCCAAAATACATCGTAGAAACCTGTAGTTGTTGGACATGTGATAATGTATCGCAAATGTTTAGCAGCAATAGGTAGTGAGTCATCACTCACTACACTTGCATCAGGATTAAGAACAAGTTCTGATTCTATTCCTGACGATAACCTCTGCTTTCCTGACATCAGCAAATACTCAGAAGAACGTGGTGACATCATCATTACATCTTCTCCCAGGAAATTGCTTCCTAAAGATAGCGTTAACAACAGTCCATCACCCACTTTGGGATTCATTGTTCTTTTCACTGCAAAAACATCTTATGGAAATCGTCAGTACATTTTTGTGAGTACCCTACAGAAAAAAATATGAACGAAAATGAAACACTTTTTTTTTTTTATATTTTAATAAAAATACTCTAATGTGCCTTACTATAACACCATGTTTCCTAGATATTTATCGGCAACTATAAAACTGCTCGACAACTGCTTGATACTCACATCACAAGGAAGTTTTACTTTGTTACCTTTTTTTAATCAAATTTTCATTGCAAAAAAAAAAAAAAACTCGACAAAAACGAAACATTAGGAATATTCGTAATAATATATTACGATACGATTCATTTCAAAAAAGAGTACTAACTATTTCCATTGGCATGAAGCAAACTTCCGTTTGAAATCCCAGAAACCGAAACAGTAGTCGGAAGCTGAAAAAAAAATTTTTTTTCTACGAACGACTGCAACAGTGAAATACGATGTACACCAGACATAGCGAAATACCGTATATATAAGAAGATTGAAGGAAATTTATAAATCTTACATTCAAATTTGAATTAACTTGATTTGTTACAATGTGCGTAGATGGACCAAGAATAGGATACACGTTCAAGCACTTTGAAGAACGCTCGTTTTTACCATTAACCTGAGCATTCTTTACAGCCATTCCATTAAGCCGTTCTGCAAGTAACAATTCGATATTGAAAGTCAAGATTCGACATTCAGTTCCCAAATTTTACAAGTATTATTTCAAGATTTGACTACGCGACAAAAAAAATACCATGACTCCTAGACTTCTGCAAAACAACGACTGGAGTCACTTCACAGTGATTTGATGCCAACCGACTCGACTGAAAAAAATTTAATGCAAGGCGTTCAACCGCTAGAAAATTACTTCAACTTTTAGTTAGCGCAATGGAATATTAAATTTAATAATTTAGAGCCAAAAACTATTTTCAAGAGAGAATTAAAAAAGATACTTCACTTTTAACCACCTTAAAATGAACTAAAGAAGACACAGGATTGTTGTCAAAAATTTACTTTTGTTCTCTTTTGACTTGTATCATTAACATTTAATCTGTTTTCACCCTCTGCATATGACGATGTTGTTGGTTGTTCGAAATTCGGATAAACATCTAAAGCAAATCTAACCGTAGTTAAAGCAAGATATCAGTATGTCAGCTGTTTCAGTGGGAAGTTTATTATTAACATGAAAAAAAGAACTGCTTTTACGCATAAGACGATTTCTCTAAAAAAAGAAAAACAAAACAAAACAAAACTTCAAATATTCCTTTTACTTCAGCAAAAATGCTCGAAATTCTTTTTATCTATCAATTTCAATAAAGTCAACAAATTGAAAAAATAACCATCTGAAGAATCTTCATCAATTGTGAGCGGAGGATCGGATGCATCGGAATGCATGCTAGGCAGTAACGGTGGTTTTATTTCTAAAGGTATGTTTGATGCTGAATCTGTCATCGAATCGCACTAAAAAATTTAAAAATAGTGTTACTCACTTTAATGCTGAGATCTATCTGAAATATACTTTCCTAAACATTTGCATATTATTTTAAAAAAGAAGAGAAAGCGAGATTATAAAAGTAAAAACAGTCAGTATAATTGCCTATCAAAACATAAAAAAACAAACATATGAAAAGTCTCATAAATCTAAAAACAAGACCTTTCCCGACGCCTTAGCATTTTTCGAAGGTGTCCATTCTGATGAAGATGAAGGAACTACTGTATTCCAACTCGTCAAACGTTTAATAGATGATTTCTTATCAAAAACCCTCTTCTTGGTGAAACCTGAAAAATATTTATGAGTCATCAAGTAAAAAAAAAATGGAAGTTTTTTTTTTTTGAATACATTTGATTACAATATTTTGACTGTCATATGATAAACAATTCTGAGCATCGCCTCTTGATAAACAATCCTGTACCGCACACCATCAGTTTATAGAATAATAAAATGTAAATATACTCCGCCTCAATGACGTTCATAAAATGTAACGACAACTTACATAAATTACTTGACTCGGTGATCGGACGTTTCACACATCTCCTTTCGACTGACAGTGTGAACTGAAGTGATAGCAATTTGATATGAACTGCCTGATACAAGCACCACATCTTAAACATTAGTTCCTCCGCCATGCACCCAACCCGTTGCAGATGTAAAAAAAAAAAAAAAAAAAAGAAAAAAGAGAAGAATGTTCAAGCGCCCTACGCAACAGGTGACTACGAATTTTTCGGAAATACGAAGTTAAAACACCTCAAAATTTCAGTTTCCAATTTAAAAAATACCTTATTTATAATAGCATCAAAATTTGCATCACTTTTCAGTGGTGTCTTTTTCGGAAGAACTTTATGACATGAGGGACACTTCCTCGCTCCAGTGTGTATTCTTTGCAATATACAATCTGCACAAAAACGATGCATACAATTCTGGAATGAAAAACTGTATGAAACCATCACTTCCAACAACTGCGGAAGACAACTAAAATTTTTCAAGAGAGACAAGAACATGAATAGGATAGTGAATTCACTTCGAGCAACACACAAAAAAAGGAGTGAACTATCCTGCATTTATTTCAAAAGTATCTGTTCTCACCCTCACAACCATCGTATTTTGTATTGTCTTTTCGCAGATGCCACATTCCAACTCTTTACTAATCCAATCAAAATGAATAGATTTTGTATCAACACCGGAACATAACGTGTGTGGTTTGCGTGACCTGTCATATGACGTCAACTGCGGTAGTGTAAGGCGTCGTGATGCAGGTGAACCATCACTACGCCCAGATACCATTTAATTCTTCACTGAAAATTTTCACAGTAATGCTGAACATGAAACAGCACTGATTTAAAAAGTAGATGCTATGTATGATACGTCATTTGATAAGTTAAAACACTTTAAGCAGAGAAAGTTAGAAATTGAAGTTCAAGATTACGACATCTTATACTTCCCTACATGATTTATGAGTAGATTTTAAATTCGACACGTGCAAATTTCGGCAACTAACGATGCAGAAACTTAACTCCGTCCATACAGGATGCAATTAGGCTTGTTGATAAAATACATTAAAAAATCTCCACAAAATCGGGACCCCTCGCACCCAGAAACCAATCACTGCTGGAACTAATTCTTCAACAAAAAAGCCAGGGAGGTCGGCACAGTGCCAAGGTAGAGCCACCGTATCACAAATCGTACTTTAGGAGAGGTGGCGCTTGAAGCAGCACTATTTAATTGTAATTTTGATGGAATGATATATTGGGAATTCAGGCGAAATTTTCTCTGCTCCCTGTTACTCGGTCTCGTTTGTTTTGGTGGAAAACGATGACCATCAAAGCTTGTCATTTGAATATCTGTATATAAAAATCCGTTAACTTTATCTGCATGTCATCTGTCACCAAAGCCGCTGAAGCAAATCCTTACAACGATAAAATGCTTCATTATGTATCTCAGTTTATCTCAGTCGAACGCTTTAATAAACCACTGTTCATATCATTACCGGTAAGTTTATCGTTTTACTATATAAAAAAATAAGGCATATATGTCTGTAGCATGACGAAATTTCTTCAATAAAATGTGCAAAAAAGAATAAGCCTAAAGAGCGCAGTATTAATTCGTTTAATGTTCTACGGAAATGCAGTTTTGCTTCTGCATTTCCGTAGAACATTAAACGATTGGTGTAGACATTTTGTGATAAATGACTTGGTAGTTAATTTCCTTTAATTTTTCAATCGTTTCATAGGCAAAAGCTGTACATTTCAAACTTTTATTACTTCTTTGCAAATATATACAAATTTGGCTTTTCTAACACTGTTATATGATTACAATGTCCCAATTTTTAAATCTTTAAGTTAAATTGTTGTTTGCTGACTTAATTCCATCTAATTAGTTTACATTAAAAATGGTTACATTATTATTTTTACTGTATTGTCAACTTTGATTTTTGATTTTTCAGATAATCTTTAACATTAAGCTGGTCATCAGAGTTTAATCGGTTGAAGTTCTATGGAATTTGTTCACAGTTTATGAGTACTTTTTTTGTGAATGCAAACAGATATGTAATAGAAATTTCGACAAGCGGAAAGCTTATTTGTTTTTAATATTAGATATAAAAATTCAAGCAAACTTGTTGCAGATAAAAGAATTAATTCCTCCTTGTCATGTTATCTCCAATATTTTTTATATTCTCCATAAAGTGAAATCATAATTCATCAATGAAGTTGAACTCAAAGCCAGAAATTTTAGAAACTTGGAAAATACCGATGCTTTGGATTTCAGCCAGATAGGTTATCTGAATATAATCTTTAACATTTTAGTGATAGCCTTAGACATTTTCGTTTTTCCGCATGCATTATCAGTTTCTCTACATTTCTGTATTTATCCTTTAGCAACATCATTAGTTCAGGGTGAAACAACTTACGAACATACCAACTATGTCAGCTTAATAAATAAAATTTATTTCTCTCCTCTTATTTACAGGTAGTAAATTCCTTTAAAAATTAATCCTTAGTAATCTGAATCGATTTATCGTCGATGCTTGATGGCCAAAATCCAAATCAACAGTAATCACCCTAATGCAATAAAAACAAGGATATGCTATTATGATTAGACTTATTCGACTTATTCATTAAGTTTAGGTTTGCTCCTTTATATCTTATTTCTTGAAAACCATCGGTCTTTTAGTGTATTATTATCCGTTGACACTGCTGAAAATTCTTTTCTTACTTCCTGTGATAAGGCGTGATTACGCAAACTGCGCAGACACTTCCAGCTTTGTACGGGAATATATTTAAAAACACGTAGTTTACCCATTCAATTTATTTCATGTCTTATCCTTTTGTTGGGGCACTCAGGATGAACTTTTTGATTTTGTTCTATTGTGCTATTCAAATGAATGACACAAAGTACATGCACAACTAATGGTATAAGCTTATAATAATCTATTTATTTGTGTCTAGACATACTTCCCCAAGTTACGAAGCAAATCCGAAAACGATCATCACTTACACCATCACATATATGTGTTTCTCACTCAGTTCATAAGCGGCAACACCGCAGCAACATAACTGAAATAAATAATGACTCATACTGATTGAACACAACCTGTTAGACAACGCAATCCAGACGTAACAATCTCAATTTTTTGCAAAAAAAAAAAGATGAATTTCAATCCTGAAAATGTTTTCCCTCACTTTTCCGAGAACATAACATTTATATGGACAAGAAAAGAATCAAGTTCCGCTTACAAATAAATTTTATTTCTTTGTAAGGCAAATATATTGGCACTGTCACTGTAAATTTGATATATTTTAAAGTTAAGATTAAAAAGTGAAATATATACAAATGAAGCCACAAAATCAAAACGAAATTGACTGTTTCGCTGAACAAACAGGCAAGACCTGCTGATAAAAGTGATGATAACAAAGCAACCGAATAACAACTGATACAGCTAGCAGCAAGTACCCTACGGAATTTCTAGCAAAAGAATTGCAGGAAAAGACTGAACTTTGAAAACATGAAAAAGTAACATATCTTGTGTAACGCTTTGCACAAAGATAAGTCAGTGAAGATGCAAACGTTGCAGAAACTGCCCAGAGTGAAAGTCAAAAAAGGCTATTGTTTCTCACCAGCAATATTTTCAACCGTGGCTAATAGTTTTCGGACACTGAATACATCTTGAAAAGTTGGAGGAACACTTTAACAAGGCTGCGACAAAAAGTGCTTCATAAATGAAAAAAAGAAAAGAAATCCCCTTCACCATAAGCGATTTTTCCAAACCAGTTGACTATGAAAACAAATCCAAAATTAATTCAACAAAAAAAAAAAATGCTCACATGAACATTTAATGTTACGCAATTTTTCTCAAAATAGCAGTATATAAAGAGCTAGTCTATAAATGATCACAACCTTTCATTCTTCATTTCCCGTATTAATAAATCACACTTTCTCGCGAAATCTCCAAGCTTCTCCGAAGGTCTGTGAATGAGTTATTTCACTATTGATTAGAAGTAATAATTTTTCAGAGATTTGATCTGATCATAACAAAAGCCATTTTCAGCTAAACGAGTAATCATACTGGAAGAAATGGAAGTCTGATTGTAGATTTTCTTACGTTAAAGTATTTACATCCTCAACTCAGATGAACTTACATTCCATAACGCTTTCCAATTGTAAAGAAATCGTTTCCAACAAGGAAAGCAACAATTTGTTCCCTTTCCTTATGTAAGAGTTTTATGGCATCCTCATCCGGATAATTATACCAAGAGAAGGTTTCATCGCGAGTTTTTGTAAAGTACTGCTGTAAAGATTCCTGCATTTTCCGAATATCTTCTAAACACTTTACATCGACAGCCTATAATATGAAATTATTCTTCACTTTATCCCTTTGATTTTCCGAATTTGATTTGAATGTATTTCTAACCTCTCTGTATATATCATGTTCGATGCACAATCTTAAAAGCCGTCGTGTGAAAAATGCTCTTGATTCTTCCCATTTCACTACTTCCTGAAATGTCTTTCTTCAAAGAAACTTTTTGTTTAACAAAAATAATGACTGAAATTTTATAAATTTTAATTTTTCCTCACTAGCTATAAAATAGAAAATGCAGGGACAAAATTTTAAAAGAGCCTATATAAGAACCGTAATACCGATAGATATTTTAAAATGGCAAATAAGTATTCTGGTCAAGCTAACAATAAAAATATTAGTACAACCCCCAACATAATAGGTGATGGGAAAGCAGTTCCCAAATGAAGAGAATACCTTAACAGCACCAACAGCTTTCATTCGCACTGCCGTGTCATGCAAATCAGCAAATGTTATAGCGATATTGCGATACGTGGGCATTAGCAGTTGAATACGAGCATTGATGTCCACTTTCACATCGTTACCCTCTTTTTCCAATATTCCTAATCGAATCATTTCCTTATCCAATCGTCGCATTAGTGGTACCAAATCCTTTAAATTTATATTTATTAATAAAACATTAAACTTATGGCACTCATTAGAAATTCTTCCTTGAAGAACCAATACAACCTTCACAACTTCATACTTGTAATATTTTACCTATCTCTTCCACCAACACTTTTGAAAAAGGCGAAAGCAAATCAGACATTGCTCATGTTCCCTGATCTCTCTTTCCCTCTCCAAAAGTTCTCTGATCACTTTCATTCTAAACTTCATATATTTGAAATAAAAGGAAAATTAAGTACCATACTATACACTAACTTTACGCATTTTCACTTGAACAGTTCCCTCTGGTTCCAAAACACCACCTCTTGATCTCGGGTCAGCAAACATCTGCATGCATACAGGATTTATCGTTGGATCAATAACTGCCCAAGCCCCACCACGTAATTCTCCATAGGGTGGAATATAAACTATCACCGGATTAAGGTATTTACATAATTGATCAACTATATAAGCACCAAATTTGAGGACCATTTCGAACATATCTAAAACAAATACCTTAAAAAACCAATAACTTTCTAAACTCTTGAAAACTGTTTGACTTTTAACGAATGATGAGCTCAGAAAATAAAGCTTCTAAAAAATTCATTTGCAAAAATGTATATTTTTCACTTGTCAGTGTGAAATTAAAGTACCTTTCTGACCGCCGCTGAAGCCACGCCAGTTGGCTAAAATAAACAGTGGCAAGGATTCTTTATTGAAGTCTTCGATTGCTTCAGCAGTCTATAACAACCACAATTTCAAGTTATGATTGAAAAAGAAAAAAAAAAAAGAATTTAACAAAGCTTCAGAAACAAGAGCAGTTACAGAAAAGTACATCTAAAGCAACAAATTTCAGATTGTAGCTACAACTGTAATCATAATCAAAATTGATAAAACTTACTTTATATGCAGAATCAGGATACCACACTTGGCCAGCTTGCTGAATACATTTTGCCTGAGAGTCCGGAGCAGCCGGGTCAGCCGGAATTTCAACAAAAACACTCCTTGTTTCCACAGCAATAACGCCAACACTGATGCCGCCCAAACGTGCTCTACCTGTGATTACCGTTTTTCCCCAGCCTGATTTAATCTTAAACAAAGTTGTTTTAAGAAAACTGGACAAAAATATGCAGTTTAAATGCTACGGTTAAAAATATAGATGCTAACAGCATAAAAATGACAGAACTTTTTTTTCCAAAAACAGATTTGCTTAAACTCTAAAACCGTCTAAAAAACCAAATAAGAAAAAAACAAAAACTTCTTCGAAAGAATTCTGATCAAAGATCGTCATCATCAAACGCGGATCACTTTCCTTATTCTGTGATGGTAAATAATTTAGACATCGATCAATGGGGTCTTCACTATACTCAAAGCTTGGTTCCTTAAACGGCGCCTGCAAACGAATTAAATGAATAAAGCTAAATTTCAGTTTTACCGAAGTTTTCTTTTTGCCAAATAAAATCTTAATTATGAAATGTGTTAATAAAGAGTGAAAGAAAATAATGGAGCGTGCATGCAAAGAAACCTAAACGTCAATAAAATTATGATATCATTCACATTACATAGAACAAGCTGATGAGTTTAAATTCAAACCTTCACGTTTTTACGCGTATAAGACAGCCACCTTAACAATTGGCGGACACCATCATAATCATTGCTAACGGTGGAATGCGTAACACCATTACGAGTCATTATTTCAGTGCCACCCAGCTGTCCATTGGATGTATAAACTTCACGACCGAGCACAGAATTCAAAGCAGGTGCGCCAGTTAAAATAATATCTGCATTTTCGACTTGACAAATCCTCCTTGAAAGCCGAGCAACATAGGCACCAATGCCAACGGTTCGACCAGTTACCAAACAATAGGTTATTACTTCATTATATGCTCGCGATGTTTCACCCGCAATCATCCCTGAACCAACTAGATTCTCTACGCCAAGGTCACGCTAAAAATATGCAAAATAATTATCACCATGTCTCACTAAATACACGCAAAACTGTAAGCAAATAAGACTTTAGACCAGTGCACATATAAAGAAAAAGAGAAGGAAGATTCATAAGACTGAATTACAAAACGGACAGATCGCGTTAAAAGAATTTTCCAAAGCAGAAAGAACTAACAACTGTTATAACAAAAAACAAAGTCAATTGAACAAAATCAAATTAATGAATAACAACAGCAAGACGGTAGGAAAACACTGGTTTAGAGGTATCTACCTAATGTGTACCTCTTTGCCTATAATCCCATCAATCTGATAGAAACCATTTCTACGATGTGTAGCGACAATTTGTTGTAGTGCATGTGCATCGTCATTTGTAAGATAAAGTCCATCAAAACCTTCCACTGGATTATTTTCGTTCTTCCATATAACTTTGAAAAGTTTTTTCAGCTGGAAATATATTTTGTGACACAGTAAATAGTAACAGGGAACTGTTTTATTCCATTCTGGGATAAAGCTATGAGTGAAAAGAGGAACAAAAAGAACTAACATCAGCTGATAAGCCAATCCTTGCACCCGAATTAGCAGCAATGTATATTCGTGGAATTCCTTCTTTTCGACTTAAACGTGAAGCCTCATAATACAGACGATGTTCACACATCGAAAATGAACCAATCTGATTGGAGATATCATTTGCAATAACAATCACTTCCCGCCCTTCTGGGTATTCTGGAACAACTAACCGCACACGCCATGCAACTATCCCAATTTTACTCAGTGAACCACTTTCACTTAGTTCAACGAGTTGCTTTGAATTTTCATCATATACCAGTTCATAAAATTGGCACAAATCTTCAAGGATCAAATCTGATGACTTCTGCGACCTTAAAATGATAAAGAAATGAAAGCTGTAGCATACAACATACAAAATTTTTACAAGATTTAAAACTGAACAAAAAAATTGGAGAAAAAGGTTCTAGAATAATTCGTGACAGAAAAACGAACTCTGTGGGTGCAAGCCATGTGGCAATTACAGCACGCTGGAAAAGTAGTGGATAGTCGTAAACATAAGTAGTTTTCAATACACGAGCTTTCAGACGTCGCTTGTCAATTTCAGATCTGCCAAGGTATGGATCCGTAAAGGGATTCCAATCTGGATTACGCCGATTGTCTACCATTATTTCGAGACCATGCTTAAAACCATCCATTCCAGCATCCACGTGAAGCCACTAAAATTATTTTCACAAACTAAATTGAAATTCATAACATTCCATCTAAAATATAAATACCTCTTTGGGTAAAACGAAAAGAGACATGGCTCCACCCCTGACTGGACGAGTAATCAGATCTGATCAAAGTAGATCAATCTAAATGTATGATACAGAGAACAAGTTAATAAATATTTAGAATAGCTAGCAATTACCTTTTTGGTTCTTGAATTCCCACTACTTGCTTCCGCACGCAATACTCTAATAAATGGCGTGAAACCAGTGTCATCAGTTATAATTACTTTCGTCGCCTGCTCCAAGCTTCGCCGCTCACCAAACAAAATGAAATCAAATTCAACTTGATTCACCTGTGATTGCCACAAGAAATCCTGAAAACAACTGATGCGACTAAATTTCTCATATGAAACGAAAAAGAATATTTAAAAGGGAAAAACAGTTTAAACACTGATAATATATTTTCCTGATCATTAAACGAAAACTTTCATTATCGCTTAATCTAAAAAAATACAAAAAGCACTAATTACACAGCGTTAAAAAATGTTTTAAAAATTCACTTTGCATTCTCGATAAGCCTTATAAATAACATTTATCCAATCAGCTGGACTCATCCGTATTTCCTTATTGGATGGTGTACGATGGATAAACAGTAAAACATGATTTCGATCAATTGTGTTTGAACGGTATAAAGCTACGACAATTTCACAGCAAGCACGTTTTAGGGCTTTAATAACACTGCATGTCACTTCCCTAAATTTGAATAAACAAAAAAAGATGTGAACAAAGAACATAAAAGAACAAGAATAATTCTTTCCTGATAGTTTCAACAACTGTAGATTTACAGTTGACAAGTTTAAAGAACTTATTTTTTAAGGAACTTTTGAGAACTCATTCAAAGCATTCCACAACAAAGCATCATAAGTCCTTATCTGTAAACCATCCCACAGAAAAATCATCGTTGAATCAAGTGTTAAAATAAAGCCAAACTGTCAACATATTACACACAAAAAAAAAAAAATTAACATTCAAAAAAACTTACTCAGCTGTATAGCTGTCAACAACTCGAACCACAGCTCGATAAAAGAACCGGTGTTCTGTTGGATCAGCTTTCCCTTCTGCTTTATATAAGTGACCCGAGTTATGCGATGACTTCAATTTTTCAATCTAAACTACTAATTTATCATGTAAATAATCCAAGGAATAAAAATATAGAATTGTAAATTCGGTAAAGTTGCTTGCAAAACTAACATTGTAGTTTTCTTTTATACGATGTAAACCAAGTTTAGGAAGATGAGCCAAATCAATATTACGCTGTGAACGAATTTCTTCTTTACGGAACATGTTATAGTAGAAAAATAATGGATAGGAATCCGATGATGCTATCAAAATTACGATTTGGCGAATATTTTCATTCTGTACACGACTAATAGCTTCCTGAAAAGTAAATATCTGCAAATAGTTTTTATGAAACTGCGTCACCGCCAACCACATGAATGACCTAGTACTATCTGAAATTAGGCTGAAACAAAAAATCCCTTATTGAAAAAGTTGTCGTATTCAGTACTGTGAATAATGCAACTAAGCAGTCTTGAAAACATTTCAGAAGCATTACTTTTAAAGTCACTGAGAATTTTTCATCCAAATTAGCATCACACCGGACGGCTTCAGTATGTGAAACGATGTAGAGGGTCGAATCTGGTTTCACTACTTTCGCAGCTACTTGTGGTAATCGTTCAACTATATCTGCTACATCACCGACAACCCGCATCGTTACACTTATTTCAACTACTTCGTCATTTGGAAGACCCAATCCATGCCTGTAATGCAAACTTATCATTTCACAAAAATATAACAGTATCTTTAATATAACTTTGCGCTGTGTTTCTACAGAACTGTTAATAAGACTATAAAAAGAAAAATTAAAACATACGCAATTTTCTGTATTGGAATGGAAAATTGTACATCATGGGGGTGACCATCTTCTAATCGTCTAATAGAAGCTTCCGGAACACCACAACATACGGTTACATATTTCAATACCGAATCGAAATTATTATCAAACATTTCAAATAGTATGTCATATCTTTCCAGATTAGTTGGGCTCGGTGATGATCCCTAAAGCATATCTAAACATTGCATCATTGTCTAATCAACCCCAACATTTGTGAATCAAAAAACCAAATCCCAAATTACTTAGAAAAATAAGCAGAAGCACAATATATACCCTAATCTTAATTTCAGTATATGTTGGTGTTTCCGCTTCAATCAGCAGTGTCCTTGCAGCATGCGCCAATTCCAAATTTTCACTTTTCACAAAGCTGGCAATCTTTTCCAGTACAGGCGACAACCGCAATATTAAGCGACGATTGTTACTAATCCGCCGTAAAATTTTCATTGCCAACAAATTTTTTTCATTAATCTTTGTGTGTGAACAAATCAGCCTAACACACCGTTCCGTATCACACACCTGTAATAACAGTTTAATCAACAATCAAAAATAACAAACGATTATCGAGTCATATGCTCACCTGAGACAAAAGTCTTGTAACAGATTTGTCGTACTGATCTTCTTGAAAAAATATTTCGCTTTTGTAATAATGTCCAAGAAGATCATCCAAAACCAAAGCAATATGACCTTCTGTTCCATCTTCAAATCTGGCCAAAACTCGTGATATTGGTTCAAAGATCATCTTTTCTTCCTTCGTCTTTTGCGGATCCAAATCATTTAGATAATCCTGGAAATTAATACCAGTATGCTATGAATATGTTCTTAGTTTTCCAAAATTCTAAAATACGATCTTCCTAACAAATAATGCGTCAATTTTCCCAGTAATGAGTGAAAAGAGCGATAAAAGTATCACTAACTTCGATAGCTTTCCGGACTTTCTTCACAGGGAAATCATCAGCACAAACTTCAAGAAATTCATTAAGTTGGTTCAGTATTTTTGGCTTAATACGGCTTTTCATAACGGCAAGCTTTTGCTGCATTTGTTCATATGGTAGCGATTGATCGTTGAGTACAGAAAAAAGAGATTCTACTAAACTATCGGCATAGTTCGAGAATGTTGGCTCTGTTTTACAATAACCATCAAAGACATTATGCACTTCCTAAAAATCAGACAAGTCAGAAAGTCAATTCACGAACACTTATTCTTATTTATGTTAAAGCAATGAAGCAATGTAATGATTAACATAATCATTCAATAACCTCAAGGTTGCTTCCTATTCCTTCATTTACTTTAGATGTAGCATTAGGTTTGGAAATAGAGAGTAAGTTTGGAAATAGAAGAAGTAATGCAAGTAAGTTTCTTCAGATTTTAAATTACATAACTTGGACCACTGCCTGAATCTTATTCTTTTTTCCAAAAATTTGCAATTACCTGAACAACATTTGTGAAATACATATTAATCGGAGATTTTTTAGCGACATTTTGTGTCCACTCCGCGAATGAATCCTCAAAATCAATGGGTTTGGTAACTGTTAAACCATTTTCTGTTTCTAAACGAGCAACCAAAGTCCCTGGATGCAGCATCTGCCCGGGCTGTGCAACTTTTTCGAAACGACCTCCAACCTGAATAATCAAAATATTCATAGAAAATGCTGCTATTATATCAACTCAAGAAACTAATTTACATACCTTATCGTGCATGAGCGTCATAACATCTAAATAATGTCAAAGAAAGACGAAATGTATTTTATAAGGATTCAAATAAACCAACAAGGCACGGTAAAAAGTTACTGGTTATTGCAACACTTATATTTACAGGTATTTAGAAAATAACATATACATTCTAGTTCCAATCACCTTGGAGCCAGAAAACTGGGATAAATGCTCCCAGTGTGAAGCAGCAGTTTGTCGAAAAAGAAACCAATTGCCAGAGAAACGATTTGCATTCAGTGATGCCCCACAAATGTTTTCGGATCGAAAAATTACGATAAATTTAAACTTAAATTTAAAATACGAAGTATACTAACAAATATTACTAATCTAAGAGTCGAAGATTTTCACGTATTACTAAAACCTTTTTCACGCGCATATCCAAAACAACTTTCATACTTTCCATACTGGCATATATTTGACCCGGCAAAAGCAGCTCTCCATTTTCTGCTTCAAAACTCAGCAATTTACCAGCGCATGATGATCGCAGCACTGTTGGATCGTTTTCTTTCTCAAATATTATCTGAAAAATCAAATATTTATTACCGGCAAAACTTCTCCCTTAAAAAAAAGCAAAATTCAATATAGCCAGTGAAAGAACTGAAAGAGACAAAACATTTGATGAATACTGAACAAAAGTATTTTTTAACAGTTGTTTCTCAAATAACGATCCGAATTTGTCATGAATTGAGATATTCACCTGCATCCGTCCAATATGCACTTTGTAACGTTCAGGTTCCTCTTCTATGTAACATGGATGCGAACGGTCTTTATATTTCAACAGAAGGGTACCATTTCGCAATTCACGGTATTCGACGGGAACACAGCGACCATTCATTTTAATCATATATTCAAAATTTGAAGTACGTGTAGCAGTAACACTAAAAGCATGAAAAGTATATTAATATAATCATTTGAAGAGCAATGCATTTACATAACATTTATATAATATTCATATGAAATCGTACTAGTTGGAAAGAAACTAGACCTGTATTTAATGTTGTCAAAAATAAGCTCCACTTGATGTGTCTCAGTAAGGTCGGATGGCTGTAAAATACGTCCTCTGCTTATAGCATTACTAAAGGCACTGAATGCTTCCGTAATTTTTGAATGTGCTATTAACATTGAACCATAGGCTACAGCCATTGGAAGTGAAGGAAGCTCTACCTGTAAAAGAGCAAAATTTTTTTCAAACTGGTGACATTTAAATAACCTCGAACTAACTTTTAAATAAACATCTTTTAAATAAGGATGTTGGAGAAGAAAGAAGATGAAGTTCAAAGGAGAAATTATAAACTCATATGCTCTTATAACTCATAAGTTCTCATACAGATGATTTCTTTGAACTGGAGGAATAAAATCTAATAAATATAAGAACAAGAAGTTACCGTATGCTTCTTAGAAGCAATTCGCCTATCCAGCCAAGTGGTATCAATCCTATTTTGCTCAAATTCGCTATCTTTGAACAAAGAAATGAGATAGGGTAGCGTTACAGGAAATTTCGACTGAAGCTGCAGTTCCTGTAACGCATTCAACATGTTCGAGATCGCTAAATGCCTGTAAATAAACTTACAGTTCCTAAGTATTTGCTTTATTTGCAAAATAGTCTCTAACATAAACTGAATCACTTAGATCACTTCAATCATTTCGTTCACTATTTCAAAATGATGTTTCCTTAATTTTAAAGAGCTCCAAAATCATATGGAAGTCAAATTTGTAGCTGAGGCAAGTCGAATGGTATGCAAAACAGTGTAAAACAATGTAAAAAGTTAGGAACCTTGTGGAACCAGTTGCAAACAGATGGCCAAACTGTGAATCTGCGAATTCATGAAGAGATCCAGCGCCAACATGCGAAAAATATCCCCAAACGAACTGAGTAGAACGGAAATTCAAATTGGTGATTTCACCTGATGCCGGCCGGAAGTTCTCTTCCGGATCTTCGCTTGTTATTCGAACAGATACAACGTGCTTGTCGCAATGTGGATGTATCTGAAAGGTCACTCACATTTCGAATGTAAATTTTGTGAAAACAAAAACAATGTTCAATAACAACAGCTATTACCACACATATATCAGCTATTTAATTCAGGCATTGTCGGGAAGCGATAATCGTGTTATTATGTACGAAGGCATTGTTCCTGAAAACCTTAATTCAAGAAAACTAAATGAAACTACTTACTAGATGGAATGGGATTTTATCAGTACCATATCGGCTTTTGCCATAATATAGACGTACTTCGCTGATGCACTGCAGTGGTACCCCCATCGCAATTTGTAATTGTGCTGCTGGTAAATTGACATTTGTTAACATTTCGCTTAACGGATGCTCAACCTAAAATGTGTTGTTGCTTTTCAGTTTCAAGATCGCTACTATTCGTCACAACATTATTAGCACTATTACAGCAACAGCACACTGCATACAAAGCGCTAATCTCGTGAAAACGGGTTTTTGTACCACATATCAAATTATTCTCTTCAGTCCATTAATCACGCATATTCCCAACAATTGAGATGGCCTAATTTTTATCAACATTAAATGAAACTCATTTTTGGTCCTTTCTATCTTCCAGAACCACAGCTTCGCAAAAATCTTCATCATCACCATACCATAATGAAATAACTACTCAGATTTTTATTAACTTAGAGAGAAGGTGGCAGTTTTAAACAAAACTGTTAAAAATTTTGGAAAAAAGTTGCAGTTTTTTTGTTACATTGATTAAACAATTTTATTGAATTAAAAAATCACCTGCAACCTTGGATTAAGTTCCAGGAAGAAATACTCATTAGTTTGTGGAACAAACAAATACTCAACAGTGCCTGCACTAACATATCCAACCATTTTAGCCAGACGTACCGCATCCTGCAAAAAAGCGTTATCTAGTAAATTCCACTATCAAGCAAATTTAAGAGTTGCAAGTAAAAAGAAGACCACAAAAAAAAAAATAAAAAAAAAACTGACTGCTTCCATATTTCTCTGAACAGCTAAAGGTGCAGCAATAGCTGGTGCTTCCTCAATAATTTTCTGGCATCTCCTCTGAACTGTGCAATCACGGGTTCTCAGTGCAATTACCTCACCGTACATATCACCCAAAAGTTGCACTTCAATATGCCGAGCACCTTCCAAACAATGCATCAAAAAAATATGCCCACCGGCTACTTCTGCCTAAATTAACGTTTTTATGCCAAATAATTTTTCCCTCTTTTTGAGCTATAAATTCCATACTTTTGATCTCTCCCAATATGCAGACAGCACTTTTTCAAAATTCACCAAAACGAAATAAAAAACTTACTTGCACTCTTCTAAAATTTACTTCGAAATCAGATTCACTGCGCACTAAACGAATCCCTTTTCCACCACCACCTTCCGAAGCTTTGATCATAACAGGATATGTAATTTTCTTCTCCTGAAAATTAATAGTATAAGGAAACGAATTGTATTATTCAAAATTAACTGAAATACCACTTTCGCTGCAATCACATATTTCAAAATCTGTTATGCAATTTTATACAACAGAATAGGGTGAAACTAAATGAACCTAGTTCTCAACCAATGAAAAATAATAGCACACCTTCATTACACGTATTGCCTCTTCATGATCATAAACACAGGCAGCAGCACGCAGTTCTGGTGATACTTCAATATCAATTCGCCCTCGTTCACAGATTTCTTTAGATAAAAATATATTACTACCTGACCAAGATACTACAGGCACGCCAGCTGACTGAAAAAATTTGTGAAATTTCTTAAGAATTTGTTTAACAAAACTAGACAGGGCAAGTCAGTCTAGGGATAAACACAACGCGTTAAAAAATTCAACAATTATACACAATTTACCTGTGCAAGTATTGTTGAAGCAATCTTGTCACCCAATGTGAACATTGCCGGCCCGGGTGGACCCATAAAAAGGATTTTATGTTTTTTCAGACCATTTGGTAGATCGGGGTTTTCAGATGCATGTCCCCAACCCGCCCATACCGCATCCACGTTGTTACTCACAGCATGCTTCAGTATGTCATCCACATTTGCATAATTATTCTCATTTGCGCCAGATTCAGAGAATACAAAATTGTCAATCATTTTCAAATATTCTGCAAGGAATTCAGCTGTTGGTAAAACCAAAGTTCGTGAAGAAGATTAGATGTTATACAGAGTTATTCATTTCACCAATCATTGCACTTATCCACTTAAAATGTCATATTTTCATAGCACTGGAACAAGCACTTTTACCTGGATTTGAAGAAATCTCCTGTTCAGTAGTTAAATTAATAAATTTGAAGAGACGGTCATCTTTGAATGTCTCTTGGGCCCAACGTCTGATGGACATCACACATTTGAATGCTGCCATTCCATTGTTGGCGATCAGTAACTGTGATGCATAAATAATAAAATTACTCTCTAAGATCTGGAGTGGGACCTATTGAAATAAAAAATTTGCATATTCAAACGTTGTATTTACAGATATTAGACAAGAACACAAAAAACTGTCAGATAGTTTATTCGTACTTTCGAACCTGAGATTTTTTAGTATGCTCTATTTAATAATAAACACACCGTTTTGATGGGTGTTGCTAATTTTGGATCCGCGTATTTGTTAAGAAACGCTTCAACTGTCCCAAACGTTTCCGCTCTTTGATCCACCTCATTCGACTTTTCAAAGTCTACAAACTCACGGTTGTTATGTGTGAGTAAAGGAGGTGTTGGCATCCTGAAAAACAAATCAATTTAAAAAAGAACCTACTACTTGCTACGGTCGTCAAATAATTTCATAAAAAATCGTCAAGGAAACAATGTACCGAAAAGGGACAGAACAAGATAGGGGAAAAAAAAAAGGTTAAAAGAACATTAAAAAAAATTGGGATAAAGGTGGAGAGAAATCAACATAAAACTAAAAAATAAAACAGGATGACAACATTCCATAGCATATTGAATAGCCAACAGCATTGCAAGACCTCATAACCCCTCCCTCTACCATTACTTCCCACCTTACAACAACGAGGTATGTTAGAATAGGCCAAGGAATACAACATATGAGGAAGAAAATTGGTCATCGCGGCAGGTGTTTCACCGTGACAAATTTGTTGCAGGCACAATAATAGATGCGTGTATGTGTGCATATATGTGTGTATGTATGTCTGTATGCATAAATACATCTTATGGAATATGGAGAGTCACATTATCTTATCACATTATCTCTCAATATTTACAGATTTTAAATCACATGATCACAAATAGAATATAAGAAGGAATTTCTTCATGGATTTTTGAAAAAGTTATTTATTGATTTTATGCACTTCCTTTAAACCTGGAGAAATCTGCTATCTCATAAACTGACTGAACCCATCTTCGGTAGTTTTGTGTCTCATTTTCGAAAATTTATTTTAAAAGATAATATAAATAAAGGATCACCATAATCGATCAGAAGACTCATCTACTTATCTCAACTACATTTATTCCCCATCCACTTGATTATCTTTTAAAACTTGAACAAGAGTATAATGATTACTTGTAATCTCACCTAGTTTATTAGTGTCACTTCAAAATGCCGTATGAACAGAACTGACTGACTGAACCACACAGCTACTGTTACGAAAATTTTGAATTGCTTAGAAATAAATTCAAAGTCGTATATTCAGCAATGTTCGTCAGACAAAGACATGCATTTTCAAGTTTTCAAGTTAAAAAGATCCCATACAAGAATAACTGAAAGTATATCTCAAACCAGTAAGGAAAAAATGACTCTCAAAACATGAATAAGAAATGCTAATTATCATTGTATTTTGCCCTTTGGTGAGAAAAATTACAAACCACTTTGAAAATCAATCAATAAGAATCAATAATGTCCCGAAAAATGAAATCTTTCTGGGAAAATACCAGCTTTTTGAGAAAGAAGGCAACCTCAATTAAAACGAATTTCTAAAAATATTAATTCAAATACACATCATACCTACACCACTATATTCTCATCTTGTAATTCTTAATCCAAACTCAAACTCGAGAACTGATAACTGATATTAGAGATGAACAAAAAATTGAAAGAAACGAAAATAATGAAAGCGAATCCTCAATTTGAGAGTAAGGTGAGAAAGAAAAATGGAAAAATTTCTCTTTCTATTCCTAGCCTCCGCTCCAAACAGGTTTTGGGCAAATACGAAAGACAGGAGTTCATGCTTCACTTTGATGAAACCACAGATAGTGAAGAGAGTACTTTCTATTTATACGTCATTTCAAAGTATGTCACAATTTTATCTTTCCCAAAATTTGATGAAGTTCGCCTATTTTTTTTGCAATGATAACAGGAATCAAAGGTCAACATCAATTTTCGCAATCTCCAATTATCAATTATAACTACACCCCCCACCTACCTCATATTCACCATTATTGGCAGTGAAACATTGAAAATTTTAAAAACCTAACGCATTCTTATAGAAGTTAACTTTTATATACATGAAATATACAACTCTTTGCAATTCTGCACACTGAATTTCATCTGATAATTTGATATTAAAATAATCACGAGCTTCACATTTTAAGGGCTTAAAGTAATGTAATCAATGAGAAAACCCAATTAGTGGAAATTACCATGATCTTTTACCAAAAGACTAATATAAGAAATGCAGTCATATTATTGCTGAAAAATGTTACGTTAAATGTTTAGACATTATCCGTGATTTAGCTTACAAAACACATAAAATTTAATTACTAATAGTAAAATAATTCTTTTTGATTTAAACTTAGGCACCATTTTGGCGTCCTTTATCAATAAAACAAACTAACTAAGCAAATTACAGTCACAACTCACTAAAACCAACTCACTAACCAATCTGATAAAAAATATGAAAGATCATCAAAAGACGGTTGCATTTATAGACTGTGCACAACGATTCCGCAAATGATCCGATGACCTTCTGTACGAAAATACCAAAGATCACCGCAACTTCTGCATAAATCGTTGTTATAAGCACTTCTTCGCCGAATGAATTTTGTTTTAATTCGTAAAGAATTTCAATTCACCAAAAATTTTATGAAACAAAATATACAAATTTTATACGATATAACAAACATTTGTTTCCACAAGAAAAAGTAAGACCAAAATCCGGAAAGTATAAAAAGAATCAAATTACCAAATAAAAACTATCTGACTCCATTATATCTTTGTCAAACTTTATGTATCAACAAATTCTTCAAAATATTCATAAAAAGTTGCAGAGTTTTTCAATAACTCATACCTCAGTGGAGTTAAAATTATTTAAATAGTTATTGATTTTTAACGATTTAAAATACATCATTTACACCAAACAGAGATTTTTTTTTTTGGAGTTAAATGAAAGTTAAGAAAGATTGGAAGTATCTTTCAGAAAAAGGAAGATAAAAATACAAGGTTATATTTTTTTTAAATAATAATTTGAAATTCTTGAGAAGAATATATATATATATATATATATATATATCAGTAAATTCAGAAAGTCCAAAAAAAAAAAAGGGACCACCTTTTAGGTTTTCTAACAACTTTTGAAATTCAACTTCACTTTATAATTTTTACTGCAAAATACAGAATACAGTCCCACATAACTTTATATATGCTAGGCTCTAAGCTAACGAAAAGCTACTAACACAACATTAACCTATCATCGGAAAAATGCATTCATCGCTAAACATAAAACAGCGAAAACAGTCTAAAGCAGGACTGTAATTCAGATTTTTAATATATGTAATAATAATTATATATATAATATACGTATAGTTTATTGAAATGACTGAATCTAATACATTTTTGAGAGAAAATAAATTATGACAGAATCTGGTAACATAACGTGAACCAAGATAGATATGAAAGCATCAATATAAAAAGAAGTTAAAAAAGTGTTAATGGTTATTAGATTATAAACTTCATACTGCAAGTTCAAAATTAGTAACAAAATGCATCTTATAAAAAAATTGCATTAACAAGTAACTGCTCCTCGAAAATTCGGTTAATCGCAAAAATTATAAATTACCATCTTACTTTGAAATGTAAATCCTTAAATCTCTGGAGGCAGAAGGACACGTTTTGTCGTTTAATGAACACTGAACATTAATCATGCATCAAGTGCTTCTAAGGGTAAAATTTCGCATTGAAAAAAACCTATAATTGAAGTCCACTGAGAAGGCAAAAGGGTAGAAAATTCAACAATGATTAACGATGAGCATAAGGTCACGATAGAAAGGAAACAACGGCCAGTTTTATAATAATTTATCGACATATATGTAAAGCACTTTTGTCATTCACCAACAACTAATAAAACTGATATCTTCGAAACACAGAAGAGAGTAAGCAACGCAACGATCAGATTTCATTTGGTTATTCCACCTTTATCTTTTCATTACGCGTCTCATGCAATGTGTCACTCGCTAACTTTAGAAAATTCAGTGTTTCGGTAATTTGATGAGGGAATGTCGTGCGATGAACAACAAAAGCTGTTGACATTTTGGTCAGAAAATATTATCACATAATAAAGGCTCCAACTGCCGCATAAATTTCGATGGGAGTTTAATTCATGGAGGCATGCACCTAGCTGCTAAAAACCTCACATACAGTCTACCAAAAAGCGATTTCTCCTGAAAGCACTAAACTTACCAGTACTATCAACTTTTTCTACGCATTAAATCCAGCTAATTTTGAATTGCTTTCCTCAATAAGTTATCGAGGCATCATGATCAAAAAGTATAATGTACGTTCTAATCTCTTCTTTTAAACTCACAACTATACAAAATTTTTAAAACCGCGGAAATTTTCACAATAATTACAACTATTAACACTTCATACAAAGCACACATGCCTAACTGTGCTTATATTTCAACAGAAAAGCCCAAGTGACAACTGTCAAAGTTCCGTTTATATCACCATAGATATAACAGAGATTCAAAATTCCTATCACAAAATATGTAGTACTTTGACAAGCTTAAAATCATCTAAAATCAGATGTCCTAGCTGAGCTATTAATAAAACTGAATTAGAAAAAAACCGAAGCCTAAGCTAGGTCAGCATCATAGATTCCCAAAATTTGAAATAATACCTGTCAAGAAGAGTAGGTGGCATTGGCAGATTCTGCTTAGTACGCAATTCGTACAATTATCACTGCTCAAAAGTCAGTCTAGAATGCAGCTTCGATGAGCGATATTCCTGAAAAAATATTGCCCGCTGTATTTCTTTTTAAAAAAGAAAGATCCAGGCGCAAAACAGAATTACCACTTATTAAATGTTCAAACATAAAGTTCAAAAACGGAAGTGATTCCGGATTTCACTCAAAATGTCATTTGATGGGAAAATACTAGATACTAGACCAAGTTTGACAGTGCATTTCATATTGCCACAGTGAAGACAACAGAGAAAGTGCAGACAAATTACGTATACCACTTATTAAATAGATGGACTCAACTATACAAAATAGAAAAAATTAAAAAGACTTCAATTTGATCGAAAACGTGAAATTTCACTACATATGCGAACAAGTGACTTAAAAACTATGTAGTTAATATATGACGTACTCACGGAACTTATATATTGTGAAAACACACTTATTAGTTTATCAGTTGATAGCTTGAAATTTAAAATATTCCATTAAAAACAAAGTAGATTAGTACGAGACATATATAAACAAGCATAGATGTACAAACAACGTTTACTAGTGTTTGATCAGATCATATAATATATACAATGACTGTTCTAAATTTGTAATACTGCAGCAAGCGCATTTCAAAAACGGGAGCAGATTGCAGATCAAAGGGTAAAAGTCGTAAAGGTGCAGTAAACTAAATCATATATCTTGTGACACATAAATAAAACTGCTCACATATAGACACACATAAAAGTATTCATCTCTGGTACATTTAACACGGTACCAGCTCGTATACACACGCACAAATTATATATAAACATGTATGATCGTTCCTAAAACTTATGCGAACCATGAGCAACATATAAAGAATAGATCGGTCGACGAATTTCATCGACCAGTGATTATAAGCCAAATTATGCAACAATTCCGAGTGCATTTACAACCATTCTAAAAAAAAAACCAACCTCACTATTTATTGTCGTTCATTTGACGTTTTAAACTAGAACATACATTTGACGAAAATCACTACGATATAGCTGCAAAGATGAATCACACAAAAACCAAGATAATCTGCTATTTTTCTCATTTAAAAATTAATTTCCAAATTCCAAATTACCAGAAATTAACGACAATTCCTTTCCCACTTCACATACACATTGTTTCAACAGTATTTACGAACTGGACTTCAGTTCAAACCATTTCTTCTTCATTTCCCTTTTCCTTTGTATCATTCAAGATCTAGCGTTCCTATTAGATTCTAAGGAAAAAAACAACCATTTCATAAAAATAATTTTTTAGGTTTTTTACATTGCAGTACTCATCATTCGTTTTCAAACTGCTATCAATGAATAATTTTTGAACTGTTCAAACTGAGCAAGTCTATATTTCTTGGTAGAAAATCTGAACAAAAAGACTGATAAATGAATAAAGTAAATCAATAAGCAGCATAAAATTAAACCGAATGAAATGCAACTTGTATTTACTCTACACATGAGGAAGTACATCAGTTGCGATTGAAAAATGACAACTCTTTTCCTCGTTATTACTTCATATCTTTGTAAGAAGAATAAAGTATATCAATCAAATTGTAAAATCTGAGGAAAGAAAATTAAAAATGACATTACTGCCTAAAAGAATCAAACCAGACATAGTACAAAGAGCAGAAAAGGCAAGAAACACTACTTCTCTTAGTTTATAAATTAGAGCCTGACTGTTTAACTGCATCTTGAACAGCGCATTCCACTGATGACAAAAAATATACCGGGAACAACAACTGAATCGTATATAAATAAAAAGTGGCGGAAGATGAAAGTAATGAAAAAAATTCGTTCATCAATTTTTTTTTTTTTTGAATTCATGGAAGAAGAAACCAAAAACCACATTCCAGTAGAAACACATATAACCTTCAGCTATTGAATAAAACGACAAAAAGTGAAGATGAGGGTTTATACACTATGTATTACACTTCCGAAAATCTTCTGTTCCGAATGAAAATAACGAAAATTTGATACTTAAAATGTTGGAATTTTCCAATAGCTAATGCAGTCTATGAAAACCGTTATAAACATAGAACACTACAAATATATACAGCATAAATATATGAATACATAAACATATATACGAATTATATGAGAGCTTGAGAATTTTAACAAACACTATCTATAACTTAAAGTCGCAGTGCAAACTTTTCATTCAACATTTACAAAAAAGAAAAGGTGTTGATAATGAACAGCAACAACAGTATTCCCCAATGCTGGACATACTTCACGAGGTATTTCAGAATTAGGTAATAACTCTGAACGAGCTCAATATCCAATCCACCCTTAGAAATTGCAAATCCCAATGACCAGTTGAAATTTAACCTATCCTGCACATGACCGTTCAGTATTTCACGGAGAGGCAATTGCAAGGCAATCTATTCAACCAGGCGGCACTCACCTACTACACCAGACGGTAACTCCTGGATTTACTATTTTCAAAAGTGTTCTTCTCTAGCAAAGATTGGGACGTCCATAATGGTGGACAATCTCAATACTGAGTGGGGAGGTTAAAGTCTGACATGAAGAATGGATTTAAAATACTAACATGAATGTTCTAGCACATTCCTAATAAAACACCAGTGCACCAGCATTTAGCTTCAGGAGAGAACTGCACTAGTCTCACTACCCTAATTTGAAGTTGAAAGCATCGTACATGTAGATGCGAAACTTCTTCCAAAAGCGGTCGATAGCTCGGTAGTAAATCTTGAAGACTTGAAGTACTATTTTTCCATTTGTCTTCCGGAAGTTAGAAATACCCTATGACAAAAACAATTTATTATAGTGGTTATAGTAATTTATTATTATATAATTATTGACCTTATATCGTCTTTCTTATGAGTGAAGAGATATCAAAATGGTTTAGAATAATGCGACACTTTTAATACAAACATATGACAAATAAGATAATTCGGTGAAGATGAGTAAGTAAAATGCAAATTAAAAGACTGATGTTAAAAAAGAGAAATTTGGACAAATCATCAAAGGATTTGCTAAATCCAAGTTGCTCCAGAAGTACATTAGTTCGAGATTACACCGAATTATAAAAAAAGAAATTTCCCTCACAATATCGACTTTAAAAGGGAGTCGGAATAATGCATTCAGGTAGGAAACATAAGCAACAAAAATTATTTCTCCCATGATTATGACACATATATTAAGAATAACATAATATATAGTAATACGAAACTGCAATAAGGCCAAATGAATTCAGTAAGAGCAACCGGAACTACTTTCATCACTCTAAGCAGCCAAATATAATACCCTAATTTTCAAACCAAGCGAAAGACAACAAAACTGAGAGACATCGATCTGAAAGGCCGAAAAGAAAGAAACACGATTTGTGTTTAAGCATTACAATGAAACAAGCTAAATTGCTCCTAGTTTTATTCCAGCCTCGTTATCCTATACTACGTAACAGCACAAAATGTATACAAGATTTATGAATCACTGGTTATTTCCAAATAGAGTGAACAAGTTTGTCGTATGCACTCATTCCGTTCTGAATAAAAATTGAATTTGCAATAGCTTCCATCGGACGAGACTACTGAAATTGCCAAAGCTTTGTATGAATCAACTGTCTTCAACATTTAACCTGGTAGGTTAATAGTACTTTGCGAAAAGTTCAATTAACAGGAAAATTTTTTACCAATGACAGAATCAGGCTGTGGTCCAAAAGCGCATATGCAGGAATCCTTGTCTTTAAAAGAGAAAGGTAATCGGAAACGTGAGACGCTGACTTCACCAGAAAAACTCAACTTCCTCAGCGGGCTAAAATAAAGTTTTGAACACAGAGGCAAGGAAGATTGTTATCTTCAAAGCATGTCAAATATCCACGATCAACAAATGCAAAAAAATTACTTCCTAGAAATATTAATCACAGGAACATACACTTTCTTCTTCTTCATAGCCAAAGAGAACAAATGTATAGTATGATGATTGCTAGATACGCACAGCATGGTCGAATCCACTGAGAAACTCATACTAGAAACAAAAACGTGTTCAGAATCCTGTCAAATTCTACAAGTTTCAAGGAAAAATTTGAAGTGAAATTAAAATACCAAAAAATAGAAGCAGGATTCGTTCCACGTCGCAGTTCTTTCAACAAAAGGCAAGTTTTGGTGTCAAAAATCCTTATTATGGTTCCTTTTTCAGAAGATGTAGCTAACTGTTCCCCTGTAATGGAGAACATATCAAAACGTGGTCAAAACCAGTATTTTCTTTTTTTTGTCATTATGCATAATTTCACTAGCAGCTTTTCATTTATTAGGTTCAAGAACTATTTCGATAATTTGGCGAACAAATGAATTCATCTTTCGAAATAGTGCTTTACCAGTAAGGTTAAGTGCAATGGCAGATAACGGTCTTTGATGGGCATTGATTATTCTGGGAGGAGCATCTGGTTCGGCCAATGTTAAACAGCAAACTGCCGACGATGAAGAGGGTGCAGGAAAAGCAAGAAGAGAATTTTCAGATGCTGGACACAAACAACATATTCCACGTGGATTTCTACTTGAATCATATACTTGCAATTTTTTAGGTTGATCTGTGAAACTATAAACCAACGAAATGAACAATCTGGATAATCATGGTTATACACATACATATATTCCAAGTATAAACAATCAATTTGCTGGAAATATTTGCGAAAAAAAAAAAAACAAAAAACAAACAAACAAACAGGGGATAATTTATTTCAAAAAGAAACTAGAGATAATTTCAGAAGGAAAAATACGTAATCTTGAAGTATCTGCCCAGTGATTCAGTGAAATAACTAAATGCTTTACATAATATTTTTAACTTTTTCACAAGCCTCAATTTTTTTTTTTTTTTTTTTTTTTTTTTGTATGTTTCCAGCTAATTAATGCAAATGACTCATAGCTAGAGTAAACAAAGTGAAAGTAAGGTTGATATAAGAATCAGTCAGAAATATTGTATATTCT